CGTTGTCACACAGACAGCATGTATGTATGTATGCGCATTCTCTGTTTTTGGTGCTTTGTGGCAAATTCACAGTGTCAGCTTTAGGCCGGGCATGTACTACAGGATTTTGCGTTGTCATGTTAATGCACTAAGCCTCTGTACAGTACGATGTGTAAACAGTGATACATGTTGTGGTGCCGACGCCAAGACAATACGGGGCCTTTGTAACTTTGTAACTTTTTTCTGGGGGCTACAGGCTCACCTCAACTCCACTTCTTTGCCTAATAGAAGATTTAAAAAAATAAAAGAATGTAGGGATTAAACTGTATAATATACGTAGATCAAGAGTGCTTGCAATGGTCAGGTTACACTGAGAGTGCCCTCTGCTGGTTTAAATGGCAAACTACTCAAGACAGCTAATGCATTGATAGGCTGTATACTTTGAATGTAGCAGTGTGGCATCCCCAATTGTTGCACTCCATGCTGAATGCTGTTCATAGACTGTATATAGAATAGACGCCATCTGCCTCCTCGCTGGGTGGAGCCACCATGAAAACAGCACCCTCTGGTGACGGGCTGCAGTATAGGTCATAAATCCAGCCATCCCTATGGAGCTGAGGACAAACATGTCCTCTTTTTGGGGGGCTGCCCGGCCTTGTCCAGAGGAGTTTATAAAATCCTTCAAATGTCCGGGGTTTTGTATGGAACTTTTGAGTTTGCGTCGCATGGACTTACTGAATTAGAAGCGTGTAGAAACACTCAACCTGACCCCAAAAACTCTCAAAGTTTACTAAATTTAATTCTAATTAAAAAAAAAAAAGAAGGACAGGAAGTTTAGCAGCTTTAGTGAATTCTAAATTGAAATGGCACATTTATCAGGTGATTGTGGAGGATGACGCATGTCAGGTGAGAAACTGGTGCAGCTCAGGTGAGCCGTCTGAACAAGCTCTGCAGGTGTTGCTCCATTTTAAGCATGTGATATTTTCTTATTAGAAATAAACCAACATACTGCTGAGGCTGATGAGGGTTTCATTAGCTCTGATTGTGTGTTCTTTTAAAACAAAACCACTCAATGGTTCAAAATCTTAATCATTTCATGCCAAGGGATCAGCAAGGTGTGCAATTTATTCTAAGTGCTGCACCTTTTGTCGAGACGTTTCATCCAAACAAAAAGTATTTTAATTTCATTCTCAGGGATCTCAAGATGTTTCCCAGAAACTTATGTGCTAAATTTGATCAAACTGTGGAGGAGGATAAGCAGCTGTAACTGTATGACAAACCAACGTCCCTAAAGACCACCTGCTGGCGAGGAAAAGATAAAAACTTTGAGGTTGCATACAAATTTGGCACCCCTGCCACATAGTTTACAGTAAACATTTGCAGGTGCACCTTTTGAATATTTGTTTGTTTTAAATGCCGATACGTTACGATGTTTTTTACAGCACTTCTTTCACATGTGTGTAGAGTGATCAGTATGTGCTTAGCTGCTTTGTCAGGAGCTTTGGAGCAACATGACAGCAGGTTTCTGGTGTCATGACGCGGTGCACGCTGTGAGCCCTCAGGTGTATATGTTCATGAAATACAGAACAAACAACATTAGTCCCCTTTCTTATAGGATACAGCAGCTCCTCTGTGCAAATAGGCAGAGAGTGCAAGCTGTGTTGACTGAAAAACACAGGTACAGGTGGTGTGTTTATGTGTGGGAAAAGGTGCGATAAGAGGAAGCTATAGGAGGAAGGAAGGCGCGACATTTTTCACTGAATCTGGCTGCATCCCTCCCCCTTTCTTTCTTTCCGTGAGGGTCCAATAGAGAGCAGATTTCATAACAGCCTAATAATACCCTCCAAGGGGTCTCAAGATGCAGCTATTCCATCCCTGAGAGCTGCCATCATCTTTACCTCCACAATCCTGCCCCTGTCAACAGCCGTCAACCCCTGCCACCCTTGAGCCGCCTGATATTGACAATAAAACAGGAGGCAGGATCAGCAGGGCGGCGTGAATGTGTGCGCACATGCGTGTAAGTTAGCGTGCTGGTTAAAAGGTCCTAGGGTGGACGCTCAGTCCCAACAACAACACCCGGAGAAGAGGTGGGATTTCTGCACCTGGTGGCTCCAGCCTTGCACGGCGGGATAAAGACAGATTTCATGGAGGCATGGCGAGGAATACAGAGAGGCAGCCTCACAGAGAGAAAAATGTATAATGATCCACGTTGTCACAGCCATGACTTTTGGACAGCTCTGGTTACTCTCAGTGTGCCGCAGAGGAGATGGAGAATAGTAAGCCTTGTCATGCATCATAAATGTAATTCCAGATGGGAATGGAGCTCTCACACACAAAAGAGAATAGGAAATTTGTGCACCTCCATAAAGAAGAATGTATTGCTTTTTACGAGGTAGCAGAGGACATATTGTGCGGCAGGCCTCATAAACACACGCATGTTTCTCTTATGGGTTTTTTTCCGGGATTTGAGGAAAGGCTGTACAGCATGAGGAAGCAGGATTAAGAGGCGGAGAGGCATAGACACTATTTACATTGAAATGGCTGTACTTGTGGAGAAGAGGGAGGATGAGATGGAGAAGTTGAGAGCAGATGAGGAGGAGATGATGTGATCTGGGATGTGAATGTGAATGCGGAAGGAGGGTGAAGGTGCAAGCAGAAATAATCATGTAGGATGTTTGCACTGATAGATACAAGATCAGCATGCACGCCATTTTGCTCACCCCTGCCCCTGAAGGGCTCTTCTGTGGCAATCTCAAAGCCGCCTTTTTCTTCCTTTACCCCTCTTAATATTTGCCGCAGAGGTATCAAACAAAAAGTGGATCTTGCAAGAGTGAAAGAGTTTTTATCTTTCTGTCTCTGGTGGGATTGTTAAAGCAGACAGTGTCTATAGATCCCTTTTTTTGGGGGGAAGGGGGGGGGGTCGTGGCATTCAGAGACCTCCATTTGTTGGCGCCATTATCCCCTTGGTAACAATAAAGGACAATCAGTGTGTGTGAATCAGCTCGTGGCAAGAATCTGGACCCCTGCACCTCAGGGTGAGGACCCTATCATCGTCTTTGCTTGCTGCGCAGCTCTGCTGAGGGAGAGGCAAAGCTTAAGACATCATGCTCAGATTTGACAGTGCTTACTTTCAGTATCTCTGGCTATTTCGCTGTCCTCTCCCTGTGACTTAGCAGCATCTGCAGTGAGGCTGATCAATAGATCACATCAACAAGAGGTCTTGAGGCCAATTAGGCCGGGAGAGCTGGTGTCAGGCTACGTGTCAATACCCAAGCTTGTCTGCCCTTAGGAACAATGGATAAGGACTAACAGCAGAGAGACACAGCTGCGTGTGTTTCTGTGTATGTGCTGCAGACACTGTTTTACATTAAATGAGCAGCAGCCCATCCAAGAGAACTTCTAGCACATCTTAAGCTCTTGACCGCACCCTGTTTGCAGTAAACGCCTCCTTCACTGTCGGGACTGCTCCTACATACCAAACAGAGCAGAGAAGTGTGATGAAGGGCGCCTGAGTAAATGTCATTGTCCTGCTTTCATGCACTATACTTTAGCGCCCTCTGTTGGTGCAGAACATTACCACAGGGATCCCTTTTTTTATTCATGCACCACTGTCGATGCAAATGATCTTGCAGTGCGCACATTTTCAACCAGCTCCTGACAGAAAGTAATTGTCATCCCCTGAACCCAACATATTACGGTGTTAGTTTAATTTCCCTTTGCCTTGAGAGAAGAAAAAAAAATCAACCCAATCTGCCCAGTGCTGGAATATAATTTATCTGTGTCTGATGCCTATCTCGGATTAATCATGCAGGTAAATTAGTTAACCTTAATTGCAAGGTTTATGTCGAAAAAGGTTGAATTGTGTTTGGGTTCATGTGAGGGGAGATATGATGATTCATTTATTACAGGTTTTGTAAAAGAAAAGCAATAACTGGGCACGTCTCCCTCACACACATGCTAATACACCTTCACTTCCTCTCTCTGACAGTCAAGTTAATTAAAGTAGTACTGGGTGTGAAGGCAAAATTTGTCCCCCTCAGGCCGAGCACTTTAAATCTTGATCAGGCGTTCACTAATTAAACTTCATTCTGCAACTAGTCGAAAATGAAGTATTTTCCTCTAAGTAGTGTGTCGGAGGTTGAATGCACTGTTGACATCTGATGTCTGGCTGATCATAAAAGGACAAGAAGCATGTGCTTGTGATTAGTAAGTGTGCGCACGCAGTGCAGCGAGCTACAGTGCACTTAATTTGTCATGCTGCACACACAAGAACCAAGCCTGAGAGTGCACCAACGTCTCCTTATCCCATCTGTGCGGTCGCTAATTTATTGTGCTGGGAAAGTACTGATGTCACACTAGAAAATGTGCATAGAATGGACAGAGTCTGCCTCCTCACTCGGTGAAGCCACCCCGAGAACAGCACCCTCTGGTGACGGGGTTCAGTATGGGTCATAATTCCAGCAATCCCTATGGAGCTGTCGACAAACATTTTTCTCCCCCCTGCCTGCGATGTTGACATGTAGTTACTGTAAGACTGTTTTGTTCTCAAGTCCTCTTTTTTCTGTGAAGCTCCATTTTTAAAAGTTATTAGGGGGTTCATGTTTTCTTTGATTGACACTTGATACAGCCTATGGGCGTCAAAAGATTGCGTAGAACAGATTGACGCTGTTTGAGCCGAGCGTCATCACAGCTACTCTCTGCGACTCTCCCGCCAAATGCGTACAATGCTACTGCGCAGTGTTGGTCTCAGGTAGTGGATAAAAAATGGGGAATTACTGAGAGCTTGTCGGCTTCAAATCCGTATACAGGCGGAAGGCAGAACCAAGGTGTCCATAATATATACTATCTATGTGTAACACCCTTTCCATGAATCAAAACACACATTTAACCTACAGATAAAATGTCCAAAATCTCTCAGGTTGGCACAGTCCACAATAAGAACTAAGAGAAATTCATGTTTTCATTTCCTAGTTTGAGCCTGTTGTGGAAAGTCCAGCATAATCAATGCACAGGAGACATGATGAGATCTGAAGAACAGCCTGGGGCGTCTTTAATTGTACAGATGTAGAAATCAGTACAGATGACAAATAGAGTCTCGACCAAGACCCAAGGAAGCCTCTCTAGCTTTACTTCTACTCTCTTTTATGCTGTTAAAATGTGTGTGTGTGTGTGTGTGTGTGTGTGTGTGTGTGTGTGTGTGTGTGTGTGTGTGTGTTCTCCAGAAGGTCCCTCATGATGACATGTCTGCCCCACGACGCTTAGGTTCGTCTTGACCCTGGCAGAGATTACATGTTCCAACAGACAGATAGTTTGGGCTCCTGCAAGACAGCCTTGCTTACAATCTCATGGTCGTGGGGCAGCAGGAGCAGGCCAACCTAGATTATTTGTACCTTCTTACTAAAAGATAATTACTCTATATTTCTTAACCTAAATGTATGAAGACATTCCCCTACACATCCCCCCTTTGAAAGTTCTTACTTTCACAAAAACCTAATCATCAAATCAAACACTAAACATCCTTATGTGATTAAAGAAACAAAAATCAGTACCATACCATACCATAGCTTGGATCGTTTCAAATTATATCAGCGCGTAAGACTGAAAACCCTGCTCGGCTGTTTCAGCAGGGAAAGAATCTTACGGCCCCGCGCCCTGGCGACCATCCATTTCCTGGATGCGCTGACATAATTTCATTTGCATAGAAGAAAGTGTCCACATTTGATAATATCATTACATTACATTACACAAACATGTTGTTTGTGTTGCTCAAAGTCCATTGCTCATCTTCTTCTCCTTCAAAGTCCAGGAACCGTTCCGGTCCCTCAGTCCCTCCTTGATTAGTCACACACTGTGCCAGCTGTTTTGGTGGCATTTCCTGTAGTTCATGGGCCAGTGTTAGGTCCACCATAAGTCCCATCTCCTCCGTCAGCCGCGATAACAATGTCTCCAAAGGATGTGTACGATGCGACATGTGAGAAAGGAAATCAGAATTAGGGCTATCGCAGCACTCATGGCTGGGCCAAAACGGCTCTCATTCATCTAAAATTTAGACCACCCAGTCCATCAACAGGCCCCCCTTACCAGCATTCTCCCACATTTCCACTTTAAACTTTTCTTTACCCTTCACCACTTTCAGTCCATCAACAGGCCCCCCTTACCAGCATTCTCCCGCATTTCCACTTTAAACTTTTCTTTATACCCTTCATAGCTTTAGAAAAACCTCCCCCAGGGCTCGTTTTGTTAGAAACGTATCTGCAACAGTACTTCCAAAACCTTTTAAGACACATCTTTTCTCTTCACATCCTCTCTCATTCTCACATTACCACACACAAAATACTTTTTAATTTTATTATCTATTTAACCTCATTGTAAATCTGTAATAATCTGTGAATGTTGGCATGGGTTCTAGCTCTGTCTGGAGTGGTGTGGATTGTGTTTTGGGTTGCATCGTACTCACCCGCGATAACAATGTCTCCCACTTCTTCTTCTCACAGCTGTACTGGCACCAGTTTGACCTTCACCCTCATTGTTGTCTCCAGTCTCTCTCTCGGTCTCTCTCCACACATTGTCCCTCAGCAGCAACACCAGGAAAACAGTTACTTTCAGGACGAGTGCTACAGTCATTCTGGGAGTGTCTCTCATCAAGTCATACTTCCCTTGTTTTTTCTGGGCAGTCAGTGGTAGATGACGCCACATCATTTTGCCCTCTTCTTGCACTGAAGTAGATTCACCAGGACCAAAGTGTTCAGGTCTTCTCCTCGTTCTTTTTGCCACCCTCCTCAAAGGACGGTGATGTACACCTGATGCTCTGGCTCGACTGGCCTCCACCTCTTGACTGGGATCAGATTTTGGCACTCCTCCTGCTAATCGATAGATCTTTGCATCGTAGTTAGCTGCCACATATATTTAATTCACTAATTTTCAGCTGCTCAAGCGAAAAACTTAATTATTTAGCCGCAGTAAAGCATAGCTTTGTAAGTTAGTCAATCATGCAGTGAAAGATTTATCTCAGTGCTTTTGATTGTGAAAGCTCATAAGCGCAAGTAGCAAAGCATCTTCCTATAGGTTAGTGTTAGTGCAAATTCTCTGATCAGATATTTACTTGAGAGATTAACTTTCTTCCCCAAAATAATGTACCAATTCATGCAGTGAAAGATTTATTTTGACTCCAAGATCTTTTGATGGTGTTGCTTCCATCCATCGACTGAACCCGTCATCATTACAAACATGTAACATATCCCTTGGCAGTTTTAACCATGTCCACATTGTCTATGAATAGATTTCTAAAAGCATCTCTCTGGAACTGGAAAGTGTCCCACTACTGTTTTATTGTTCTCTTCATTTTATCTAACAAAACACATATCACAATGACCCAAAAGTTTATCAACTATTGTCAGCATATTCTAAAAATGTCGTTTTAATTGTCTCATCATCTCCCCCCTTGCACAGTGTGAATCACTGTGAAAGTCAGATCCTAAGTTCGTTTGTTAATACTACTGGTACAAAAACTAGTTATTTGACTCTAAACCATTTTCTGTGGCCTTACTGGCCTTTGATAGCTTTCTATTACTTTTACATTAGATGGCACACCTGTCAGGAGTGTATGTGGATTCAGCACAGCTGCATTTAGATTTATCAGTATTAAACTAACAGAACAGGAATGTTACAATGCTAATGTCACGATATTTACTTAAAACTATAAACCATAACTGTCTACTTACACACCTTGCGGTGAGCACCAAATTTGAATGTTACTTCTACATAGGGCTCTTTGGTCTATAAGGTCAACAGGGTTAAAATTAAAACCAAAAATTAACTTTTTCCATCATCCACAAAAATCACACTGTAGTAAGCCACCACTTTCACATTGTCTGGGCTGGGGCTCCCCACCACAGCTCCAGCCAGAGACGTCCCTGGTCTGGGCAGTTGTCAAAAATGTCCGGTATGATCACATCCCCAGCAGGTCTTTGGACGTCACACGTCCGTCAGAATTCCACTCTCTCCCCCTGCCGGGATATATCCTCTCTATGGAGCAGGGTTCTGTCTGAGGATAAACATTCACAACAGGTGATTAAACAGGTTACTGTCACAGGTTTTACCGCAGTTAGCATCTGCATGGTCTGCATCGCTGGGTCTCTTCTGCAGTGTCTTCCTTAGAGGTGGCCACCATCGTGGCCTGAGTCTGTACTCCACATCACATCACAATATGCATTGAACTCACTCCCATCTATCATGGGATTCGTCATCCAACCTTGTTTTGCCTTGCGCAGAGACTTCTCCATCGTCTTAGTTCCCAGCAGTTGAGCCAAGAGTGCTTTCATGTCTGGTGTAGTCAACATTTTCTTTACAGTTCATCCTCAAAAACCGATATCCATCTCCCTGCCCCCTGTTCAGTTTGTGGTAGTCTGGCAATCAGCCCAACAAGGTGTGTGGTTTTCCACAGCACATAGCTAGCCTGTGTGCCATTTCTTAAGATTGAAAACATACTATCAGTGCATTTCCAAGCGAACATAATCTAGGCCAGGGGTGTCAAACTCAACCACAGCAAGGGCCATAATCTGGATTTCAGTCTAACCTCAGGGCCAAAGAGGGTTAACATTTCACCAAAACTGTCAATTTCCTTTTCAAAACATATGGGAAAAAAAATAGCAATGATTATAAATCATTTGGAAATTCAAAAGAGATAAATAAGAAAAAAATAATAATAATAATAATAATAAGTTTAAAGGCAACCTAAGATAGAAAAGTTTTAGTTAATAATCTTGACTGGGATCAGATTTTGGCACTCCTCCTGCTAATCGATAGATCTTTGCATCGTAGTTAGCTGCCACATATATTTAATTCACTAATTTTCAGCTGCTCAAGCGAAAAACTTAATTATTTAGCCGCAGTAAAGCATAGCTTTGTAAGTTAGTCAATCATGCAGTGAAAGATTTATCTCAGTGCTTTTGATTGTGAAAGCTCATAAGCGCAAGTAGCAAAGCATCTTCCTATAGGTTAGTGTTAGTGCAAATTCTCTGATCAGATATTTACTTGAGAGATTAACTTTCTTCCCCAAAATAATGTACCAATTCATGCAGTGAAAGATTTATTTTGACTCCAAGATCTTTTGATGGTGTTGCTTCCATCCATCGACTGAACCCGTCATCATTACAAACATGTAACATATCCCTTGGCAGTTTTAACCATGTCCACATTGTCTATGAATAGATTTCTAAAAGCATCTCTCTGGAACTGGAAAGTGTCCCACTACTGTTTTATTGTTCTCTTCATTTTATCTAACAAAACACATATCACAATGACCCAAAAGTTTATCAACTATTGTCAGCATATTCTAAAAATGTCGTTTTAATTGTCTCATCATATCTCAGCTCTAAGAGCTGTACTGTGACCAGCAGCTGCTGTTCCTTCCATGGTTTTATACAGTTTACTCAGTGTGCTTAAGTTAACAAAACCTGTTCTAAATGCAAAAGAATCTTCAGACTGGAGCACAAAGCGTACCTGTGGTGGTCTCTGCTGATGGAAAGGAGATAGAGGTGTGTGAAAACTAACAAATACCTGGAGATTCTGATGGATGACTCTCTAGACTTAAAATATGTGCCTGGGGGGGAAAACTGAGACCAGACAAGTTGTGTTTCGCTGCATTTTTTTTTACCCATACTGGACTACGGCGATCTCTTGTATATGCATTTGTTTGATACTGCATACCACGTGTCCTTGATGTCCATACCTGCTTGTAAAGCTCTTACTAAACATTGTGAGTTATACTCCTGGGTTCGTTGGCCATCTCTGGCAACCTGTTAGGCTGATCCATTAGTAAACTTTCATTTATAAGACATTGCTTGGTCTGCTTCCACATTATCTTTAGTTTTTACCACACAGAAAAGTGCTAGATGGTATTTTTATGCACTTTGTCCAAAAACTTGTGCAGAAATTGATTGAAGGGCTTTTGGGTATTCTGCACCCTCAGCCTGGATTTTTTCTACAGAACGACCTCAATCTCAAGAGCTGATGAAATTAAATATTTGTAAATCCAAAAAGGAAAAATTCTCGAGAAGATTCTTCACTAAGTATTCTATCTTCTTTCTTTGGCTTAACAAATAAAATCTGCATAAAACAACGTTCCTTTTTATTCAACAGCGCTCATCAGAAACGTCATTAACCAATTCACAAAACTGGAGCCTTTAAATCATTATAAAAGAGCTATAAACATAAAGTGACTTTCTCTATGTTCAGTTTCTCTGAAATCAGATAAAAAGGTAAAGTCATTACCATTAAACCTGCCCACTTCGATACCTAATGTACCTGAACACAACTCTGCCTACAGGGCTCTTCACAGAGAGTCTGTGTGATTTTCGATGCACTTTTACACACAACAAGAGTCATGAGCTGACACCTGTTTTCAGGAGATGAGCGTCACGTGCAGGCTTCAACTTTAACTCTGACCCAAATGAGAAATGTTTGAGCTTTAAATTGAAAATTGGGAAATTTTTCGAAGTTTATCCAGAGTAATTTGTGAGGGGTCGGAGGTATTCTGTGACACCAGATGGCAAAAGTCGGCTGATGGCAAAAACAAATAAAAACATGCCAAGTGAAATTGGGCTTGTAGCTTGTTTTTCAAAGCTTGACTAACCAGTTATGTAATAACAAATCCTGCTCCAGGCAAATACAAGCTTTGGTGCTGCTGCTGCTCTGGTATCTTAACTGCTCTGCATGTCAGTTCAGGCCACGAACAGCAATCCAGCCATTCTCAACCTGGGGGACTCCAAACTTGGAATTCAGTTCATGAATCATGCAGACCCCGGGCTCCAGCATAAAATCACTCATTTGTTCCATTTTTCCATGGACTGAAAAAAGTTGGGACTGTGAGCGCCACAAGCTATAGCAAGAATGAGGATTTTACTAGCTTGTAATGCTTTCAGGAACTCCCCACTTCACCGCGGTTCCATGAATAGAGAGAAGATTGGGAGCAGGACTATGGGGCTCAGGGATTGGACAAGGGAGAATGGAAGCAGCTCAGAGAAATAATTTCAGCACTTCCTGAAGAGGGTCCGGCCCACAGACAAACTGCTGCCTGCGGTTATCAGGCTCTTTTTTTTTCTTTCTCATATGTTATCAGAGTCGTTAAGTTTTACAGCTCAGAGGTCCTGGTGGTATGAAGTTCACAGACGCCTTCACTGCTCCTGTCCTGTATGTCTGCTGAATCTGGGATGAGTCAGAATAAATACCAGGACTAACATTTTGAACTTAAACAGGTAAGAGTTTTCATTTGTAACTCATCTTGATCCAGTAATTATATTATAGTCAGGATTTTATTGCCGGTTATGGAATAATTACTGTTTTACAGTCACAGCTTTGCTTAGTGATCATAGGTCGCACCATTAAAGTTAACTATAAACTTTAACTAAGGAGTAGGTTTGTCTACATCTTGGTTCTTTATTTGGAATTTGCAACTTCAAAGCAACCTAGGCATGTACAGGCAGGAACACAAAGCGGAGTTATGCTGCTATCAGGGGCAGACAGAAGGTAAAGCTGGGTAATCATTGACACAGCAAAACTGTTGACATTTCCCATCTTGTAAAAAACACAAACGCCCCAACTCTAAAAGGGCGCATACACGTGCGTGAATGTCAACCATCATCTTAAAACAACTCAGTCTACACCCTGTCAATCAGGACTCCGAGTAAGCAAAATGTAATCACTGTGGGTTGGGAAGGTTTCTGCTCTGTAAGCACTCAACGGGACGTCCAATCCATGTGGAGCTTTTTTTACCTGGCTGTCAAGGAGTTCCGACACGGAGGTAAAAAAATCTCTAACAGCAAATCCTTGAGGGTACTGAATCAGAAAAGAACAAATCAGGAGGTTATGTACTGGAGCTCCCCCTCACTGGAGAGTGGAAACAAATTTGTCTTCACAGCGTAATATGCAGTTATTTTACATTCACCTACTACACCTACTCCCTCTGGTCTGTTCAAGTCCTAGCTTGTGCACTTTCACAACTATATGGCAGAATTACAGCGATGATAATAGTGGGTAAATTACACCGTACATGCCTGAGTCTCAGCAGTATTTATAGCTGCGTAAACTCCCGCCCACTGCCTGTTCTCTGCTTTTAAAACAGGTGGCCTAATTGTGCTTCAGGTGACGGTATTCCGAGTGTTTCCACACCTTTTAGATAACAATTCCTTCAAACGTATAAGTTGTTTGTAGGGAACGATTACGTCTGCGCCGAATGACACAGCAATGTCCCATGAGGTTATTCTGATCCCTCCTCGGTTGCATAAACACAAGGCAGCGTCGCAAAGAAGAGGAGCAAGAAGAAACCTGTGTGATAAGCACACACCCATGCACACACACACACACACACAGCTACACCCACACACACACACCTCTCCGCTGCATGCACCAAGGTTCCTGCTGTTTCTCATTCTCCACAGGTCAAAGGGATTTTCTGTGAAAGCTACATGTCACACAATACAGCCACCATGCATGAGCCAACAAAAGGTAAGATCTCCGCAGGTAATGTAGTACCGCTCTCTCTCTCTCTCTCTCTGTCTTCTCCCGCTCTGAGTGCTCTATTGTCACTTTCAGTTTCATTTACTAATGGAAACAAACAGTAGCATGGGTGGAAAACCTTTTTGTCTAAGATACCAAAGTTCATATACATTAGTATTTAGCTAAAGCATTATCTTTGTCAATATAAAAACACATTCACAAATAGTATCATTGTCTAAAAAACCTCTAGGGATCTTACAAAGAAGCTTATATCCAAGACATTTAGATGGAAACCTAGACAGTTCTAAAGGTAAGTGAGCAATTTAAAAAAATCAAAATGGAGCAAATTTTTTTTTAACACGGCTAAATTTTGGGTCACAGAGTTCGTATGTAAACATTGTCAAACTGGTTTTCCAACCATCACAAATGCTAGCAGAGCTAGCACCACCAGCCTTTGATTACACGTCTGTGCTTGTTATACATTGCTCTAGCCTGGCAGTAACACGCCAGTTAACTTCACACAGCCTATCTCCATTTTTAGCATCACGATACCAAACTAAGCCGCGCTTAGAGATGCATAGCTGTTGGAACCAGATCTGTGATTATAAATGCGTCTAATTTTGTATGTAATGATTCAGCACTGTGCAATAAAAAGAGAACCTGAGCTCCCAGGCAGCTAGCAGTCTGCGCTTTCGCACTTAAATTAGCACTCCACTGCTGCCTGTCTTTAAATACACTCTATGTGTTGTATTCCTATCACTGATGTTTGTTTTTAATGTGTTAACACCAACCTGTTAATGAGATTGGTGAAAGAAATTAGCCACTTGGCCGTAATCTCGCATATTTACATCTAAAAAAAAAAATGTAATGTTCTAGACAAGTGATAGACATCTTTCCCTGGTGCTGCTTGTTATTATGATGTTTGTTTAACATCATTCCAACAACATAATGTGCTGTCAATTACACAGTTGATCATGACAAATGCAGGTTTACATTTGCTTTAACCTCCACTAAAATAGAAGCGATACGAAAGAAAGTCAAGATGAGGCTCAGATCTATCCTCTGTTTCATACAGCAATGAAAACATATAGGAGTGAACGTTTCCCTTATACCCATGCTGTTGCTCACCTTTACGTCTGTATGAACCGCTGTCACGGACCTGCTCAGCTGTTGCAGTTTCGGTCTGCGATAAGAAACTGAAGAGCTATTTTTTGCTCATGATTCATTGATCCTGTGAGTTGGTTAGAGCAGATGCAGTTGTCTCTGTTTTTGTGTGACTCATTATTTGAGTGGGTATGTCAAGTAGTCTTTCAGCTTAGATTACTTCTAATGCTTTTGCTAACAGAAGACTTTGTGGATAAAATTACGAGCTAATTATATGATTACAGAACTAAATATGAGCCACTGAGTGAGTTATGTATTTTGTCTTTTATTTGCACTTCTCCTCACAGAGGACGTCTATGCATATGCACTGTCCAAGACTCTGACCAAAGTCACATCACCTGCAACTGTAGGACTCTACTCCTCATGTCATAATCGCATTAATGTGATCCTCGGACGAATGGAAGGTAAGCTGTCAATCTCTCTGCACCAACCATGTTACATTGTCACTTTTTTCTTCAATCAGTCAATAAAAAGAAGAAATATGGGACAGTATGAGGCGTTTAAAATTCCTACTGGTGCATCAAAAGGAGAAAATGACCTTCAAATAATTCATATTCAGTGTTTTCACGCCCCAGTGTTGGCTGTAAACATAACTGCAGAGTGTGAAATTATGGTATGTTGCCTGTAGAAACTGCACCTGTTAGCAGCAGAAATGCTGTGGCAGCATGTAGTGCCACAGGCATGGAAAACTTTCAGAAGACGTGTTGAAGAAAAAGGTCAGCAGGAAGTGTGGAATGGTGGTATTAGTTTACAAAAGATGGTTGAAAACAGGAAAAAGCAGAAAAAGGGAAATTCATGTTAGGTGGAAACAAGAAGTTCAATAAGCTGGCTTCTCTACATGAAACGTAGAAGTTTTACAGTTAGGTGTTGGGTGAATTACAGAGAGATCCAAAAACCTATAAGCAAACTTACATATTGATGAATCCTTACATTTTCTACAAGGAAGTGAACTATTTTACCTATTACTCTCTATCTTAAGAGAACCAAACTACTCCTCTAGGCAAAATGATACAAACCTGTTTTTACTTCTTCCATGCTGTACAGCTAACCAAAGATGACAGGCAGAACAACAAGTTTCACAAGAAAACCAGGGAGAACCCTTTTTGTCACAGGTCAGAGTCCTTGGAAATAACAAAACAAGAAAATTAGAAAAGCTTGTGTTGTCAATAAAATGTATAAGCCCTACTGAGAAATCAAAAAGAGATCAACATCAAAGTATCAAGTTTATTTGCACTGACTCAGCTGCTGCTGTCAAATAATCACAGTACTGTGTTTTGAACCTAGAAATGAACTGTGCGGCACCTCTGAGCTTGTGCTTTAATGAGACTTTCACCACTCAATGATTGATTTAAAGGTGGACATTGTGTTTCTGGCCTGCAGGCTTTCAGGGCTCTCTGTGGCCTAAGGCAGGGTTTTCAAAGTAAGGGTCACAGCCCCCCTGGGGGTCACCGGGAGCGGTAAGATGGTAGCAGAGACTTAGAAGGAAGAGAAGGGAAGAAAAACAAAACAAAACACAGACACAAAATAAGAGACGCCAACCAGAATCAAGCACCTACTATGAGCGACTGTGATCTTTCATTAAGTTCTGTTTCCACTGAAAACTATTTCTTCTCAAAGTGGGAAAGTTTCTTGAAAGTAAAAGATGACCAGGTGACCAGACGAGGCACGACTCAGCTGCAACAAAACCACAAACATATTAATATGAGTAGCGATGACTCATCAGTAATAAGATTCACTGCAGCAAATAAGAATGGCCAGAGTTGTTTTGAGTTGACTTGTTTGATATGTTTTATATAAAAGCAATCCAGCCACTAGAAGATAATGTGCCACTCTCAGAGACTCTTCGAATTACATTGTCCTACATTTCCCTCAATGAAAAATTAACAGAGAAAACACAAACAGAATCCAGAGGTTGAACTTTACTAACTCTTGAGCGTACTCCTCCTCATGAAAAACACACAACCAGGTACAACCTTGAACTTAAGTGAAAACAGGTATACTCTTAAAAAATGTGAGAGTTAAACGCCAAAAAAACAGCCATTCATCTGAATTTCATCTATGGCTGAATGAAAGTAGAGAGGTCGATTTGCATTAAAAGGTTGGAACATGAAATCACACATTTCCATTTTGTAAAGCGGTAACATCGGGTGAACCAAGCGAAGCGCGATTCTTTCAGTGGAGAGCTCCAAAAAGGAGAGAAAGGTTTAAGGTTGTTTCTTTGTGTTCTGCAGAAAGTCTCGCAGTATACAAGGTGTACTGTAGGCTTGCATAATGAGCTCCCAAACCATGGCAAAATCTATTGCACATGCGGAACCAAATTCTATGCTCTTATAGTAATGTTCAAATAAAAATAAGGAAATGAGTGTTTCATGGCGTACAATAACAGCTGTCTTAGGCTATCATGGAATTAGTTATCAGTAACTTAAGAGGAGCCTCATTTATAGCAGGTGCTGATGATTTTGACACTTCAACGAAATTACACCAGCATATTATACAGTTGAAATTCACTTGAATAGCAGCCAACCCCATGCAATCCTTCACAAAAACTAAGCAACAACAACAACTCCATAAATCACTAAAGTTAAAGCACAAAAGAATCCTCCAGCAGTAAACAAAGACAACCAAAGCACTGCTAGAAAGACATCGCAATTCACAGCACAAGCAAGCCAGCCACTGCGTGCCTGCTCTAACATCAGCCCAGAGCACATAACACTAGACATAAGACGCTGACTTTCAACAAAATGCATACTTACAGTTTCGCTGCTCCTTCATTAGGCAGTCTTCGTCTTCATCAACCCCCTCATTGTCCTCATCATGCACCATCTGGGGCAACATCAAGACTTAGTATTACAACCACTGACATTATCCACTTTCCCTCATTTCTTAGTGATATAAACAGTCATGCAGCTTCCTAATGAGCTACATTTAGCTTTGACACTCGACATCATTTAGACATTTTGAATCCCATTAATAGGACACTTAGATTAAGTGCTACAGTAATACAAGTAAGAATTATAGTTGTTTATGGTCCCCCATGCATGCAATCAGAACAGCCTGCAGCCATATGAACCAAGCGGTTATACTAAACAAGCAGCATGGGTCAGCGGGTATCACTTCAATTAACATATTATGTGAGCAAAACTATATATCTATATTTAATGTCTCTATATGTAAGTATTACATTATTTTGGCATAAATATTCTGAAGGGTGCAGGGTTGACTATTAATTTTTAAACTTGCATTTTGCTTTACTTGAATCAATTTGACATAGGGGAGCGTGGGGTAAGATGAGCCATTTTTTTATATCACTACATCAAGGCAATCATAGTTTTGTCTCTAACTAGTGTAAAACCAACAGAATGAGTGTAAACATAACTGTCTTGATAATACAGCATGCCAAAAAAAAGTGGTCTCCTATGGTCAATTTACCTGTGTATGGGGTAAGTTGACCATAGGAGCAGGGTAAGTTGAGCCGTATCCCTACTACGACCTATTTTTTTTGTAAATAAGCCCCTTCACCCATGTGCTTCTAACCTTCACGGACTCCAAGAATTGATGTCCATCTCCTAAATATTTGGTCACATGATCAATTTATTTTACCATTTCCTAGCAACAGGGGGTGGCTCAACTTACCCCACTCTCCCCTATTCTAATATAGGGATATGTACAGTATCTCTACAGATAACTCAGGCTCAAAAGACTTATGTACATCTGTCCCAATACCCACATGTTGTTTTATGTGTTAATATTGTTTAACAGCCCGGTCACTTACACTGATCCTCTCCTTCAGGTTACTTGAAGCAGGAGACTTCAAGGATTGAGGAGGAACATGGAGACAAGTCCAAATCATGCACAAGTCCTTCTTCAATCACGGGCTTTTTTGCTCTCATTGGCCGACTGCTCTTCTACAGACCCATTTGGACTGAGGAGAACCAGAACCACCACAACATACGGTTCATTTATGTGGATTTCAGTGCCTGGCACTTTGCAGGCAGTGACCTGCTGTGGGCCGGGATCGTCATCCGGCTCTTACACACCATGCAGTGGAGCTTTGGGAAGTTAACACTCGTGCTGTACCGAGTCGCTCAGCATGATGAAGAGGAGGACGTCCTGAAGAAGGTTGGTGAACTGTATGAACTTTTCTGTCTTTAAACTACGGCAGAATTGCGCCTTGAGGCTAAAGAAGTATCACTTCCTTATATGGCGATCTTTTCCGCCTGTGTGTTCGGTTTGGCGCCATTCAGCCTTTTTCTGTTTTCTAGCGGGTATGAGCGATCACGTGATTGACGTAGTCTACGTCCGCCTGATGCGTGGTTATTTATTTATTTATTTATTTGACAGTTAGGCTATGTTAATCTAAAAAGAAATTAAGTTGGAAAGATTATTCAAACCGACTTAAATGTTGACAAACATATTTACCTGACATCATACCCTCCAACACTCTCGTTTTTCCCGGGACTCTCCCGTATTCCAGTTTCCTGTGTTTCTGCTGAGCCTCACAGACACTGGATTGATACTTTTACTTCAAAGTTTGGGATAATTCAGGTCGGTTTAAGCTGTAAACTATATTTAAACGGTGTATTGTTGCAAAATGAACACTTAAATGAAAGGGAAACAAATGTGAGATATAATATTTACTTTAATAGTCTTTCACGTGTTGGAGTGATGCGTTCAGGGCAGCCTCAGATAAAAGAGTGCTGTATTGCAGGCACAGATGTTCAGAGAGCCTCATACAGGAGAGAGCATGTGAAACATATGAGGACTTTATCAAACATATTAGTGGACTAAATATGTTCAAGGCATATTGTAGCTATTATTTTGTATTACCATTTGTTATTGTTAAAACAAAACAAGAAAGTGTGCAGCTTCACTTATACTTATTTGGATTAGCAATTTAATGACAAATACTCTCATAATTAGTTCATATCCACCACACTAGGTAACCCCCAATCTCCTGGATTTTATAACCCAAATATTGTCAGGTATGCCTGACATATCTCCCACTGGGCATTTTTTTTTTGGTGTAAAAGAGGTCCAATAGATGAGTAAATGTAGCCTAGACCAGTGGTTCTCAATTGGTCTCACTCTGGGACCCAAATTTTCCCATGGTCCGTAAGGCACGACCCACTCAGGCCATGTTAATAAGAAACCGAGGAGGACCACAACATAACGCCTGCCTTTCAAAATAAGCTATTTTGAATAAGCAAATAAGCATCACATGCACATTCAATTTTTACTTTTTTGACCAGCTGTTCACAACCCATCCAGAACATGGCCGCGACCCACTTTTCAGTCGGGACCCACCAGTTGAGAACCACTAGCCTAGACGACTGGTCTAAAATCAGGCTTCCACGGGTCTAAAAAAAAAAGTTTTTTTAGAAGTCTAAATTTAGACCAAGTTAAGACCGAGTTTAAATCTGGGCTATATCTATACCACACTGTGTATTGCTCAACAGTTATCATAATTATTTTGTTTTTAAGTACTTGTAGATCAGTTTTGCAACTCACAGTTGCTTTTTAGATAAATAGTTATCGAATAATGGGTTAAAGTGCAACGTCTAAATTCTCTCATAAAATGTACAGAATCTAGACGTTTGAAATTAGGCCTGTCTAAAAAAAAAAAATTAGACGTCTAATAGCCGTCTATTGCTCAGTGGGCTACTTATTAACCTCCTGATGAGAGAGTTCATGGTTGAAACAGGGCTGCCATGCCCTTTAGGGTTATCTCAATGTGATTTCTGTTTTTAGACTAACTGCAGTTTCACATATGGCTGCTGTAAAAGACCTTGTGAGTCTCTTCTTAAGACTGTCTCCAAAAGCCAAGAAGTTTTTGTGATAAAATGTCAATTTTATTACAAGATGTCAAGACATTCACAGGCTGATGCAAGAAAATTTTTTATTTAGCCTATAATAACAAGTGGTAACTCTTCTATGAACTCTCTGTTTTGATTATACTGACGCTATAATATATGATGCACCATAGATTAGCTGTTTTAAACAAACAGTGCTGCTTAACATGTTGTGTTCTCTGCTTTTTCTTTGTCTTGTGTTTCCAGTTGCTTCACATCTTTTGCACATTATTGTAAATATTTTAATTCTGTACCTAGTGAGGCTGACTGCAGACAAATCACACCAACGTGTCCCTCTTTTGTTCTGTTTTTTCTTTTTTAGAAATTGGAGAATAAGGCTTACGATTGGCGGTCCAAAAAGATTTGCCTCTGCCCTCTGTGGCTTTTCCTCATCATTATTATTATGATACCAGTTGTGTTCCTGGTAGTCCTGTTGACTTTTGGGTCTCCGAAACCTGATCTGGAAACAGGCGATGAGGAAAATCCGTCAGATGGCCAGAAGGGTGTGACAGGTCTGTTAATCGCTGCTATAGGACTCCCTGCGGTGAGTGGTCTGAGGTTTGTCTACAGTATCGCGAAAAACCTCATCTTCAGCGAAGATCTGAACATCAAGAGCGGGATGGATAATGAGAAGGTCAGCAGTAAACTGGGCTTCATGGATGAGGTAAGAAAGGAGATGTGGTTTCTTACTCGTTTCATCGAGTTTATGGAGGTGTTTGAGAGGAGAAGGATCCGGGTGATACTGAAGATCACCGATCTGGACCGATGTTCCCCGAAGAAAATCATTGCAGTGCTAGATGCAATTAATATTCTCCTTTCTAATGAAGACAGTCCATTCATTTCCATTCTGGCCGTCAACCCAGAAGTTCTTGTACGAAAGGTGAACTTTGCAGATGGTATTTTCAGCAAAGAGGACAGAGCTTATGCTCTGTTGAACAGCATCGTAACCCTGACCTTCACAGTCCCACCGCTCAGCGATGATTCAAAGAACAGGTTGTTTAAGAGCCTGATCAGAAATTCAAAAACAAGGAGGAAGGATGGACGCAGAAGTGAGGGTCTTGATAAGAAAGCTTCCTCTGATGTATCTATAGTGGAGATTGTGTTGGAATCCAAAAAGTCAAAACCACTGATTGATAAAAGTCCACCAGCACCGGTTGTAAATGAGGAAGATGTAGAGGAGTTAGTGAAGAAGATACTGACCAGCAATGGAAGGAAACTAAACCAGTACATGTTGGATGATACCATGTCTATGAGAAGGGTGATCAATTCAGTCCGAGTCACCGTGATCATCATGAAAGCGCTGGAAAAAGAGCTTCCTCAACAGGACTATATTGCAGCATGGGTGGTCTTGGCCAATGAGTGGCCCTGTCGCCTCAGCTGGATCATCCAGTGTGTGGAGGATGCCGAGCAGAGAGCAGCCATTGATGGTAAGAAGGTGGCCGACACTGATGAGTCAAAGACCTTGTGGGAAGTCTTCAGGGAGTCCAAGGCAGAGCTCTATGTGATGAGTTCACAGATTGAGGAGCTTCTTGATCAAGATGAGGATCCTGAGATGTTTGAAAGGTTTCTCCAAGTAGATTTTCCATTTACCATAAAGGATTTGAAGGCCTTTGAGGAGATAACTGTGAACCTGGATCACTCAATCAGGAAGGAGCTGGCTCAGATCAGAGGGACATCCAGGCTGAAAGATCTAGGGTGGATGAGGGACCTTGCTCCTCTGCCAATCACAACCATCATCAAAATGAGCAAAGAGGATGTTTGTGAAGAGGTAAGAAACGAATAAACATTTCAGGCAGGGTGGAGTTGAGGGTATCCATGGTTACTGGCCGTAGCAACATATGTTGTGTTATTACAGAAAACAAAGCTTGAGCAGCCACTACCACAAAAGAACATGTTGTGTAGATGATCAGCCAACTACAAACTCATTTTCTTTGAAATTTGAGAATCAGCCGGTAGTTATTTATTTCATTATACCATGAGCAACAACAGGATAATTTTCACTCAGCATGAATACCTGTCTGCACAGCAGAAGGGCACAGTGGATTTGGTTTCCCTGCTGAGCAGTTTGAGGTGTACAGCTTGTTGCTGGCGGCTCTTCGTTGAAACGCTGAGTGTGGCTGCTCTTTCCTGGTCTGTTACTTCCTTGCAGTATTTAACTTAATGTACCTCAAAACCATGCACTAAAACTTGTATTTCCATTGACATCTTTACAACAAATGAGGCCTCGTGTGTCGCCATCCAGATTCCTCTGATTTAAGCTGCGGTGTAATAGACACAGAGGTAGTTGAGGCAACAGCAAACATTAAGGCTGTTATCTGCCTATGTGTAATGCTTAAGTACATGTTGCATCATGGCCTGTGAATCCCTTAGCTTTGGTTGGCAGTTTTAATCAACTCTTCCACCCATGAGAACATTACTTTGAGAGCTAGATGAATGACTGCAAAAACCTTCAATGGCATTTCTAAAAACACTGATAAAATGCATCAATAATTGAGTTTAATTCCACACGCATTTCAGCCAAAGTGAAACATTTGGGGAAATGTTGCTTTAATAGTTTTTTTTACCTCACAATCTGGTGCAAACTAGAACTGATGGGCTTGATAATTCAACAAAAATGGGACTGCAGATCAATCAATTAAGAGAGAATCTCGACTGTATTGATAACATCAAAAATGTTCTTCTTCTTCCCAGTTGATGAGGTTGGATTACCCTGATAAGTATTTTGATATTGTGAGAAGCAATAACCTCAATGGTTCGGCACTGGTCTTTGGTGATGCAGATGACCTTAAGAATCTCCTGAATATGACATTTGGTGAATGGGCAACATTCAGACTGCACTTCCTTCCACACTTACCATCCCGTCTCGGACCAGCACACAAGAGAACACCAACAATGCTTTCCCACCCACAGAACCAGATGTCTAGGTTTTATGCAGCCCATCATAACTCCTCCAACTCCAGTCTGGCAAAAAAATGAACATAACACTTCAGCTTCAGTAAGTCTGATATCTCTAATGCTGTGTTTTTAATGCATAACATTTTATAACATACGAGTTAGCACCTGCTCTCTATTTAAACTCTATCAAGCCATGCCATGTTCTGTGAAAAGAGTATATTATGAAACAACACAATTGCACATTTATATGTTAATGTTTTAGAGAAGGTAGAAATAGAAACTAATCAGGAAGACAAGAAGCTGTGAAATGTTGGCCAGTGAAACTATAACCATCAAAACCGTAGCCTCTTAATCGTCTTTGATATTTTAAAATGTATTTCAAGAGCATTTCTAACATTTTGTATTATTAAATATACAAAAAAACTCTTTTACCTCTTTTAATGATGTACTGTCTTCTCCACTGTGACATACTATATATGACTGTATTTATCCAACCAGAGGAGTGTTACTCTCTGTTATGGCTTCCTCAAGGGCTCCAACTGTGTAGGTCTTACATGTTTCAACATCATGTTATTTCTGTCATAACATTTTCATTTTATTTCATTCAATTACTGCTACTGCTGTTATTTTTACTGTAGCTCTGCCCTGAATGTTTACCATGAAGTGTGTGCCTAAATCCAAAATGTGTGCAACAAGTTTCCAAATCTCTTAAGATTAAGATGCTTGGGTTGTAGAGTTCTCTTTGCTGCAATGACAGTAGGATTTAGTCAGAGCTTTTGTTTCTGCTCTCCGTGTTTAATGAAATCCACGGTGATGATTTAAGACATTCTTTATTGGTTTGTAAGATAGAGTATATGAGCTGCAGCAAATCATAATGTTTAATAAAAACAATGTAACAAAGTCTGGCAGATAAAATGTATGCAAAACTTTTCAATAATAAAAATCCTTAAAGCCAAAGTCATTTCTTGATGTGTGGTTCTCTGCTGGGCTACAAACAGCCTCCACAAGATGCTGACTCATCAATGATATTTCATCAGTCTTAAAAAAAAATCAGCTGAAGGTTCATTTCATCTGGGTTCCTTTGAACTGTTCCCCTCAGAAAGCTGCAAACGTTCATCCAGCTAAAAATATCCAACTAACAACCACAGGCATTTACAGTACAAGCAGAAACATGACAACAGAGAAGGCATACTGTACAAACAGCAGTCTCAGCACTTATTGGTTACAGTAGCATCTCTAATTTTCAATGCTTTGATATTTCATTGCAATATAGAGTATCAGAACCTATTCAGTCCATGTAGGTTAAATACAGATTGGTATTATATCTAGTGGATGCATCTTTACTTCATGATCTTTCAATACTTTCAGGAATAGCTCATATTTACGCGTTTAACAGGAACATATATTTTCTCGTAGACAGTACAGAAGTCAGAGAAACACAACATTTGATCATTGCTTCTTTAAAACCCCCTCGTTGTCTCATCTTGAATAATAACAAATCCAAACTTTTTTATTTCTGTGTATACTTTTCCTAGCTAAGATAGAAATACTGGGGCAAAACTATGTCAGTTACATGTACACTAATATGTGTATTTTAAGACACGTAGTTTATATGTTCAAGGCACGTGGGTTATTAAGTCGAATGCAAATTAATTTCTAAAAGGCTTATCTTTAATCTTAGATTAAAAAAAGGTGAGCAATTCTTCTAAAGGTAAAGTTTGAACAAAGATGGATACAGTACGTCTTATTTAAGGAAGAATAAGGAAGTGGACAATTTAGGAATGCCTTTAAAAAATATATCCAAACTGTTAGAAAACAAACAAAAAAACAGATATAATAGGCAGTTTTGTGACAACACCACAGTGATAATCATTTCAACGATAAATATTGTTCTACTGATTTTTTTTTTAGCTGGTTGAGGCAGCAGTTCTCTATAATATTTTACCACAACAAACACAGTGGGAGGATTTCCAGGTTGTTTGGCTGGAAGCAGCTCACTTGCGTCCCAAAGACTCAGCCAGCTTCTTGAGCCTTTTCTTCAGCTCCAGAGGGAACTTCTCATAACACTTTTTACACACAGGCTTCATGTCGAATTCCACAAATTTGTTCCTGAAAAGAAGGAAAAAAAAGACCACGAGTCGTAAGAACAAAATTCAGTCTAAATCATATTAATGTTCCAGTAGGACATGCCCTTTTTTTAACATGCATCCTTCATGAATATCCAGCTGTTTTTATCACAGCAGGTAAACTGTATGTTAAAATACAACCTTAGTGAACTGGAATTACTGCAGAAACAGTTGCACTTTGTTGTAGTTTGGCCCCTTTAGCCCTCAACAGTGATTACTCACCTCATTCAACCTAAATCGTCTACATCTGAAAGCAGAGTTTCAAAAGTACGACAGACATATAATCTATGACATTGTTAATAATCAGTTCTTCAAAGGTTTTGCACAATCAACATAAACTCCAAACACAAGCACACTCTTGCTGCTGTGTACAAAAAGAGAGTCATGCCACGTCTTCAAAGGGTAAAACAGAGAACATCACAAACACGGGGAAAACAGAGAGAGCACAAACCAAAAGATGGAGTGCTGAGTTATGAAGAATAATAACTCTACAGACACACAGCCGGTTTTTTCTTTCGCTCTTTGGCATCACGCTCACGTCGGGCCAGACGGCGTTTCAGCTCCTCAGGCATGCGCTCATAGCAGTGCTTGCACACTGGCCTCAGGTCAATTTCAACAAACTTATCTCTGAGTTACCATGGAGGCAGCAAGTGAAGCATGTAAGAGGAGAAATTGGAAGAAAAGAGGAGGGAAGAGTTGTAGCCAGAAAATGAAACACACAAAGACATCTTAAGTACCACAAGACAAAGTAGTGGTTACATTGAAGTGTTAAAGGCAACCAACTGCTAGTTTTACACATACTAAGTGAGCAGAAGAAACACTTGTGGGGGTTCTTGACTTACTTGAGAGTCAGTTTTGTGTTGCAGGTGGAGCATGAGAAACAGCTGACACACCAGGCCTTGTTGAGAGCAGACACCACTGATAGAATCACAAAGAAAGGAAAATAAGGACATTAGTCAATTTAACAATTAAATATTTGAGCAACATTTCATGTAAACTGTCAAAAAGAAAGTACTCACCATCCCCTTCAATCACACGGTTGCAGTGATAGCACACATCTCCAAAGAGCTGGACAGCAGGACACAAACAAGATACACCGATATTAATTATTTGAGGTATTTAGGGATCATTAGTCCTGTGTTACTCCACGTGACACCTGTCATGTCCCTGAATCCAACCTCCTCTCTTCTTACCTGGTTGTAATGAGTCTCGCAGTAAGCCAGCCCCTTCCTCTCGTAATGGCGATGACCGAGGAAAGGCTTCTCGCACTTGGCACACACAAAATGCTGTAAACAAAAACAAATGTTGCTGAGGGGAAGAGGGAAAACCCTTAATGAAGGCACGTGGAAGAAGAGCAGATGTCTACACACACGGAGAGGGGGCTGATTACTTTTTAGTAGTCTGAATTATAAATACTTCATGAACATCACATGAATAAATGTATTTTACATAGACTTGAACTATAAAAAAATGACTTATGGTTATATTGGATATTTTTCAGGTGTTATATTCCAATGTTACTGTCATAGTTTTATCAACCGACCTTATTTCAAATAGCTGAACTTTTCTGATAATAGTGTAAGCAGTGTACTGTATTTTTCGCACCATAAGGCGCACCTGATTATAAGGCAACCATCAATGAACGCGTCTATTCGCGTCTATTTTCATACATAAGGTGCACCAGAGTATAAAGCGCATTAAGCCAAACAAAACAGTCAGATAAGTCAAACTTTATTTAACTCATTCAATAACTCTGCGAGGCTATGGTAGATGCAGTGCTCTGACAAGCCAAAACAATTCTAAGTGCGCCTTATAGTGCAAAAAATACGGTAGTCACTTGTCGAGGTGCCTTAGAAGAAAGATTTCTTTAAAAGGCTCCCCACGCCCTAAATGAGCTTCTTAATGGTTTTTTGCTTTGCGCCTTGTTTGATCAGTTAGGTTTTCCTGTGCTTAACTATTAGTTAAACATTACCAACTTTAAAAAGGTGAAACGTGACAAACTCCTCTAGCGATCATTTCTCTCCAAACACACCATATCATGAAAACAGCAAACAAAAATCGTGATTTCTTGAGTAAACTCTGTTTCTTTTGAAGGAGTGAACTCTTTAAGTAAACCAGCTCTTAAAACAACAAACTGCAACTTTCACTTAACACCGTTTGAACTGTACTGATAATAGCCTTAATTCTGCCTACAAACCTCCACATGCCACTGCTTGCCCATGGCATTGACGACACGTCCCTCAATGGGTCGCCTGCAGGCCCCGCAGATTGGTACACCCATCTTGTCATGGCAGGGCAAACAGAAGAGCTCTCCCTTCAGTTCCCTGGCTTCAGCCGTCAGCTCTTTGCTGTGGGTGTAGACAGATAAAATGGTACACATAAAAGAGACATAGATACAGGTTTTGACACTGAGGAGCTGAAATTTATTTTAAAGATTATACCGAGCTGTTTTTTGTCTGAAAAGAGCTGGAGGGAGTGCAAAGAGACTGACCCGCAGTTGTTGCAGTTGAAGTGGTCTGGATGATAGGGGTCGTTCTTGAAGATCAGGGGCTGCTCTTCAATGATGGCGTGGCACTTCTGGCAGATATACTTGCCCAGGCCGCGGGCTTTCTCACGGTTATGGCATGGGCGACATAGGTGCCTGAGGTGAGAGCAGGAGAACAAAATGTAGGGGTTTCAAGAAATACTCTGCTGCCTCAAATTATGTTTTGACATGCTCTGTCACAGCTGCTCAGGATTCCATTATTTATAAATACCCCAAAGTACAAGTCGCCAGGTTGGCATGTGTGTAACCACCTGCTTTACAGGCTGTCACTGTGTTATATTAAGGCTGTAATAAGATGGGATACTTACCTGCCAGCATTTTTGACAAAGCCGACGTCCGCGAGCACAGCCTGGCAAATGTCACAGCAGAAGCAGTCTGGGTGCCAACTGTTGTTCATGGCCTTAATGACCCGACCAATGATGAACTCCCCTGAAGGAAATCGTGCGAGAGATCAGCTTGAGGAAGGTCTGTGTTTGCCTTCTCCGATGATGTTAAAACAATTTGCTCTTTTCTGGGTCCTGATGGGCAGTGCAGTATTATAGTCTGGTGTTACCACAATGCGCGGCAGTGCTTTCTATGGTGTTCTCAAAGTGATACTTAAATGTTGAATTCAGTTTAATTGTCTATTTAATCTAATTACACCATGTTGAGCTCTCTCTTAACGCAGTGGAGAGGAATTTAAATGAAGCTTACAGGGCTTTAAGTACAAATATAATGTGAGTGGGGTTTCTTCGTTTAATAAATGGGTGTCAAGATCTAAATAATCACACTGAGATCTGATCTTTTAATCAAATAAGGATAATATGAAGGATAGATGTCTTGCCTGTGGGGTATGAACAACTACAGAAAAGATTTCAAACCAAGGATTAAAGGAGGAATAGAAAAGACACATCTCTATCACATTTGTAACAATAAAATCTCAACACTTAACATGTAACTATTATCTTAGAAATATTTTTTATTTCTTTTACTAGTGCCAGAGTATAAAGCAGTTTTAGCTCCAGACAATAGTCGTAACACATCTGAGTTTATGTGAAACATCTTTTCCACATCTGAATCAACAGCCTCTTACACACGGCAACTCCCTAACAACGCTGGAAAAAGTTTCACCACCAGTCCTCTTTCATGACTTATACATTATGCTGATTACACATCGCATTACAGTATTACTTAAGTATGAGAGGGTTGTAAACACACGAGGGCCCCACACACACACATTCACTCAGACATGGTCATACACGGCACTGTTCTGCCCTGCTTTCCTCATTACTTATGCTTGACACATTGCAGACAAGGTATAACAAGGGTTTAAATATCTCAACTTATCATAACAATGTGTAAGAACCAATAACCAACATTTAAGTAGCATTACAGCCATTGGTCTTTCTTTCTCATCTATGTCTACAAGTATAGTAGACATACACGAAAAAGCTCAATGACACTTACCACACTGGTGACAGCAAGGAGCAAAGAGCATCTGAAAGTCATGTTCACAATATTTCCTTCCTTCAAACTGTGAAAACAAAAAGATAAATTTCCTTTAAATATTCCAAATAATACCAGAATAAATAGTGGAATGAATTATAAAGAACATCTGAGTGTGATACCTCATAGAAGAGTCCCTCTGGAAACTGCTGGAAACACTGGGCGCACACAAAGCATTGCTCATGGTACAGCTCTCCATTACTATTGACAATCTTCTCAGTTGCAGCAAAGCCGCTTTTACATCTCTCACAGGCCGCACTGGCCAGGGCATTAGCAATGCTGGTCCATGGGACAAGAAGATAAACATTAGTACATTACTTGTTCAGAGTTCCTGTGAAATGCTAGGCTGACAAATCACTTGGGTGCAAGACTGAACCGATGTTTATCATTTGTCACATTACTCCTACTTTAAGTGCTGTGCTTGTCTCAGCAGCTGGAGACCAGAAATAATATGTGAATCAGTTGAAGAACTCACTAACACTCTTACTCAGTGCGCAGTCATCACCTAATTTGGTAAAGGAAATGAGGCTCTGAAATGTAGCTAAGAGACACTGCAGTTCCTCCTCACACATCATGCATAAACACACAGTGCCACAGTACTTCACAAATCCACACCACACCTTATTTAAAAATGTATCCAGATACTTTGGGGACAACAGAAGGTTACAGAGTGGCCCAGTTGACTACAAGGCAAATGTGCTGAGGCTTTGTAGGGCACGCAAAGACATTAAAAATAGCTAAGCTGAAATAACAATAACCAAGCTGATCTGATATCCACCAGCCAGCCATAACATTGTGAACAACTGGGCAACCTATTGCTGTCCAATACAACAGCTTTACCACAAATCCTACTTACAGGAACTTGTACATTTTTAGTTTTTGTCAGCACAAGTGAAAGCTGTACGACTTATTTATTACAGAAGAGGAAGTGAGTCATTGTGGTGTGCGACAAAGTAGAAGGTGTTTCTTAGGTGTTCCTAACATTTTGTCCCCTACATTGACAAACAGGGTAAAAGGGGCACATTATTAGTGACACCTATCATTACACCCAGTATACCAACACTTCTTCAACCTCAACAATTTATTTTAAGAGTAATAATCACCTCTTAGACCATGTCTGCAAGGACATTAAATAAAGCTAAGCTGAAATAACAATAACTACTCTGATCCGATATCCACCAGCCAGCCATAACATTATGAACAACTGGGCAACCTATTGTTGTCCAATACAACAGTTTTACCACAAATCCTACATGAGATTGTAATTTTTTAGTTTTTGTCAGCACAAGTGATAGCAGTACGACTTATTTATTACTAAAGAGGAAGTGAGTGATTGTGGTGTGCTGGAAGGTGTTTCTTAATGGTTCCTAATATTTTGTCCCATTCATTGACAAACAGGGTAGGAGGGGGCACATTATTAGGGACACCTATCATTTCACCCCAGTATACCAACACCATTACAACTTCAACAATTTATTTAAGGAGTAATAATGGCCTCTTTGGCCATGTAAGATCATATATAACTACAGCCTGATGATAAACTCCTAATTTTGGAGGATGAAAATCTCCACAGCTAACTAGCTTGCTAGCCGCAGTTTCTTGGCACCAATGTTGGGAATAATAAAAGCTAAAATCTTGATGCTATCGTCGGTTAACTATCTAGGGAAAACGTACCACATCTAAAACAAACTTTATACCGTCGCATTTACTATGTTCATGATGAAAATAACATTTCGGTGTTACTTAAAACCTGGTCTCGTCACGTAGCATAGCGGTTAGCTAACTTTCCACTGGCCATTCAATATGACGTTAGCTTAGCCTCAGGCTATGTATTTTTGCTACTAACGTTTCTAACGGGGTAAAAACAGCAACTTACCTGCCCGTCATTCCGTCTACTCCCAGCATCACCCTCTACCGTGACAGATTTACAAGAAAAGCAATTAAAGAAGCATTTACGCTGTCCTGGTTCATCTAGTTTAAAGTTTGGGGAGGAAGTCAGAGTTGCCCCTCCCAGGAGAACACCGATGAAGCTGAGCTGGCAGCTGCAGCTGAGCTGACCGAGCTCCGGGAGGGACACCCCCGCCGAGCTGGGAGGAGTGTCCCGACATAGGGGTCTCCAGAATGTGTATTGAAACATCTCAGGTCACTTTATTTCAGTTTTTACCAGGTTTTAAAGTTAAAGATAGTTACAGATAGCTACAGTTTTCTTAGTCATGTTGCCAACTTGAAGACAAGTGTAAAAAATTGAGATTTGAGATAAATTTACTATAGAAATTACATTTTTAGAAATCATTCTCCTTCCACCTTTACCTGCCTTCTCATTTTCACCTTCTTGAACCTCCTCTCTCTGCACATTCCCTGCCCCAACCCTACTTTCCCTGCTCTGGATTTGAGCTCTGCAGTTGTTAACATATGGACAGCACCTGTCTATGATTCAACCCTGGACCATCTACAGTCCTGGCCAAAAGTTTTGAGAATGACACAAATAATAATTTTCACAAATTCTGCTTCTTCAGTGTTTTTAGATCTTTTTGTCAGATGTTTTTATGTTATACTAAAGTATGATTACAAGCATTTCATAAGTGTCAATCTGTACATTTTGGTCTGTCCACCCATGTCTCGAGGATTAACCACAATTCTCTACGGGATTAAGGTCTGGGGAGGTTCCTGGCCATAGACCCAACATTTTCAGTTTTTTTTTTGTCCCTCAAGTGACTTAGTTATCACTTTTGCCTCATAGCAAGGTGCTCCATCATGCTGGAAAAGGCATCATTCATCACCAAACTGATCTCAGATGTTTGGGAGAAGTTGCTCTTCAAGGATATTTTGGTACCATTCTTCGTTCATGGCTGTGTTCTTGGGCAAAATTGTGAGTGAGCCCACTCCCTTGACTGAGAAGCAACCCCACACATGAATAGTCTCAGTAATACTTTATTGTTGGCATGACACAGGGCTGATAATAGCGCTCACCTTTTCTTCTCCAAACAAGCTTTTTTCCAGATGCCCTAAACAATCGGAAAGGGGGTTCATCAGAGAAAATGACTTTACCCCAGTCCTCAGCAATCCAGTCCCTGTACTTTCACAGAATATCAGTCTTTCCCTTATGTTTTTTTCTGGAGAGAAATTACTTCTTTGCTGCCCTTCTTGACACCAAGTCTTCCTCCAAAAGTCTTCGCCTCACTGTGCGTGCAGATACACTCACACCTGCTTGCTGCCATTCCTGAGCAAGCTCTGCACTGGTGGTGCCCCAATCCTGCAGCTGAATCAACTTTAGGGGACAGTCCTGGAGCCTTCCTCACAATAACTGAACCTCTCTCCTTGAAGTTCTTGATAATCTGATAAATGATCGTTTTAAGTGCAATCTTACTATCAGCAATATCCTTCCTCGTGAGGCCCTTTTTGTGCAAAGCAATAATGACTGCACGTGTTTCCTTACAGATAACCGTGGTTTACAGAGGAAGAACAATAATTTCAAGCACCACCCTCATTTTAAAGCATCCAGTCTGTTATTCTTACTCGATCAGTATGACAGATTGATCTCCAGCCTTGTCCTCATCAGTACTCTCACCTGTGTTAACAAGAGAATTGCTAAAATTTGTTCATTTAAAAAAGATGGTCAAACATAGCTACGCAAATAGTTTTCAAGGCGATTTTTGATCGAATAATCAATTTATGTACACAACCTTGTGCGTCATTCAATTACACAATCAGCAGTGCATATTGATGTAAGGCCACAGGTAACATTTTCTTATGGGATAAGGAAATGCTTTTGAATATATTTCATTCTTTGCATTCGTTGCATGAATTCCAATCATTATATTTGTGGACAAAATTATTTCAAACATTTCTCTGGCCCTTTCTATCTCAGCAGCAGACACTGGGGTGCTGCTGTTAACTTCAAAGCTCTGCAGGCCACGCAACAGAAACAATAAGCTTTGAATTGACTGGACTTATCAAACTCCATGAACTTAAACTTTAAAAAAAACTAATCAAAAAGGTAAAGCCAAATATATATTAAACTTACAAAAGTAAAAGGGGACAATCAAAAAGTTGTCAAATGAAAGTTTCTTCACATCCCCTGTCCTCAGAAGTCTAATTAAGTTTAGTTATTACCTAACAAACTGAAGCACTTCCTCACATCGATGATTGTCTTTTTAACAAACAGGTGACATAAATCATGAGACAAATGAAAACACCTGTGTGGGGTGTCCAAACTAGATAAATGATGCGATCACATGATAAAATGAGCCATGGTCATAGCTGTAGATAAAAACGCCTTCCTTTATACTGCTGAAGATTTTCTATCCTTTGTCTATGACGTGAATTCTGTTGAACAGCTTATTCAGAATAAATGTAAAACATCCTGTTTTGACTCACCTGTAAGACTGTGGGAAAAAATACAATAGTGAAGGGTTATTTATGTGAATTTGTCTTCATTCAAAGCTATTAAACTCTGGTTAGCTAAAAAATCTACAAGGATAAATCAATTATGTGGATTTAAGTAAGACCGTCTGATTTCATCAGCTCCAGGTTTGTACCTGAAGCACCTCCAGCACATTCCCTCTTGAGGAGATGACTCTTTTTGCATTTAAAAACCCTTAAAGACTTAAAAATTTAATGAGCTGTGGGGAGAAGAGGAAATGGCGCCCTGGTTGTATCTTTTATCTGATTTCACTTAATGGAGCTATTATTTGAACGTGTCCTCTCTTGCTTGTGTCTGTTTTTATGTCCTTATGTTTGCACTTGTTTGTATGCCTTCTTGGAGCTATTCTGCTGAGAGGGAAGTGCAGTATAAATTATATTTACTCTTGTTGCTATCTATTCTTTTTTCCTTTTATACTTTCTCACAGTTTAAATCCGGGGGAAACTACAGGAGCTGTTATTACCTTTATCCGACATATTTTCTACTTTAATTAGGAAGAAAACTTTTAAAAGCAACAGTATCGTGTCTGTAGTCTAGACTCAAGAAACACACTCAAACAGGCATCTTTAATGTGGCTATGAACTTTACTCAAATGTTACACATCTTTGGGAAAAGTACAAGCAGTTGGTTACCCTCCAATTATTCCTTTCAGTACAAAACAGCCTTTTAAAGCTGAAATAAGACAGCACAATATAACTGCACTCTATAAAAAGCATGAGGCCTTTCTCCGGCCTTTCTTTAATATAACAACACCTATCTGTAAGCACTGAGTACTAACGCATTTAATATCAGACAACTTGGTTTTATAAATAAACAATAAAATGTTCTGTCAGTTAAGGATGAAGTCCAACACATAGAATTAAGACATGATGGGTCCCGATTAAACAGAGAAAAGTGAAGTCATATCATCCTGGAGTTATCGGTTTGTTTCAATTAACATTTGCAAACAACAAGTATGAATATCGAGCCTGTAAAATAATTTGACGATCCACCCAGACATAGTGATTTACAGTCAATCATTGCACGGTACAGGGGTGTTATCTTTCAGCACAGCAAGCACATCCTTGGTAAGTCCCACTAAAATTCATCAAAACATAAATGAGACAAACATTTCAATCCCATACATTCGTTAACATCAACATTCAGCTGCCGTGTGTTGTCCTATCACCAGGGCTCCATGATTACCTCATTAACATAATGTCTTTCTATTTTTATCAAATATATATACACACACACAATGCCAATGTTTTTAAATGTGTCATTGTGTGTTTTAACACAACAGATAAATGTAATTTAGACAAAATAATCAAAGATCTCTATTTGCTTCTGCGTTATAGTCAAAACAACAACACTCATAAATGTATGGCACTGATCCATTGTTCAAATCTGTCAGGCTTTAATTATGCTGCAAGGTAATTTGGAGTTATATTCAGACTATGACTACTCTGAATTTTTAATTCTTAAGTAAACTGGCTAAGACTGTCAGCTGTGCTTACAATCAGCTTTGGGTTGTCACATAAGCTTCCCAGAATGTATTTTTCTTTAAATAACATCACTAATGAAACAAACCCAACAGCCAAATCACTTTCTAATTACAATAAATGTTGAGAATTGAAAATTGATCAATTCAAACCTATTAACTGCACGTGGCGACTAATAAAACTGACATATACTGATAAACTTCCAACATTCACCAGTATTCAAAACGGTCTTTTTTTCATCTGAGGACTTTGCAGCTCTTTTATCAACATGGGTCCTTCACTGTAGTAAAAGTGCAAAAAGCATATTAAAGAGTATAGAGTAGACCTGCTCTACATGTAAAGTGTCAAGAAATAACTTGCATTATTCGCTGCTATATAAATAAGAATGTCTTGATAGAAATTTAGATTGAAATTCAGGCCATAGTAACATGGGTCAGGCGATGTAGATTTATAGCTTCTGTATATGAAACACAAAAATATGTTCAAACAACACTCTTATTTATATATAGTAATATAAACAGTATGTACAGACTAAGATGGTTATGGCCAAAGTCTCAGAAGAGCACCACCTTCACACAAAGCTGGAGAATAAAACTGCCTTGAAGTCAAAAGAACTAAAACGAGACGATTCTGATTCTGGTTTAAAATCAGATACATGAAGCACATTCAAAAGCATCACAAAGAGATATCCACCACACTGGAACTATAATGGGAGGGAAATGCTTGTTTTCACTCACTAGTTTTTCATCTAACTGATTTGGCGCACAGGTTGTTAGATGAAATGACTCAAAATAAAGATGTCTGAAAAAAAATTGCTAAACTGAGCTGTAATGATGTTTAAATCTGTGGTGCGTCACTGAAGGATTCTGATCTTGTTTTTTATGATATGGGGAAATCTTCATGTTCCTTACATAGACTGTATAAAGAATGGACAGTGTCTGCCTCCTTGCTGGGTGAAGCCACCCCAAGAACAGCACCCTCTGGTGATGGGCTGCAGTATAGGTCATAAATCCCGCCTCCTCCAGCAATCCCTATGGAGCTGTGGAGAAACTTTAGAAATTTATTACACAGAATATAAATTTTTCTCCCCCCTGCTTGAGATGTTGACATGTAGTTACTGTCAGACTGGTTTGTGCTCAAGTCCTCTTTTTTTTCTGTGCAGCTCCATTTTTAAAAGTTTTTAGGGGGTTCAAGTTTTCTATGATTGACACTTGATACAGCCTATGGGCGTACAGAACCAAGTTGTCCATAGTATAACGAGTCTATGGTTCTTTATCTGCTTACTGTGGACATGAAAACACTGAACTACTGGACATTCCTGTTTAACCCAAAATATTTTCATCCCCCGACTGACTTTTTCTACAAGATTTCTCATCTTAACAAAAGGGTAAAGAGAAAAAGGTGCTAAATGCTGTGATGAAACAAATTAATTTAGATATAAATATAATATAAATATAAAAATTATATACAGGAAACTGCTTGGAGAAGTTGTAATCAATATTCCTATTTCAGCTCTTAAAACTCAAAGAGATGATCGTAAATTCAAGGAGTAAAACAAACAAACACACTGTGTGGGAAAAGGCCTTGTCCTGAAACAGGAGACAGATGGAGACATTTTCAATTAATGTAGATGACACACACACATTCACACACTCATACTCGCACAAAATCCTGGACACAGCTTTCAATCCTCTTCCCAAGATTTACCACGTAGGCATCATGTCTGGGAACCAAACGCGGCCCAGATGCTTTGACACCTCCCAGTGGATGTCATCCAGCCCGTAGCGGTGATCTGGAACCAGTACCTCCTCCATGATGGATAGCTGTGTCAGTCTGTCTCCACACATCTTCACAAACTCCACAAAGGCGCTGCAGGACACCTCGCACTCTCCCAATCCGATGGCAGACAGCTGCGTGCAGCGTTGGGCAATGCGAATCAACTCCTCATCCAGCGGCCGCAGCCCGTTGGCGCACACCACCAGCTCCACCAAACGAGGGCAGGTGAGCCCGACGCGGCCAAGCACATCTTTGCTGACGGAGCGGCCGAAGTACAGATGTGTGACAGGGATTTCATCGCGGAAGAAAGGGCCAAACTCGTCCTCGTAGAGGAAGAAGTACATGACCAGATTGAATTTGGGAGAGTGCCGCATCATGGCGTCCCAGCTGCTTTTCTTGATGCTGTGGAACTGTTGGCCGGGATTCTCGCTAATCACATCGATGCGAAGGTGCTCGAGGTGGACATGCTTCTCAGAGGAGAGGGCAATGAGAAGTTCATCGCTGAGCAGATGGTAGTTCAGGGCCAGTTCTCTCAGGCCATGGCACTGATCAGCCACACAAAGGATGCCTGAGAGTGAGAGAGAAGAAAATTAAAGGAGAGGATGGATCCACACAAAATCCAAACAGAAAAACAGACAACACCTTTCTTTGTCCCAGCCACAGTACTAGCCACCTAACATCTTTTTATTTTGCCTAATTTCTTTGGCAAAGAGACTAAACACATCTCACCTACTCTCTTCCAGCAGCCGCTTGTTTATGACCTTGACTGACCTTGGGCCAGTCCATTACGGACTACAGCGGGGTGACGCAGCTCAAGGAAGAACATTTATGATCATTTCACGCTACGGCAGAGGAACTACCACGTCTGCAGTGCAAAATGATTAATATGGTGATTATTACTTCAAGGAAATGATAAAGAAATTGTGTATTGCTATCCTGCGGTCGTTACTAAAGTTGGTTTAACTAGAGAAACAAACTGTCAGCAACATCCATCTCTCGAGGGGGTGTCTAACTTTGTGTTATGGTGTGTTTGACCCTAACTTAATTTTGTAGCCGGGATATCCCTTTAAGAGTTTCTGCTGACTTTTTTCAACATTCTTCAAGATATGTAAAGTTAGGGTGGAGTGGCTGCAACTCTGGGGAGCACCACCTTTTAATGATCTTGATCCATCAAATTCCTGACCACTTCTAGCATCAGTGTTTCTGACATCAGTACCTGCAGGTGACACATGCGGGCAGCTGCTCATCTTCAGCAGCTTGAGCGTGTCACTGTTATTGGCCACCAGGACTTTGAGGGAGGGGTCATCCACAGGGGTGTCATCGATCTTCAGCGAGGAGAGGGACTTGGAGTTGACGAAAACCACTGTCAGGGCTGAGATGAAGTGAGACTGTCAAAGAGAGAAAAGAATAGAGTAAGTTCACACAGTATTGCTGGTCTCACTACAATAACAGCCTATGTTGGCTTGGGTTCACAACACGTTTCATATGATCAGCTACACTCAACAAGGTACAGCACAAGAAGTCATTAAGAAGAGTCACAAACACAAGGACTTGCAGGAGGAGTGACACACAGCACAGCGTGTCTGTTACAGTAAACAAGTGCAGATGGGGGGCAGCAAGCACAGACCGCACATACTGAGCGCACATCACAATGTTTACATTAGCTTTGAAATGGAAATTGTTGCTATTCCTATAAAGCCTTTGCAACGGCTCAGAGATTCTTGTGTAAGAATAGTAACTATGATTGTTAGAAAAATGCTTCAGTAATTGAAATCATGCCGCACTTGGTGACCTTCCCCACAACGGAGTACGTAAGCTTCGCCTGTAGATAATGATAATAACAGGAATGACAATCTTTCCGAGGCCTACCTTGGGCAGCTCCATGAAGCTGGGCCTTGCTGTTGAGATGAGCCCCAAAGTTTTCAAAGAACAATTGACGAGCTGGGAGAGGATGTCGCATGCTGCCTCTGCGGACTCTCTGCTGCTGTCCACCTGCGCAGCACAGAGGGGAATAAAAAAGAAAGGCACTTAGAGTTTAATGAGAACAGAGGAATCCACTTTACCTCCCCGAACGCGCTGGGTGCATACCTTGAAGCTGACATACTGCAGGTGGTTAGCGTGCCTCTTGATGATCTGTTTGATGAGATCGGGGTGTGTGGCCTTCAGGTAGGAGCTGGCCGGCTGGGTTAACTCAAACTCAAAACATCGCCACAGCTCTGGCATGTGAAAAGCTTGGTTCCAGCCACGGCATACCTACGGTGAAGGTAATGAATTCAAAACCTGAACAAGTGGTCTGTATCTTTTAGAAACAGCTAAACCCATAATTTGGTGTTAACAGGGAACATTCAACATTCTTGGCAATAGATGATTAAATTTTTCCAAATCTAAATTATAACATTTTCAAAATGACTCAGTTTTTGACAAAAGTTAAATCTGCAACAAAACTGACCTCTAAGTTTCAAACTTAATACTTTGAGGACATTTTGCACACTGAATGAATCTTTAATTTGTGTTTTACAATTAGTGTCCTTTTGTACAAGAGGGATTGTGGGCAAGTGACTCTATATAAAGCCTTAGAAAAGCTTAAAAACTAACAAAAAGCATTCATGTAGACATAGTTAAAGGGTTTATTTACATGTTTTTCCTCCTTTAAAGAGCCAGACTGAATTTTGACAAAAAACATATTGAAAACACAATAATATGTGGCCTTTCTCAGTGTTTCATGCAGACATAAAACTTTTTTTTAGCACAAACTGAAGAGTCACAGCCCCGCACAATGACGAGGAAAACGTCCTTGACAGATATGATTGATGGACTCTCACAAACCATCATTAACCCCAAACCATTAAAATGAGGTTAAGGTCACCTGAGAAGCATAAGCTCGATCGAGGAGAGGCAGGTACTGGAAGATGTGGAGTAGGATCTCCTGAGGCAGACATTCCCAGTGGGCTCCCTCCCCTTCAAAGTCTTTCTCCCTCCTCTGCTTGCGAGACCGTTTAAGAGTCTCCTGAGACCCTCGGCTGGTGCCACCTTCATCCTCCTGCTTATTGTCTTTCAGCGCACGTTTCATCCTGCGTAAACAACATCCAGATGGTTGGGTTGAGTTAACATAATGGGGAAAGGAACTCTTCATTAGCAGTATTATTTATGTAGGGCCTCTTCGTCAACAGACCTGACATGCTTAACAAACCAAATGTTATCCCATTTATCAAGCAAGCTTGCTGTCCATGTCTGGTAGGTTGATGCATAATGACATAACACATGTTTGTCGAGCTTTGAGTGTTTTTGATCGGGTAAACTTTCAATCATTTTATTCCTCAGCTCATGAAATGATCACAATAAAAGAAAACCTCTGAAACAGATCACAACTTCAAATTCTCAGATTCAACATCCGTTATCAAAGACATGCACGGGACCTTGCTTGATAAATATTTGAATGACAATTATTTGTCTGTTTTTCTTATTCTTTGATTTTCTTAAGGGTAATCAATCAAACATGAAGGTATTGCAGGCTTGCTACATGAAAAACTACAGTCTACAACAGCTTATGGGTTGGCTGGAGTCCACCCTCAACGCTTTTATGCATACCTACCCCCATACTGTTCTCCCCACATTTCCTGTATCTTCAGCTTTCTGGTCTGTTTCAGGTATAAATGATTAAAATAAAAATCTTTGAAAGTAATGGTCCCTATTTGTCCCTGAATAAGATCCTGTTTTGTCCTGCTGCAGACCTCTGTCTACTTATCATGCCTGGCAATGAGTGTATTGAGATCTTTATTTCTTTCTTTATTTTTTCTTTTGTTTTCCCTTTACGACCCCACTTTAAGGACTGAAATTGTTATTCTAGTACGATCACCTGCCACAACCTTAGGTACAACTGAGCAATTAAATGTAACAAAGTATAACAGCTCTACCATAAAATCTACTTTTACAACGCTTCAGCATTTTCAGTTTTTTATGACATGGTCAGACACGTGATGTTTATACTGAAAGGTGTTCCGAATATTTTGTCCCTCTTATATTTGTTGACGTTCAAAAGGACAACATATAAGGAACACCTTTCAATAAAATGCACTAAAATCTATGTTAGAGCTGTTTTGGACTGCCCTGGTGTTCATAATGTTTTCAGCCTGCCTTGTTTTATTATAAACAAATGTATCACAGCCACCTGTAAGAGACTGTAATCAATAAAGCTCTAAATGACCGGTAAAACTGTGCATGTTGATCTTCCTGGCTTCACCTCAGAATGAAAACATTGTTTCAGCCGGACACGCCTCCCTTTGACTCACCGTCTCATCAGTATGATGGACAATTCACAAGCTAAAAGTTCGGCTTCAGCTCATAATAAACCAACAAAAACGCGTTTTCTACATGTATGTGTTTTCATGGTTTAATGATAATACGGATGGTCGATTTACTGCACAACAGCACCGAGTAAACGAGGATAAATGCTAGCATAGCCAGGACCGAACCGACCCCTGCGCCTAGCTAACTAGCTACCTGGCAACGATTTGTAGTGGTTAGTTAATGAAAAGTTACACCTGACTGTGTGAGAGTGTAGTAAACTTACAGGTTTAGCTCTGTTACTAAGCTTGCTCATCTCTTACCTGGCTTTCACTTCCGTCTGTCGGCTGTTAAATCAGAAAAGGCGATCAATCAACGTCAACCAGGTCCGACACAAGAAAACTGCGTTCGAGCTGGTCGACCGATCAAACACATTGGATCATAGGACAACACAGTGTGTCCGGAAGTCAGCGAACACCGAGTATACGCTTCTAAGCGAGATTTCAGAAGGTGTTTTTGTTTTCTAAGCGCCTGACCTAGTTTCGATTCACAACTCTGCTTCAGTAGTTTGCCTGTCGGCTAAAGATGGCGTTTGTGTTGCTGCGTCGAGAGTCCGTGGGCTGGTCGAGCGGCAGTTACAGAAAGCCGCCAGCAGGGGTCGCTGTTTCCCCATAATAACACCTGGAAGTATTTTATTTTAGGAAGGTTAATGTGGACCATTAGACTTGTTTAAAAATATTACTTTGGATATCTCTTTTTATCACTCTGTGAATGAGAAAATACTATCACCACCCATAAAACCACCTTTTTAGTGGTCAAACTTTGAGTATGTTTGTAAGGACATCTATCCATCCATCCATTTTCTACCGCTTATTCCTGTTCCCGGGGTCGCATGGGGGCTGGAACCTATCCCAGCATCTTTGGGCGAAGGCAGGGGACACCCTGGACAAGTCACTAGTTCATTGCAGGGCTGACATGTAGAGATGAACAACCATCCACACTCACTTCTGCATGTTTTTTGGATGTGGGAGGAAACCGGAGTAAACCCACACAGACACAGGGACAACATGCAAACTCCACACAGAAACACCCTGATCTGGATTCGAACCCAGGACCTTCTTGCTGTGAGGCGACAGTGCTAACCACTACACCACTGTGCTGCCCTAAGTACATCTAATACTATAGAAAACAGTTGAGAAACCTTTTGTTACAATTTTTTGGGGGTTAAGTCATATTTTTATAAGTCAGTACTGAGTGGGTTTCTTACTTTTACACCATTTTTTTCTCTTTTTCTCATGATAATTAGGCTCATGTCCAGGAGGCTGTCTAATGGTTAAATAATAATAACTCAAAAAAACAAAATAAAACACTCTTTAAATGATTCAAGAGGTGCAACCGTCAGGGAATTAGCCAATTATCTAATAGAGTCTCGTTTCAGACAGAACACTTTAGTCCCTTCACACACAGCAGTAACATTGAGGAAAACCATTTTTTCCCCCTGAGAAGTTAATCACTCTGATTTTTGTGTCTGGAGAAGACCTTGAGCTGCACAATGATTTCAACAAAGAGAGTAAAGAGCATCAACAGAACAGGCAACAGAGAAACAGGTGAGGTACACGGAAGTCATGTTTGCAACATTTTTTATTTTTTTTTGGCCTTGGTGAGATTTATGAGATGCCTGACAGGTAGGAACATTACGAGGGTCCAAAATGTGTTTCATACTTATCCAATACATGTATTTGGGAGGCACCAGAGGGCAAAACAGTAGGCCATGATAACAGGTCCGTAAGGAACTGTCATCGTGATCAAATACCTCCAACTTTAATGTTTTTCGGTACTTTGGAGGAGAGCGTCATGGTGAAAAGGTCAAAGCTATATGACTCTAACACTCTGGAGGAGGCAGGAACAAAAGCCAGGATTGATCTAACCACATGTTGTTCTTGAGATAGGTTTTTGCTGGAAAAAAAAGAAATAGACATTACTCTTACAGCTACTTTTTTTTTAAAAGTTATTTAGGAATGTCAGAAATTCATTCTTATTTGGATGTTATAGACAAGTGCTGCACTGTCACTATATGGAAGAAATGACTTAGTTATGATCACTTATGGGGAAGTATTGAAATTGAACTTTTTAATGACTGTCAATAACCAGAGCAGTGAATGTGTAGATGGATTCTGGTGTTGTGTAGATAAAACAAATGGAAACAATTTGGAGTTCTGGTGCGGTCTGATGCTAAAGTTCATTCATTCACTCATTTATTAATTCATGAATGATGAAAATCTTTAATATAGAGAGTATTACTGATACCAGTAGGCCCTTCAGGTTATGTTCTACCTGTGGTAACGGCTATCTGTCTCAAACATTTGTGATATGTATTGCCATCTTGTGGTCAAAAACTTCCTTACACCTTCTTGGCCCCATCACCACAGCCCAATGATCAAACCATCCACCGTACCACTGCATGATTCATATGGTACTTTCCAGTCCATCGACGGCTTTAAGATAGGCAGCAACGTGCTGCAAACATTTGCATATTTAACATGGAGTCTAATCTTCTCATGATGAACAGATAAAGGCTTGCGGCCAAATTGCTGTTTAGTTAAGTGACGGCAAGTGGACACTTTCTTTCTTCCAAATCATTTTTATTCAGTGATGTTTTCCTTTTTTGTGACTCAATTCAGTGTGACCATAAAATCGCGTGACATTGGCTGGGATATTTCCCACATCATCAAGGAAGAATGGATATAAAATAATACTAAGAGCATACAACCTTATCTCATAACATTCTGTAAAATATTGGCATTTGCTAGATTTTTATGACTATAAATATAAACACTCAACATCCAGAAGAAGCATTTCTGAGGAGTTTCCCGACACCAGCAGAGTGAGAGCAACAGAGGTGCCAGAAGTGGACGGTACAGTCCCATGGTGAAAGTTAAGGCCTTTTTTGGAGAGTCTGTCATTGGCAACACTTACTGTAGACGGCAGGGCCCTGAACCTAACCTCAGTCTGAGCAAAAATAACGATTTCATGAAAGAGAAGACAAAGTTCAAAGAAGCAGCAGGAGAAAACAGAAGATGTAACACGTAAGTTCTGATAGTCAAACTAACTGAATCCAGTAACTGGAGGGGTTTTACATTCTGTAGCATGCACCTTCCCCCTCATGAGATGACTAAAACAAACATTGTAAAATCATTCTTTGGTTTAACTGAGACCACAGATTTACATTGCTTGTGTTACAGGTGTAGAAGTTAGAAAAGTTGAGTATAAGAAGAAAGATTTTCAAGGACGATGCAAGTGTTTTTGCCAGCTTTAGCTCAACTACAACTCATAGAAGCTCTGTTAAGGGATGATAATGCAGCCCAGTTCCTTATCCTAAGATAGATTTTCTGCCACTCTCTGCGTTCACAGTTTTCAATTCATCTCCACAGTATAAACAGTGTCTAAAACTCGCTAACATGGGACTCCACCAATTTTACACATACTATGAATGCCTCTGTTGGGGTTTGGGAGATTTACAGTGAAGACAAATAACATTGATTAAAACAGTAGCACCTCAGGTCTAAATCGATATGGCAGGGTTGTAGGAGTACTGTATCAAATCACAGTGAACATCAATTCTGCATGCTTTAGCTGTTAATTTCATACTTTGAGAATCAAATATTTATCTGCAATGATTTGCATCAATTACTGGAGTTGTTTTGTGTTAAATCAGGCGAAAACTACGCTGTAAAGTGAGTGCTCTGTGGCTGTAGTTTAATCAGATTAAAACTTTCAAAGCAAACATGACTATGCAACCTCAAACTGCCAACATATACTTATCAAAGTATTGCTTCATTATGATTGCTCACTGGGTGTCAAAACAGCAAAAACAGAGAAGTTCCATGAAATTTAAAATGATAGAAAAAAATGATTAAAACTTGCCATGAAGCTGTGTTCCTGAAGAAAAAAGACGATGGACAAATGAAGTTATCAGATCATTGTATGCAGATTTGATGTTCACTGTGAATCCATAAATTACCAGAAAAAGAGGTAATAAAAATCAATACTTGGCCGATCTAAAATAATAGGCAAAATGGCCGTCTGTGATGTGAAATGTATGTGACTGTAGTAAACCAGATGACACAGAAAATACTGGCATAGTCCTTTTTAAGCAAATAAAGAAGGAAAGCAAAACAAACACATGCTAAAATCCTCTAAATGGCTATCAATTTAGTTTCAATGGGAGAAAAAGCCCACGTACACAGAGTATGCTCAGAAGTACACATAGTCATTCATAAAACACACACTCATGAAAACAGAGAATATTGTCAGAACTGTATTTGAGATTAAAAATCTTCCAAGTTGAAACAAACTAAAATCTTCTTCCAAATAAAACAATATTTTTCCTTACAGGCTAGAAGACATGCATATATGCAAAATACATCACTTAGAATATTTGTATCGTATACCTATTGCATCTTAATATTTTTATGTTATGTGTGTATGTACATTATTTTATGACACTGTGTACAACTGCAACATTTTAAATGCTGCAGGGAAACATCTAACACTGTGTGAACATTTTACAATGAAATCTGGACTGAACCTTTGAGCGCTTCCCACAAACGCAACGCCTCTGCAGGTGGGTGTATTTATTGCTTCCACATACCTGCCAAGTTGACTGAGCGCCTGTGCGGAGCACGGACACATCAGACTGCAGCAGGTATGAGCTTTGAAACAATATGTGACGCCAGAAACTGATGGAAGATACTATTTAAAGCGGACGCTACTAATCCTGCAGCTTTCTGCAGCCAAAACCCTCACTGTTAATTATCCCATCAGAAAAAGGTAAGGTACATGTAAAAAAAGGCACCTCAACACTGATTTGTGTACGCAGGTCAGAGCCTAAATGGACAAGACAAGACTACATCTCATCTTAGTCGACTCTGCGTGGGTGGAAGTACTAAAACACAGGGAAAAAAGAAAGAAAAAATAGATAGAAAGACCCATCTTAGATTCCCTTCTCAGGTCAGGGATCAGGCGGACAAATTTGTGCAGCAGCAGCAGCAGCAGCAAGTCTTGTCTTTCAAACCGTATTGACAGTTGAGGGTTTCTCTGCTGTGAGTAGGTAAATATCAGTTCCTTTTTGCTTTTCGGGATGTACCCTATGAGTCAATAATGGCCCTTTCGTAGTATTTACACCATTCAGTGAGATTATTTATACGATATGGAGTCCAATTGCTGATGATGGCTGTATAAGTAAGCTTCCAAAATGTTTACACAACACCAAAATAAAAGGAGAAGTCCAACTCAGAAAACAAAGAGATCATGAAGCCATGGCAGGAGTTTTGAGTACAGAGCAAGTACCCCTTCAAGATTTAAGGGGGTCATTGCATCAAAGCATTTACTGTCAGCACTATCCTTCATTTTGGTGCATCGAACTGTTTACATCCAGATGCACAGACCATGTGACCCTGAGGGGCGTGAAATTGAGGTTGCCATGTAATGGACCGTGTATTGCAGCTCTGCTTATGCATGCATGTGTCTGAAAGAGTGTGTGTGTGTGTGTATGTGTGCCTAGAATGGTGTGTAATCTGCGGGGTACATGACTGGGAGCCAGTTCTCACTGAAGGTGGCGCAGTGTGTCCATCTGAGGTGACGCATGAGCTGGAAAAACAAATTAAAAGATGTAAGTAGTGATTCTGAGAGAACAAGGAGATATTTAGCAACGAGATGATGAGGAGATATTAACCACTACTCTTCGTCATACCTGGATGCAGTTCCTCATATTCTCTTTAGTTGGCTTCTCCTCCACCATTTTAGAGGCGTATTTTAAGGCTCGGCCGTACATCTTGTTCACAAGCGCATGTTTGTATGAAAACATCAACACCTGAGTGAAGATCAAAGATGAACAAACGGTATTAGTTCAATATTTACTTAATGGTAACGGAGAGATATCAGGTGATAGCACATGATGTCGTTATATGATTTACACATGTAAGATAAATTCTGTTCGTTAGTGAGTCATTTGTACTTTATGTTTATTTTAAGGGAGTCACAGACCGGCTGAGGAAAAGAGCAATAAGAGACGGTCTATGCAAGGTCAATTAAAAACGTCAAATACATCAGAGAACTACATCTCGTAATCTCACATGGCTGCATATTCAGGTCAGAATCTATTCCTACCTTGGAGTCGGTCAGCTCTGCCCACTTCTGCACCTCCCAGAACGTGTCCATCAGGGCTTTAGCCACGTTCTGTAGTGAGTCATCAGAGCTGCTGGCCACCTGTTCCACAACCTCCTCGGATGTAGTTTGTACCGTGGGGACAGCGACGGCGCCATCCTGAGGTGCAGGAGGCAACAGGAGCTGGTCGGCTAGAGCGCAGCCTTTTCTGCACAGAGCGTCCAGAAGAGAGGACTTCTGCTTTTCCATGTCACTGAAACAAAGACAGGATACAAGTTCATTTAAGGCTTCAGCAGGTATTTCGAAAAAAATATATACAGCTGAGTTGAGCAATGCAAAGATTATCTCGGCTACTACTTAAAAAAATAGCTCACTTTTGATATTTAAACCCCAGGCTTTGAGGGCAAAGAGCAGGAGCACTATTTAATTGGATTTAATTATAAAGCAAGCACCCATTACTTCTGCTTAACAGTAGCCACAAGTCATAAAATGGAATATTAGTTAAAGATTAATCGTGCGCTTCCTCGGAGCACTGCGATTTGGCTCAGTACAGTTTGGTACAATAAACTCTGATCTTGCCTGTGCTTCCAGAGCCAGCTTTACCCTGGGGCACTTAACACATGAAGCGTGTTGGGTGTGTGATGGCTCCTGCGTGCATGTTAACAAAACAGACGGTTTACTCTGCCAGTGTGTGCTGGAAACATGGCTTACACATCTAAGAGAGGAGGCTCAGCGAGCAAACCACCGTGGTAAGACTGTGAACCATGAACCGTGGAGAAGAGTCGGACGATAACTTACATTTATGAGTTTGCTCCTTCAATATTCTAAGATATTCCAGTTGTGTAACAGTCTAGACATTTATTATGATTTAGTTCTGGTAGCTGTGGTGTGCATTTTCTGGTTCTCATTATGTCTCCTGTTCTCTTAAGTTCTCCTTGATAAGGCACTTTGACCATGCTCAACCACAAATAATGTATCCTATTGTGACGTACGTCTTGATGGAAGCAGCGTCAGGCCGAGGGTCTGTCTTCATGGTGAGGTAAACAGCTAAGGCCGTCTGGTCGATCTGGGAGATGACAATGTCTGCTGCTGAGACCACCTCCCTGAGACGTTTTCCTCGCTCCTGACGATGAACAAAAAGAAGAAGAAGAAATGACAGTGAGTCGATTGTTGCGCTCTTTTAAAAACGATAAATAAAACTAGAGGTTGGTTCATTTAGAGCTGCTGTGTGACGTTACCTTCTCAGAGTCCAGCTGGTGCAGTCTTTGCACGTGCAGAGGAAGGTAGTCTGAATAGTTTTCCCTCAATTCATCATAGATGGAGCTGGAGTCCAATCTAAACAACGGGGAGAAAAAGAGTGATGTGTTTGAGAGAGAACTGAGAGAACAGGGCGGCAGAGCGATAAGTTACTGGGGGGAAAAAAGACCAGCCACAGCGCTCACTTTGTCATCCACTGGATCTTTAAGTCTCTCATTGCTTCTGCAAACTCATCCTTCAGGTCTTTCTCTTTGTCTCCCTCCTTGTCCTTGTCCTTCCCTCCATTCTTTGATTTGTTTGGAGATGGAATTAAATGGTAGATGACTGGAACAATATCCTGAATGAAAACACAAAACAAGTGCTCAGTTGGAAACCAATAAATGATATCCTGGAAGAAGAAAAAAAATCCATGAGCTCTTTATACTACTCTGAATCAACATCTTAAATATTCACCCCTTCCCTAACAATGCCACAGGCTACAAATCCAAAGTCCCTTTATTTAGCTTGCTTTTAGCACTCAAAATGTGCTTTTCAAATTTATATAACAGTGTTCATTTAGTGTGCTTTACAAATATTATTTATCCAACCGACCACCAGAACACTTTTACACTCTAAATCACAATAAATACCTGTTAGGGACAGCAGTTTTGCACACTTAAAAACAGCAATATTGACATGCTTTGACATCAGTTATGAAAAAAATCCCATCTTTAGGTAAGAAAGAAGCCATTTTCTTCATGGTAGGAGAGCAAAGGACGCTCTGTTGTACAGTGTTTCTAGCTCATCCAGTACCTTTTTAAATTTTCCTTGTCGTTTTGCAGATGCCTGCCCCTGGTGGTCAGAATAACAAACAGTAAGGAAGAGACAACACAAATAACACCAAAAAGGATTCTTCTCTTTGTTCAATTTCTCTTTAAAAGACAGTAAAGTCTACTCCGACTGTCCATCACACCGACAGGAAAAGTTCAGTGGTTAACACTGGAGTAAAAGTTGTCAAACTTAGGTCTCTGTCTTGTTACTTGAGGCTTCAAAGTGAATGTTTTGAAAAAGTTCTGGTTTGAATGAGACCTATAAGGTAAAACGGGTCTCTACAGCAACGCCAGAGAGAAAATATGACAGAGATTTTTCCAGTGAAGCAGCTGAGTCAGGCAAGTTGATCAAAAATACTCAAGAAAACAAAAGTGTGAAGACATGTGTGAACCTGCAGCCCGAGAGCATTGTGACAAAAAGCTCCAGAAATTAAATACCAGAAGAAGCAGCATGAGAACACCTCATTTTTTAAACCCCTTATAGCAGTGGTTCTCAAGTCCAGTCCTCGAGGCCCACTGTCCTGCATGTTTTGGATGTTCCCCTGCTCCAACACACCTGATTCAAATGATCAGCTCGTTACAGAGCTTGATAACGAGCTAATCATTTGAATCAGGTGTGTTGGAGCAGGGAAACATCCAAAACATGCGGGACAGTGGGCCTCGAGGACTGGACTTGAAAACCACTGACTTATAGCAATATAAAATATGACCAATTTAGTGATTTGCAGTCACAAGGTGCTAAATAGCTAGCTGGCCAGAAGCAATGCTAATTATCAAAAATTGATATATATTTTTTAAATTTAAGAATAAATGTTAAAAACCGACTTTCATGTGACGTGTATTTTTTGGGGAAATATGTTTCCTGGAAAAGTCAGTAGACAATCATAATCATTAAACCGTTTCACTGGTGTTAAAAGCAGACTAAAAATCGAGAAAATTGACTATATCGTAGAATCGAAATTTAAAACGAATCGGCGTCCAAAGATCGTAGAAGAATCGGATCGGGAGAAAAGCATATCGTCCCAGCCCTACTGTCCTGTATTTAAGTAATTGTTTGAATACTTCCCTCTGAAAACAACACATGGAGTAAAAGCTCTTTGTATAACAACTTAACATACTCTTCCTTGTCTTGCCATGAGTTTTTCTTTTCTTTTCCTAATTTATACGATCAAAGTTGTTTTTGTCTCCGGAAAACACTTTTGATTTAGCCTTGGCTTCCTTTGTCTAATTGGAAAAAAAAAAAAAAAATTCTTAAATTCCAAATCAAAATAATAATTTTGGTGTCAAACCACAGACATGACACTGACTCACTGAAAAATGCAGATAACACAAGTGAATATACGGTACATAGCTTCAAGCACAGTGACCAAACTGTAATGTAAACAAAAAACATATGACAAAAAAAAGATGCCATGCAGGATCAAGAAATACAGCAACCGATTTCAGAAGCGACAGACGAGCCTCGGCTCATCTCTGAAAAATGATGCGATAAAACACCTTCAAAAACAGAATCAGGAAAGCGACAATCACCAGAGCACCAGTCTTCAACCCTGTACTTCAGAACCACAAGCACCTCCATCGCACACCTGATGACTGAATTTCAGATTCTGACGATCAGTTATCAGACCACAGCATTGTGTAACTCACTATGATGAAGTCGAGAGGTTGAGACTGTCATGACAACAAGAACCTGAGGAACAGGGTTGATCACTGAGGGTGGAAACAACAAATAAAGGCCACTCACTGCTTTCTTGCCATACTCGCTCTTGGGAACAACCATAGATCCTGAAAGATAACAGCCTGGACTTGTCCCCTTTGGGATCCTGGAAAGAGGGACGAACAAAAGAGAGAAGGCCAGCCATGGAGAGAGAGAAGAGCCGAGAGGATTAGACTAAATATGATCACATAATATGAAAGCGGTTGCCTAAGAGCTGCAAGAATGAATTACAGTAACTCATTGTTCACAGAGCTATTTCACTAATCCAGCTGTTTTGAAGATGAAATGAGGTTGCATAATTCATAGAGCAAATTGATCTGATTCTAGCTTTTTTCAAAGTGAATATTTTCTCTTCCTATACTCTTCTGTCCCAGTGAACTCGATATACTCGACCTCAAAACAGAACAGCTGTTACTTGAAGCCTTTCTGTACGGTCAGTAAGGATAAACTTCTCAATGAATTCACTCACTTGTCGTCTGGCAACGATGTGATGTAGAAAGGTTGTGAGGCGCCCGGGCACAAAGTGACAGAGTTGGCCTTCTTCTTAGCCATGAGGGCGGCCCGATGCGTCTCAAAGACATCCAGACTGAGTGTGGTAGAGAGACGGTGAGAAACCACAAACGGTAGATCCTTAAGGCGTTCTAGCTCGCTGGACTGCTCGTGGCGAACCTGCAGGCGCACAGTGAAGTCGCCCTTTTCCAGCTTCAGGGAATACTGGAGATGTGGAAGAGAAAGAGAGAAATAGAGGGGAGGGCATAACACTCCTGAAAAGCAAACATCGAGGAGATCTTGAAAACGTCAGGGTCGAACTCTTTATGTGTACCTGGTGTGGGTAAGCATCCCCTGAACCCAGTAACCTTTTGTTTTGATCGAAGAGCATCCAGAGCTGACTGTCAAACTCAGACTCGTACAGAAGCTCACACAGCATTGGACAGCTGGGGGTAACCTCTCCGCTCTTAGGCTTTGGGTAGAAAAGAAGAAGATTACACCACCATAGAAACAAGACAAACAACAAGCATTCAGATCTCATTTAATTCTTCAAGTACCTGGTGGAAACTGTAGGTGAGGACTATCTCGTAGAGTTGTCTATTATTGGGAAGGACATCCCTCAACCCCAGAGCTTTTATCTTTGAACTGACGGGCCTGTAAAAACACGGCGCACAGTTTTATTTCACTGATGTGGAAAAAACAATAAACGTGTGTGACTGTTTGAGTGTCTGTGCTGTTACCTAAGAGGCTGAACCCAAGACTTGAGGGTGACAGCGGGGGACACCTCCTCGTACCGCAGAGGCGACGACACTTCAAAACTCGTGACTCCCTCTGAGGCGTGCTGGCAGACATAAATGAGGGGTTTTAAAAAAGGAAACTGATGCTCTCTGAGTTGTACGGCTTTCCTGACAGTGCGGATTATACATGTGTGGGTGTCCTGCTTACTATGTGCAGGGGTGAAGGGGAAGTGCTGAGTCCATGGAATGAGATGTTGTAGTCCACTGTGACATCTCCAAGGCTTGCCCACCAGCGAGCAATACACAACTCTACGACCTTTCCTGACTAGAGAGGAGAAAAAAACAAAGAAATCAGCTCATCTTTATAGAGTTTATATACAATCACATAAATGGTAAATGGGGCAATCTTACCAGCACAGGGAAAGCCTCGGTCAACGAGCCTCTTTCTAAGAGCGAGGAGAACTTGTAGAATTCGTTGGCTCTGTATGCTCTTTGTTTGACCAGGTGCACCGCATGGAGAACAAATTTTGATGAAACATCTCCTGAATGAGAGGTCAGAGTGATCTCTGTAGGAGGGAGACAGGAAGACGGAGGCGGAGAAACAGGAGAACAATAAAAAAAGAGGATATAAATAATGGCAAAATGCGTGAGGCGGAAAGAGAACGCGGGGGAGGCCAGTAGAGAGAAAGAGAAAAAATAGGTGCGAGTTTAAATGGGCAATTTTTATTTGTGAAGATCCCTCACAGCTCAGTTGTGTATTTCATTAGACGACTATTTTTGTCCTCGTGTACATGCAGAGAATCGATTCACTGACAAAAGTATGTCCACTATGGTGGGTGGCAATCAACCTACTGGATCTTTCTCCAGCTGGCCGATCACACCACACACCAAACTAATCATCAAAAAAGTTGGCAACAGGCTAACTGTAAATAAAACAGCAAAAACAACATGACGCCCGTTGTGCAAACTGTGCAACATAAGCAGAGCACCTGGGCGTAATTAGGGGTAAACATGCTAGAAAAATCTATCACCAACAAAAGTGTTTAGGTATGTGAGTCAGACTTTGAGAAATTCAACTTGGTGTAATCTCATCCAGACTAACATCATTACATCTATATCAAAAGTCCAGATTTAGTCAGGCAATAAATTGATTTTTTTCCAATTTTGAACATGTTTTGCTACGACGGAGTATTATGGCCACACTGAGAAAAAAAAATTACAACTTTGAGATAGTAAAATCATTTCTAACAAGAGCAAAGTCGTAATAAAATCATTACTTAAGAGAATAAGGACGTAATAAAGTAATCACTTACGAGAATAACGTCAGAGTAAAGTCCTCATATTTTACCTTTTGTCTAAGATGACAATTGTTGAAATGAGAGCCATGGAGCGTTTCAAGAAAATTTACTTCAATGTGTGTTTCTCAAACAAGAAGATACTTAATCTTTTGGCACATCAGCACCACGTTATCATAAGTATCATAATGATTTTATTGCAACTTTATTCTCGCAAGTCACTCGCCTACTTTATCACGAATTTATTTCCATAAGTAATGATTTTATTACGACTTAATTCTCGTAGGTAATGATTTTATTCTTGTAAATTAACAACTTTTATCTCTAATTGTTTTGTTTTTCTTAATGTGGCCCTAATAATCCGTCGTATTTTGCCATTCACAATAGAAGATCAATAATAACGCAATGAACTGTATTTGGATAAAAAATGTACAGGCATTGAGAGTTTCCTCCTTATACTTTTTAGAAACACAGTTAACTGGAATCAGGTTTGTTACAAAGCAGTTTTCAGAAATATTTTTGCCTTTTCCTGCAAATTTTTTTACAATCAGAAGCAAAAAAAGGAAAAAAAAAAAATCACACAAAAAATCCACTACAGCACTCAGACAGTGAAAAGCACACCAAGTCATTAAATATATAAAAATACAGATACTTGTGGCAAATATATCTTAACAAATAACAAATAACCAGCAGGATGACCAAAGTGAAGAACATTTAATTACAACTACATGATGATGATTATTGAGCCACGGTACTTCACAAAAGCTGATTGCGTTTTTTTAATGTAGATGTAGGAAACTGCAGCACAAACTGAACCGAAATTTACATTTTGATTTGATAAATCAAGAGAGAACAAATTATGAATATTTGTTATAGCCTTAGATTCTTAGATGATTAGACATTTTAATTAACCCAAATCTCACAGTAAGAGTGTAATCCATTAAGTTCTGTTAACACACACACATATAGAAACACTGACCTGCCCAGGAGGCCCCCTGAGGAACTGTGATGAAGTGGCGTCTAATCTGGCCAGGTCTAAAGTGGACGTCTGTGAAAGACAGCTCTTGATTACGGCTATCTGTCACTCTGTTGGATCAAAGGAGAAAAAAAAGGGAAAATGAGACCCAAACACACCACTTACTGAAGAAAAAGCCGACTGAAACTTAGAAAACTTACTTAGCAGGGATAACGACTGTGATTGGAACTCTGAACAGAGGGCCACAGGTCGGAGCTGCTGTGTCATAACCACACACCTAAGGAAGAAAAAGAACCACATGAAGACTGATAGACTGGAGGAGGACATGGTCAGACTCTTCGTCCTCTTTCTGTCTCTGTCTCTACCTCTGTGTAGTGCACTCCCTCTCTCAGTCCCACAGGATCAATGCGGACGTTGACATGACGACACTGGTTCATCAGCTCCAGGTGGGAGGGACACTGAACCCACGGGGCCGCACATGTCAGCGCCAAGTGTAGCTGCAAGGAGATTCGCTCGGCATTTCCTGTGATGGACGTTACGAGAAAATAACTGGTGTAAAAACAATAACAGTTACATAATGCTCTGTGGGGGTTGTGCAAAACTATGAACAGTACCTGTGTTCTCTGGGAAGATGGGTTCGATTCCTACGCCGTGATCTGAGGGTCCAAGGATTTGGGCTGGGTCCCTGAGGTAGATGCCTCTCTGTGTTCCTACACTTACTGAGAAGCCGAGATTGCTTGTCGGTAAAGAGGCATGTTGAGTGAGGTAGTCTAATGCCTTGTCCACCTGAAAAAGAAGCAGGAATGTGTTAAAATGAGACAGAGGGGGAAAGTGAATTCTTATGAAGTGTTAGTAAGTGGTGCAGAAGTCAAGTCACCTGGATTATTCCGTGACCCTGTGCGAACACCTCAATGTCATCAACCTTCATGGCGGTATTTTCAAGCGCTCTCCTCACAGCAGGGACAGAGGGAGGGATCCCGCTCTGCTTCAATCCTTTATCACATAAAAACACACCACATTTGTTATCATCTCCCCCACGTTGCTTTTAATGTAGCATGTTCCCCGTGCTGACTATCAGTCCATGACCCTGAAGTCACCTGAGAGGATTAGTGCGATGCCTCCGCAGGCGTTGGGCGATGACATTGATGTGCCGTTCATCAGCTGAGTCCCGCGGAGAGTCCAGTTGGGCACAGATGCGATGGCGCCTCCAGGAGCACTGATGCTGACCCCCAGGGCCCCGTCTGTGCTGGGGCCCCTGGAGGACCAGGTGTACTGGTTGGGAGGCAGCTTTTCTCTCAGGGAGTACTCTGCCACCATCATATCAGGAGTAACATATGCTCCAACCCCTAAAACCGGAGATAGAAGGAATTAAGGGTTCAATTTAGCCACAACAGCTTTGTGTAGTTTGGGAATGTGCGGATGAATGTTAAGTACTTTTCAGAGTTTAAAAAAAGAGCTCTTCAGTGTTTGTACCTATAACACTGCTTGTGGTTCCACCTGGGCAGCCAACTGTTGAAAGGCATGGGCCATTGTTTCCTGCACTTGAAACAAACATCACATTGTGCTTCTGCACAGCCTCTGTGATCACCTCACAAATCCTCCTGAAAATAACAAACGCACCAAAAATCTGTTAATATTGTGCAAAATAAACCCACACAAATAAACACACCTCTTTGTCTAGGAACTTACCCAGAATTGGGCCAGTGGGTGGCTTCCCCATAGCTATAGTTAACTAGGTCACACTTGTAGTTGATGACTTCGATCATCTGTAAAAGACAAAAGGAAATAAAGATAAGTGATCCACAAATCTAGAAAAGATTGAATGTTAATCTTTTTCTTGAAACAGTATGGATAAACGTACCGCACGGATGAGTCCAGTACCAGTTTCCATGGTGCTAAGGCGGGTGTCCCCGATCTTCAGAGCCAGGATTTGGGCTCCAGGGGCAACACCGTTGCGCTCAGGTTCTTCTGGGAAGTAACCTGCTGCAATGCTTGCCACATGTGTCCCATGTGCCCCTTTAATTGCACATATGCAAGGTTAGCTGAAAGAATATGCTGAGTAGACTTCTAAACAGTGTCCTTGACTCACTGTTAAACGTCTTTGTTTTCACTCACTCAATCTTACGATCTTATTAATCTTATGTTTTAGGATTTCTTACCTCCACTGGTGACGATACAGAGAGTGTTCCCCTCGTCATAAACATTGACCGAGTAGTTGAGCATCTCAGCATTTCCTAACGTGGCATACTCTTGAGACTCTTTGTATGGACTCAGCACAGTGCACTGGGACAGATCTCCACACTCTGATACATCAACCACAGCCCTAAAGAGGGAAAGCATGATCAGATTACAAATAAATATATAAACGAGTAAGTACATAAATAAACAAACTTTAAGTGAGATTTATGGATACTGGATAGAAGAGGTAAAGAAAAGAGGAAAATGTAGTTTGGCTTACTTCCATGAGAGACCGTCATGCCAAAGTACACAGTCATAAACAGGGCCAGGATCACTGTACTTCTTTTCTAGTGATGCCAGCAGCTCTGACTGACTCTGCAGCTCTTCTTTTTGCAACTTCTCCATCTGCAGAGAGGAAGGGAGGGAAGGATAGATGTAAAAATAGAGAGAGGAGAAGTATCAAAGTTAGGACGGGCAACATTGAAACATGCAAATACCAACAGGGACACAAGGGGATCCGTTTCAAAGGTCTGACCTGTGAGGGTGTTGGGTGAGAGAGGTCGAACTCCTCTGACTTGCGTGAGACTTCAGCAAGTGCTGCTCTGTGTGGAGGGTCCCACATTTTCTCCTTTCGCTCTTTCTAGTAGCATCATAAATAGAAAAAAAAACATGTTCATATTTACAATTACTACAATACTTCTCTGTCAGTAATCAAATCATCAGAGTTCTGGCTATAAAATTATTTTTTATTAGAATAAAGTTATCCTGAGCAATAACACTACAATATAAGGAGCATACAATAAAATGTAGGGATCAAACCACATAAAAGCTTGAACTTTAGGTTATTAATCCCTACAGATCTAGTACTATACACAATGCCAACACCTTAACTGCTTTCACACACTATGGAGTTCCACACTAAAACGCCTCGACACACACACAGTACAGTAATAATGTCAGGTCTTCCTACCTGTATTCTCTCTTTAAGAGCCTTAGGGAAAAATTCATAGCCATTTTTAACTCCGATGCGATACTTCCCTGTTGGATTGACCCAGGCAGGAGGAATCTGGGAGACATAAAAGGACACAGTGTGAGACAAATGTGAAGACAAATCCTTTTAAGCGTGGGCCCTGAGTGTGGTCAAGCACAGACGAATTTGAAAAGGGCCACAGAGAACTACTAAGAGAGGTGATTATACATCCCCAAAGGATGATGGGAGATATGGGCCACTGCCTGTACTGGCGTATATCCATATCACTGCTGTTATACATTACTTTGTAACACAAGAGTACATACCTTAAGTGTTCTACCAGAGAGGCCAGTGATTGTCCCTTCTTTGGGTTCTGCCAGAGTGGTCATGTTCACATCACCACTGCCTGTGGTATCAATGATATCAATGATCTTTGTCTTCCCCTCAGTTGTAACCTAAAGAAGAAATCAGAAAGGAATACGTTATACCAGACCAAAAAGAATCCATAACACATTATCAGTAATCTACAAAGAAGACATGACATTATGAACACCTGGGCATCCAAATGCAGCTCTAACATGTGTTCAACTTTTACCAAGCTTTTAAGTTTTATTTCTATTAAAAAAGAACTTCAGAGGGATGGTAACTGTTATCTGAATTTATTGCTGAAACTAGGGCTGGGCGATATGGGAAAAAGTTTGTCACGCTACATTTTTTTCACATCAGTCGATATCGATATATATCACGTTATAAAATGAAATGAAATTTAACAGTGGTAGCATGTCTTTTGCAATACAATAAACTACTGCATCTGTGAGGTCTTTGTGTCTCTTTGATGTTTTGTCGTGAGGCATTGCGCTAGAGAAAGTGGACTAAACAGTTAGGTACTACCCAACTTTGCGAGAACATGTACTCGACATAATTTGCAGTGCACATTACTCTGCTTCTTGTCCCACCTCAAAAAAAAAACAAAATACCTCCACACCACCGACATTTTCACGCCAGTGTTGTCAACGATGTCATCATCTGTTGAGCCTTCATCTGCATTTCTGCCGGGGTTGACCATGTTTCATATTGATATTGAAGGGAATTACTTTTTGATATAAATCGTTATCGTTTTCTCGCCCAGCCCTAGCTGAAACTGTAGCAGGTGTATGAATTAAGATGCATTAGAAAGAAGGGTTTTCCTTATATCATGATGCTCTTGTATTTGACAGTATATAGAACAACTGTCAATATTACCGTAAAATGTAACAGCTTGTCTTAGGTTGCCAGTATTAACACAAAGTTGTAGCGGATGAGTGTATACTAACCAAGATTGATTTCAGACATTAGATATCATACGCTTATGCTAAGAGGTGACCTTAAATCTGGGTCGTGTGTATCGACTTCAAGTGCCTCCTTCACCCTTATATTTATCGATGAGGTGCATTTCAGTCTCTGCCCTTCAAAACTCAACTTAAACATGTGGTTAAAAATGTATGGCTTCAGTTTAGGCTTATATTGTACCAGGTAGCCTACTTTTATAACATCAATATAAGTGGGTGAATCATATAATGTACTTCAGTAAAAGCTGTGTATCTGGCAGACTGGAGTCTAGTGTGACTTGGCAGGAACATGAACTACCCTCTCGTTGACCGACAAAAACTAGCCTTCCTATAATGTTATGTCAAGTGAATGCATATTCATAAGATTTTAACTGCTGTCAAAAAGTTGGCACTAAAAACTGTAATAACGGGAGAAACAAGAAGAGACACGAAGCGGACGAATTTTATTAGCCAGTAGGCTAACCCAGCTAACACGTAAATCTGTTTAATTTATAAAAGTCAAACACCGCCATACATTATAACTGCAAGAGAAAACACCTCTAACAATTTTCTTGTTGTTCATTGGGTTGTCACAAATTCTATCACTCTAGGTAACATAATAACGATAGTGTATATCTATCGACGCAAGCTAGTTAGCTTTAGCCACCGAGTGACTGTGTACAAATGCAGGGAAGGAGTCGGGCCTCGAGCTCGCTAACGGTTAGCCTTCACCATTTAGCTCTGGGCTAACCGGTAAGATTTACCTGCATGCCGGGGGCACCGGGATCCACGCCGGTGTCGAGGATGGCGATGAGTACGCCTCGGCCATCGTAGTCGGGGAACCTGGTGAGATAAGACGCGGCGCCGGTTTCTTTCTTAGGGAGCAGCCCGTGGAAGGGGAACGGTTCTTCAGTAGAATGAGCAGCCATGATAAAAAAGAGCGACAATGAAAACAAAGCAGCGAAATGGGGAAGAAGAGAGCAGGACGGTGGGAGAGACGGGGAGGTGAGTGGTTTAAAGGGGCAGTGTGGGTCCCTCTGCAGCCGGTATGCAACAGGCCTCCAACTGAACTCCGTACACTGTTAAGTGCACCTATAATTATGATCTCATGTTAAACACACCTTTATTTACAAACTTGTTGTATTTAGCGAGGAAAGTCTATGCGTCATTCAAAGCTAGCCACATCCCAGATATCATGCCACAGTTTGAGAAAAGTCAACTTTGTGTGAGTGAAAGATCTAGAAGCATAAAAAAATTTTAAGGGCATTTCTAATAGATAAATAGAAATTAAACTGATCTTGGAAGGTAGTTATAACTGGTGCACTGGTGATTGTAGGTCTACTTTTTTGGCCTTACCACAATTTATGGGGTATTTCAAGGGGGGGAGCTGTTTGCAGCCTTGCGTTGTGAACAAAATTGCTAAAATGCTGCCTTGAATATCACCAGGAGACATGAAGAGAACATATTTTATTTTTCGTCAACTAATTCTCAAAATAAAGACCAAAAAGGAAACTTTGCTTATTTGGTATTGCACATCAGTGGCCTAACTGAAGTTCACTCTGGGGAAGTTCACTCCACACTGAATCGTACTCCAGGGAAGTTCACTCCGTACTGAAGCTCACTCCGCACTGAGGTTCACTCGTTGGAAGTTCGCTCTTGGGAAGTTCACTCTGGGGAAGTTCACTCCAGGGAAGTTCAGTCTGCACTGAGGGTCACTCCAGGGAGGTTGACTCCGGGTGAGTTGACTCCGCACTGAAGCTCACTCCAGGGAAGTTCACTCCGCACTGAGGTTCACTCGGTGGAAGTTCACTCCATGGAAGTATACCCTTGGGGAAGTTCACTCCAAGGAAGTTCACTCTGGGTCAGTTCAGATGTCCATCAGGAGTAGTTCGTTGTGTTCCACTGGAGTGGTAACTACTCATGGATATAGAAAAATGAGCACTTGAATAATTCTGTGTTTGGGGACATTTCTGCCAGTTTAGAGGGGCTAATTTTGGAGGAGATGAACAGTGAAGACAAAAGTAGTGGCAAAACTGCAGGTACACATCTGTGTCAGTTGCAAAGAGCTAACTGATTTACAATAAAGTTGAGGAGAAGATTTCTCTATATTTTTCTCTCCTGCAGCACCCTTACAGAAAGAATCAGTCAAAGGAACAATTTAACAAAATCTCAGAGTGCCAAGCAGAGCTTATTGCCATTTGAAAACAGTGGTTCTTCTCCCAGTGTGGGGGTCTTCTAGGGCCAAATTTCAAAAACATCCTGTTCTAAGTCTGAGATCTGACAGGAAGACTCTGTTATAGGACTTTCCCAAATTTGGCATTACAGAAGCAAATCCCAACTAAATTTAGAAATCCAGTCTTATCTCAGGTTAAGCCTCTCAGTTCCACCTGCTGACATTTCATTGATTGCGTAAAAGCAATGAAACAGCAGCTGTGAGGATTTAACTAGTTAGCTCATACTACCTTGTAGAGAGTGAAAGGAAGGACAGCTGACCAGTTTTCCTGAAAGTAGGAGTGAAGTTTTTATTTTATATTTAATTTTTGTTTCGAGATTTTGAGATTTATAGAAACCCGTGTACTACCTTCTGCTGTCTTAATTTCAGATGGTTACATTGATGTTGGTGTGCTTTGTCTGTAATGGCCTTTTTCTCCAAATCCTATCCTGCAAGTTTGAAAGTCTATAATACAGAGACACAAATTTTCCTGGTTATAAAACTCAAACCCTTCTCAACCCCTCAAAACCCTCTCATTAGAAAACATTACACAGCAGTCTTCCCCAATTTTTCTGAATCCACATGTAAGTTCACTTAGATATTTACACACTAGATGGTGCTATACTTCAAGACTTTGTTGTCTGGGCCCTTCAAAGAGCTGTCAGACCTTTCATAATGAATCTAGTGCTGCTGTACCTGGTAAGATTGACAACAAAACCATTTTGCTGCATAGTCAGGGACATAAAACACCAAGAGGAAACAGATTCGCAGTGCATGTACATTAATATGTCTTGATAGTCCTTTGTAGCGGCTCGAGCTGAAATTGTGGTTGACTGAACCTCATATTTCAGTATGTTGCAAAACCTTGTACAGTCTTTCTTTATGTTGTTATTTTCCATCCAGGTTAAAGGTTTGAATAGTCACTCCCCCATAAAGATATAAGACTCTTAGATTCCAGTCAGTAATAATAAAGCATGCAAACCTAAACAAGGATGTTTCCTCAGTGTCAACATGGTTTACATATTGGAGTTACAAACAGGAATGTGTCATTTGCTGGTTTAGCGTTTAGTCTGGTGGATTTGAGCAGTCAGCTGCTTTAAGTATGAAGTGTCCCTGTAATTATACGTTTCACTGATCATATCAACTTCACTATTTAACATGAAATTAACAAAAGGAACAGTGTGTTTGTACCACTCCCATTCTTTTAAGACTGTTTCAGAGATAGGACTGTCTGCATACCTGCATCTATTGTGCATTATTTTGTCTCCACTTCCAGACCATGGCATTGTGTCTGCTGCAAGTGTTTTAATCTTCTGTTTCTGCTCGCAGATGCAGTGCCAAGACAAGAGTAGAGTGGTAACACCAGATTAAACATAACAAATCTGATCAGCCTGGATGCTCTGCATAAGGGAGTTGGAAAGACTCCAGCTAACATAGCACCCAGAGACATTAAATCAAAGTTGTATTACAGTTCTTTCAACAGATCGTATCACATGCATTCCTCTGACATTTCATTCATGCTCAATCCATAGAGATTTCTCCAGTTTTTTTCGCTCCATAATACCAGGATTAACTCTGCACATGTCATTCACCATCTGTTCAACTCAGCACTCTGTTTCGTTCACATATTCCATACGCGCACTCATACGTGTACTGTACGTTGCAGTGTGTGGTCGTAATACAAAAAAAAGTGCAAGCCACAGTAGGGAGGGTAAGTTGTGAGAGAACAGTTATTTTGAGTGTGCCAACGCCCTCAAAACGCTGCGCTAGTGGTTGCCTGGTGTGTAATAAAACAACAGTGAGCATCCTTTCACTAATCTGCTTAGAATCAGCATCTGCCGTTTCTTCCTCTTTCTGTCAGTGGCCCTGAATTCTCACGCATGCAAACATATGCATACAAAAACAATGTTTGATGCCATACTTGGATGGAAATTTTGATATCATTGTTCACCTCTTTTGTTTTGGCTCAAGATAAACCTCCACAGCACGACAGGGGGTTTGCATCTGCATCTCTGTTTCACACACACAGGCTTGTGGTTTACCAATGGGTGTATCCACTTTAGCTAAACTGAAAGTTAAGCTTGTCATAAATGTCTTTGAAGCACTATGCTGCTTTGTGATGCCATGCATACAGCTACATTTTTTTCTTGTCATTATCTTACTGCTTTGTTTGGTATGCCATGATAGTGGCACCCTTGTATTTTAGCCAGGTGGCTTATGTTACAGCTGTGCATGCGAAGTTACAGCCAAGAGGAGAATTCTATATTCCCCTGCCATGTTAAACCAACTTTAAATGACCCTACCGCTCAACTTATTCCCATATCTTGCTGCACAAACAGAACAGGATTTGGCCAAAAAAAGGATTTATATTGTTTTCATTGTGTTCTTAATAAGTGTCTCTGCAAAATAAACTTGTCTTAAGGGATTATTTGAACATCAAGGGTAATGCCAAGGTTATTATCTATGAAAATACCCACACAGTTTCCAGATGAGATAGTCAAAGGCACGCAAACCATGTAGTTAAATGCGTCACTGAAAGGCAGGGACATGCATTGTAGATGTTCACACAGAGTCAGCTGTGGAAATAAACAAGCAAATAAAGTTAATTTGAATTGAATTGAATATATAATCTTACCATCGTGAAATCATTGTGGTGTGGTATGGTTATTTTAGTGTGTAATTCTGCATCAACATAGGAGAGACACTTTACTGTCAAAACGTGTACAGTATAAGTGGAGCATACTTTAACAATTGAATATATTATTAGCAGTTAATTCCCCAATGATCCATCAAGTTTAGTGTTGTTTATGTTATGTGTTGGTAATCTGCACTGGCTGAATAAGTACTCAGTTCCTTTAAATAAGCAAAAACACCGATATTAAAGTTGTGCACTAGGTGGTGTCCTGCAAAAGAAAAAAATAATAATACAAAAATCAGGGTTTACAGACCTTGACGCTTGGTTTAAATAAAATTTTGATGAAAGTGCTAACAACAGGCATCTGACTTTAGTCTCCTTTATTCAAGTTCCTTAAGAGCCAACAGGTTTTGGGATTAAGGTTAAAAAGGGTGACATAAACTGGACTAAAGCAGAAGGGGAAAAAAAACTCAAGCAAATACTTGAATTTGTATGTAAGGGCCATTTTTGAGAAATTTGGTTGGATTATTTTACTGTCTTCCCGTTTTAGCTCCTAGGGGCTTAACTTTCTCTACTTAAGTGTATATCAGGCTAGCAGTTGTGACGGGATATGTAGCCTAATTAGATTTAGAGCTGTTCTAAAGGAGTCATGGCTAATCCCGACACCTTGGCAGAACTGTCCCTACTGAAAGACAGACTGTCCGACTGTTCTTAAGGCCCACATCTCCACAGGGCTAAGCCAGCTGGGTTTGTAGAGTGTCCCTGGCTTGAGTCAGACTATTTTGAGGAATGTGGTCATAGTGATGTCAGAGGTGTGGCTCAATGAGTTCAACAACGTGGGCTGCCTATTACCCCGGTCCTGGAATCACCTGAATGGATGCTAAATCCTGTCCAGACATACTTCCCACAAGGCACTTTAGCACCTGGAGGGTTCCTGCTAAATGTGGTTAAACATGGCTGTTGTTGTTGTAAACTAGCTTTTTCAGTAACATACAATCCGTGGGACTCTGAGGGACCGGATTTTTATTCGATCTGAATTATATTACACTTTGGAAAAGGATATACCATTCATAAAAAGTCTGAAAGATCTCTCATAATCACTCTGTTTTGAAGGTGACCCAAGTTGGGAGGAAAAGTAGAACAAAATAAGGAAGAATACAAGTTACAATCAAACCAGCACTTTTCTTCTTAGTAACCTAATATGTAGTTGTTGAAACAGGAGTAACAGGTCCGTTTTTTTGTTGTTTACATCCCAAAAAGTTAGGTCATGCAGGGTAGTTGTAGACAACAGAAACAACATCTTTGAACCTGTTTTATTTTATTTTATTTGTATCTGCAGTCTATTTGATGTAGAAAGCAATTGTTGGAGACCTGGTAGTCATATTCGTGCTGCTACACGTGGGGTACTTAAAAGGGGAATAATGCTCAAACACACACACAATTCATCACCTATTCTCAGTCAGGGGAGGCAATAAATAAAAAGCTGATCAATAAGAGAATGATAAGCTAGTTTTGCTTGGGGCTGTTATGCCACTTCTTGAATCATTCAACGTTAAGTGTTGTCAATGCAGAGTCTAGCATTCTAGTGTTGTGGCCCATGTATGAGGGGTCATTGATGCCCTACAGTAGAGGGACTGAGAACAAGTATGAGGAGTGATTAATGGTGAATAAGCAATATTTTTCCGTTTTCACAGCACCAAGCACACTGATTAAATTTGGTCAAATAAGAATGTCAACGTGGGAGATTGTGATCCAGACCAGAGCAGCAAGCAAATACACACTTTTCTACATATGTGCATGTATGGTATTATATACATTGTAACTTTAGGCAAGTTGTATTGTGTATGCATTCACATGCTGTCAGCACTGAAAAAAAACCAAAAAAAAAAATGCGTTACTGATGCCATATTAGGCTTTTGTAGAACAAGTTTGGGAGGGTTATTGCGTCCCAGCCACTCAACTTTAAATCAAATTCCCATAGCGTTCCCATAAATAGTTAATAAGTTTTCCTCAACTCAGTTCCTTTGAAAAGCAAAAAAATCCCCTTCTAGAAAGTCCTGGTCAAGATCAGCATAACAAGACAACAAATTTAGAGGTTTCATAAATTAGATAGCTACTGACAGGTTCAAAAAAGTCAAAGATATTTAACGAGAAAAAAGCCCAAGAAAGGCAGAAGATTTAGTCACATTCCTATTGCAATATGGTAATAATGTGAGTATTTGCAATGTGGGCTGATTGCATTTAACCTCTTTACCCTCATTGAACTGTAAGCTATTAGTGCACTGACATGCAAAGTTAAGACGATGTGTGGCGCTACTTTGATAAGACGATTTATCTGGACTATTGTCCTTGTGTCAGTGTACATGCGCTGGACATAAATCAAGTTATTAACAGAAGCATTTCCGCCTCTGGTACTGTAAGCGGTAACATGCCCCCTTTCAGCTTACTACTATCAAGTCCTCTCTTGGTTGACACATGCTGTGGCAAAACCATAGACTGTATATAGAATGGACAGCGTCTGCCTCCTTGTTGGGTGAAGCCACTCCGAGAACAGCACCTTCTGGTGACTGGCTGCAGTATAGGTCATAAATCCCGCCTCCTCCAGCAAAGCTTGTGGGTCTGTGGACAAACTTAAGAAATTTTTTACACAGAATATAAATTTTTCTCCCCCCTGCTTGCGATGTTGACATGTAGTTGCTGTAAGACTGGTTTGTGCTCAAGTCCTCTTTTTTCTGTACAGCTCCATTTTAAAAGTTATTAGGGGGTTAATGTTTTCTATGATTGACACTTGATACAGCCTATGGGCGTACAAAGATTGTGTAGATTACCGGGGGGGATATGCTGTTTGAGCCAGGCGTTATCACAGCGACTCTCTGCGACTTTCCCGCTGAATGCGTACAATGCTTCTTCGCAATGTTGGTTTTAGGAAATAAAGAGAAATCGCGGATATACCGAGAGCTTTTTGACTTCAAATTCGTATACTGGCAGGAGGCGGAACCAAGTTGTCCATCGTATATACAGTCTATGGGCCAAACGTCTTAGCAAGAGGCCAATGGATGTACAAAGAACAATTGATAATGCAGTCACTCTGAACGTTTGTTTGTATTACAGGAAGCTTGGTCTTTTTTCACATCCTTCCTTTGTCTGTTAAGGTTTTGTTTACTACTGGCATGCAACACATTTGCCCTTTTCAACCTTAGGCTGAAATCCTGGCGTTTAATTTAGTGCGACTTCGGTCAGATGCATTAGTTTACATGTTTTAGTTTTAGTCGGACAAATGCAATCAATCAAAACATACTGTGTAAACATACTGTACTTTGGGAAGAGAGGGTCATACTTCCTCACCAGTTCCTTCAATGACAGCAGTGCCTCCACTTCGTGGCACGGATCACCCTCCATACTGAATCTGTGGGCGGTGTCTTTTGGAGACACGCCCCCACTGCCTCTGCTCTCGCTGCTGCTGCTGCTGCTGCGGAGATTCAAGCTGAATCTATCCGCCTGTCCTCAAGCAGCAGCAGCAGCAGCAGCAGCACCACTAGTCGGACCGGAGTATGATCGCTGTCCGGAGAGTATAGATGTGCAAAACCCCTGGATTATCCGCGCACTGGAGAGGTCCGAACCGAGCACCGTGGAGGACTGTTTTTACCTAGTCGTCAAAAGGGAAAGAGCCACGGGTAAAGCATGGCGGTAGAAGAGGAAGGTCTGCGGGTTTTTCAGAGCGTTAAAATAAAAATAGGTAAGGAGAAAAATCCCTACCCCCAGTCTGAGTGTCTTAATGGATGGCTCCATGTTAACGGGCCAAGCAGGGGAGGCTGTGTATGAAGGCTGAAAGGGGGGGACTGATCTGTCTTGTTCCTGCTGTTATTGAAATTCAAATCACACGTTTTCTTCCTTTCAGAGCATGGAGTGTGAGCTGAAATTTGTAAGATTAAAATTGTGAGGGAAAAAAAATGGGATAAAAAACCCCAAAACAAAACAAGAGATTGATAGCCTTGTGGGAAATTGTGGGAATTTGGCAGCTGGCATTAGAAGCAGCTCGAGTTTACATGATCTGAACAGACTGGCTGATTTTTAGCAGACTGTGCGACAGAAAGGCTCCACAGCTGCACATTTCCAGATGCTTTTTTCACATCAAATAAAACCTCTATTACACCTTAACTAAAACCACCCATTCATGTTATGTTACCCCCCTCACACCCCCCTTGAATTTCCCTCTCACAATACCTCCCCCCTCCTTACAGCTTCATGCTTAACTGTCTAGCTATTGATTGTTAGCCCAGATTTCTATATTTAGAAATGTAGCTGGTCTCCTGTGGGTACTCTGGGTTTGTAGCAAGCATGTGCTGCATGCATATCTTGTGAATGGAGCCATGAGGAGGCTGAGTGCGGTTTGCAATGGGAGGACAGTGGTTTTATGCAATTCAGAAAATGTCATGACTGAAGGAAGTTAATTGGGATGGAAAGGAAGAAATTAATTTTCCAGATCTTGAATCGGCGTGTTGTAATTAAATCATGATAAGAGGGCCTAACCACACCTATTTCATAAGATAATAACAAGGAGCGAACCATGAGGAAGAAATAATCGGAATATTTAAGACACCCAGTTCTTTTACAGTGTTGTAAATGACTGCCTTTTCATTAGATGATTTAACTAATTTTAAAAAATCACATATAAGCAATACCACAGCCATTAGATGATAGACAAAGGTGGTATTTTTGTTCAAATTGCCTCCAATTCATTATCCAAACATTCAAACTCAGCCGTCATTTCCTCTGCCTGCTCCATCTGTTATCAGGGGTCAGCATGGGGTGTTTTCACTGACATCCAGAACCCGACTCATCCTGACCGACTGTGCTATCTGGTTTGTTTTGACTCCAAACATGTGGCAGAGGGGATGAGCAGAGGAAAAACTAAATATTTGACACAACAAGTACACACACACACACACACACACTCCCTCAAGCTGACAGGGCTGTGTACTGATGCCAGCCAGCATTATACAAAAACACTTCAGCGGTACTTCTTTTACTTGAGCTGATGTGAAAAGTTAAGCTGTGTGTCTTTAAGCGTCTTACCTGCTGTTAAAATTGGCCGCAGCGTCCTCTTGGGAAGCAGCTAGAGAGAGAGAGAACCACCCCGAGGTATCATACTCAGACCTGAAACTCCAGAGAGAGTTGCGGTGTTGAATCACAAAGGCCTCGTCAGATTGCTGCTCTTTCTGAATGAACGATCCGTCAGCCGGCAGCGTGGACTCTGTGAATGAAAACTTAATGACTGGATGACACTTGTCTTTCTAGACACAAGTTCTCATGCCTATTATGACTGAGGCAAAATGCAGCGTAGAGGAAGTATTCATGAAAAGTATTATAGTAAAACCAACACCTCACTGTGACTCAGTATAATAAAAACGACATTTCTGACAGTGCAGAAAAATTCCCCTTTAAAATGAGTGGGATATAAAGTTACTTATTACTGAATTAATACATTTTAAAGAGTTTGTGAGGGGCAATTTGCTGTTGAAGCTTAAAATTTTGATGTTTTGGGATTTTTTTTTTTCATAACCAGGACAGATGCAACTAATCAATAATCCATATGTGCACTTTTATCATTGATCAATTATTTCACTTCACTTCACTTCACTTCAGTAAAAGCACGTCAGTCATACCAGTATTTTTGCATGAGCAGAGTGCATAAAATGCAGTTTGCGTACCAATAAAAGAACCCCTAGATGAAGCTTGATCGAGAATAATAACAATAATAATGATAATAATAATAATAATTCTTTGTTGTTTTTCTCAAACAGAAAAGCCCCAAAAATATTTTTTTTCTGCCTCTCATGGATTAGATATCTTTTAGTTTTGTTCTTTAGAGAAAAAACAGGATATTTGAAGCTTCATCCTTGATCCCAAAAAAGAGGTACAATTCATTGATGTTTTTTACATTTTATTGACAAAATAGTAAGTTGATTATGTAAGGAAATCAAGGATAAGACTATTTTGTGTTGGAAGTATTCCTAAACCAACAAATAACACAACTAAAGTAAAACAAAGTAAGCCATATAACAGTATAAAGTGAATACTGATGCCTCTTCTTGACCTTTAAAAGCAAACATGACCAAAAACAACACTGATAGTTTCTTTAGCGTAGTTTTGAATGCCTAAAAGGGGATAGGTGGCAGACTAGATTGACAGCAGGCTGAAGAAACTACATCTCTGCCATGGCAAATACCCACAGCGAGAGAAACCTTATACTGATTAAAGACAGAAGGATAAGTTTATTTATTTTTTAATCTGATAGCTTACTTTCATATGCAGGAGGATAAATAACTTTGACCACAGGGGGCACCAGAATCAACACAAACCAAATGTTCCTCACAGCAGCTTTAAGGTTAGATTTTATTATCAGGTCAAACAATTTGAGAACTACGTACGTTTGGCTTGAGTTGTTTACATATGTAAGACTGAAGGTGTTAACGTCACATCCAGGAGTTGACTCCTCAGCCTCCTCACTCCCTGTTCTTCTGTAACATTGCACAGTGACAGCAGTAGAGTTTACACGGTGTTGTTACCTAGCAGCAGTCACACTTGCTGTCAGCCTGATCCCCAAGGAGCTCTTCTCCCAGTTATGTCGGTGTAACACTTGCATCACATTGTTTTCATCAAAGTCTTGTCCTTTGGCATGAGACTGCGGCGGGCTGATGACTCAGAGCTGAAAATCTGCCACATATTTGTCGAGCAGAGAGAGAGAGAGAAAAAAAACAGCAGAACTAATGATTGTCGGGGTGATTACTTTTCTCAGTTTCCTCCAGGAACACGTGAATTTCGGAAACCAAACAGGGCTACTGGGCCGGAGCGCGAACTGTCTGAGGAACACAGGAAACAGGAAACTACCCCCAATTCACTTCCTGATTGGCTGGAATAGACTACAAAAAGAATTGTGTTTTTTCCTGCATGGCAACAAGCTTAACACAAAGCAGATGTAGTGAGATGAAGAGTGAGGGACAGAGGTGGCGTTTCTCTGCAACAGTGGGCTGTGCTTCATCTGTCAGTGACTCTGTCCCTGTCAGTGCTCACAGAGATGGGAACTTATGGTGGCACAGCTGGGGTCAGGGCTCTGCTCTAATTAGCACATAATATGTGCATTTAGCTGCCCTGTCGACGCAAGGAACACTGTCTGATAAACTCAGACGGATTCATGACACCGGAAAGTGCATTATACCGTGTTTTTATGGCGCACATTACCAAAACCTTCAAAAAAACGCTTCATACTTGAACGCCATAATGTTAAGAATGGCAGTTTCCAGCCAGAGTGCCTGAACAAACATTAAAATGCATCAAAAAAAGGCATTATGGGAAAATACTCGGAGCTAGTGAGTTGAACTGCTTTTAACAAATTTGTCCGACCTCAAGGATACACACTGTTATGGGTTTTTAAATGCACCAGATCCCAACAGTGTAGCCATTTCTGTTATATTCTAGCAAACATTGAAAAGTTATCATACTAAATTTAGGGTAATCAATTATAAAAAGGATCCACACATAACTACATTATTTTTTGGGGTTGAGAGCATTGACGCTGAATCACAGCAGCAGAGTCGCGGAGCGTGAAACCGAGCTAACAGGCGTGAATAAGCTCCGTAGACCCCTTTCTGTTCCACACAGCCTATTTGGACTAATATCACTAGAAAAGGTGTTTTTTTTTTGTGGCAGCTTCACAGCTTTGCTTGGATAAAGTAAAGTAGTCACCAGACTTTACGGGTTAGACAACGTTTATGTTGTACATCAGATCCATCTGTTAATGTGTGTAGTTGTTGAGATGAATAGCTGGTTATTTCACAGTGCGGTTTGTGGCTGGTGATAGGTGAGAGCAGAGAGAGCAGCTACTGGCATCAGTTCTGAACCAGAGGATTTACAGTGTGGCAGAAGCATCATGTCTTGCTACTTGATAGCAACAGTGTACGAGACAGTAGTGGAAATTATATGTTGAGGAGGTGAAGTGTTGCAGTGGTCGAGGAAATTCAGGCAGCTGAGGCCGGGTGACTCAGGCCCTGGGAGGGAAATGCTGGTTTGTTGCGACAAAGCCCCCCTCCTTCCCTTGACAGCTGGCCAATAGAGGTTCCCAAACTTCCTCCTGTCGAGACTGAATAGGAGACATGGAGTGACGGGGGAGAGGGAGGGCAGGAATGTGTCTGTGTGAAGGAGTCCGTCTCGTTTTTTTTAAGGAAAGGATTAGGATCCATTAAATTTGTTATGATGTCGCGTTCCCTGAGAAGTTATGTGCGCGTTCGGACGCGTACATGTCACCTAATGTACATGTTTAGGCATTAAATATGAGACCAGTTCATTTTGTCCTGGAAGACCAGCTTTCTTGGAAGTAAAGTTTGCTGTAAACATGAGTGTTGACTGTTTAGACCCACAAAGTGTTTCGGTCCAGGCAGCTTCAAGCTGGTGTAATAATCCGGGTTGGGTGCAGCAGCTCCTCTAGCACTCGCTAAGGGAGAACACAGTACCAGGAATAGTGTGAGGGGGAATCAAGGAGGGCCAGCATACAGGGTTAGCAGGGGTAAATAAAGGGCCACAGAGCGCCACTCCTTCAGGGTGTCCTTCAGATGCCCCTGCGAAAGAGGTCCACACCTTGACCTGTAATCGACAGAAGACCAAAAATCACTAGAAACTCCAGAGAAGATTGGTAATAACTAGTTGTAATGACTTTATTCTCACAGCAGTTTTCCTCTGATATTATATTGGCCCCTATTTTGAATAAAAACGTCCTATTTGCTATGATCAAGAACAGCTGTGGTTAGCATTCAATCACTTGTTTGGTAGCAGGCTATCAGTGTTGGCATTATTTTGTGCAGTGACATGGATTCTTGGCTGTATACCAGAATTTACCTCCTAGCTAACTCACTGCAAAAGTATTGGTTATTGGGACATGATTATCAGACTGAAGCTAACACAATAAAACTCACTGATCAAACATTTTTTTACGGTTTTGCAACATTACTTTCCTCCAAGAACAGAACAGGCCATGTCAGCTTGCCACACACCACGTCTCACACCCTGTTCACTCTCTCTTCCTGTGCTTGCAAAAGATAGCATATCTCACCTCTGCAAATGTCAGAGTGCCAATGAGTGTGTGCACGTAGGAGACAGTTGTCTTCGATTTACTTTTTATGCCAGATGTTCAAATAGAGTGTTGTGTGTATTATAGAAAAAGGACAGGCACTCTGTATCTGTTGAGGTTAGACTGAGTCCTTTCTTTGAATCAAAAAGATGACTTTCACATCCTGCTGGTACATGGCAACATTTCTGACCCCTGATTTCTTACATGTGAGCATATTTTCCTGCTGTTTTTCCCTTGACTTTTTTGCTTCACTGTATCCACCCTTTTGTGTGAATGTTTGTGGTTATGTATTTGTTTTTTACTCAACTTTTCCATTGAGACTAACCGATGTGTTTGAACATTAGCTGCAGGCAGGCTCTAGATACAGAGGGAGTTTGATGAGTAACTGAAGGATGGTTTATCGCACACACTGTGGTGTGCAAGACTGCCAGTCTTTAACTGTAAACTCCCTTATTTATCCTTTCATGCTGTTTCTCTCCGTGCCTCTTTGTTAACTGTTGTGGTTGTGCTGAAACTTCTGCGATAAACAGCTCAGCTAGTTTCTGTCAAGTTTAATCACTTGTAAAAAAAATAAAAGCAGCAAAGAAAAAGAGGCATGCAGTAGAGTTCGAGCTTTATCAAAGGAGAGTTTTTTGTGTTTTATATTTTCAGAAATGTGCAAAAATTGTGAAGTTGTTAAGTTTTATCTTTCCAAAGCTGTTTCTTCACAGATGTAAAAGGAAGTGGTGAATCATGCTGCAGCAAGACAATACCATCCCTGTCTGATATCACTCTGACTGATAAACTCTGACTGCTGCCACGTGTTTACTTAAAAAAGACAAAAGTTACAGCTCTCAGGGTTTCAGATCGGTGGGTGGGGGGTTGATGTTAAACAGATCAGCTTGTGGTCAGCTCTTCGTTACATGTATACCCCATATTGCCTGAGTACTGAAACACTTGATTCATTCATAGAGGTTAATCCTCCAGTCAGGTAGACTAGGTTCGAATTAAACCTGTGGCCCTTTGCCTTGTGTCACCCCCTTACTCTCCTTTTCCTGTTTTCTACTTGGTCCACTGTCTTCCCATATCACTTAAGGTGTAAGTAGCGACACACTGTCCACATGTAAAGCCAGTTTCCCATACAGGGCATTGTGTCATGCAGTGGTCTGCAGAGTGTCTAAGTCAGGTGTTGTATTTGGGGTAATCGAGGTTTAATTTTTAAACTTTTAATCCAAATGCAATAATTTCACTGAGGGCTGTTCATGGGAGGTATGCTAAAAAACAATACTAGAAGTTTAAAAATTTTTCCAAATCCAAAACCCTTCTAACTAGATTTTACATGTGCTTAGGCACGAGGATTGCATAGCGCACCCGGGGGATATGCTGTTTGAGCCAAGCGTCATCACAGCGACTCTCAGCAACTCTTCCGCCAAATGTGTGCAATGCTACGGTGCAAGTGGTGGAGTGTGTACAACACTACTGCGCAATGTTGGTTTCAGGAATGGAGCAAAAACACGGAATTGCCGAGAGCTGTTCAGCTTAAAATCCGTATACTGGCGGAAGGTGGAACCAAGTTGTCCATAGTATATACAGTCTATGGGTAGCACTCATTTTCTGTTTTCCGCACTGGCTCTTCTGTCGGCTTCACGTGTTAAAGTGCTATGGTTGCGTGTAGCTGCAGGCTGCTACTATGCAGTTGTTTGCTACTTGGTTCTAATTCAGCACATGATTGGACTGGAGCAACTCCCCTTTTCATTGGCTAGTCATATAGTCTACCAAAACATGCCAGAATGCCGACTATTGAGGGAAATCAATTTTCGATATATATCTTTATCATTTTATTGCCCAGCCCTACATATGCTCCAGAATTACTGCTGTTGTAAACATTAGGAGTATGCTCTTCACATTCAGCTAACAGGACGGTAAATAATGCCTCATTGGCTTGTCTAGTGTGGCTAACATTAGCAGTGCTAGCACCACCAGCTTCCAGCCCACTTTGAGGCTAAGATCCACTCTGCTTTCACCACTCAGGTAACGCGGTTAAATTCCTCTCTAACCAGATACAGCCTCGACAGCTCTATCTTCATTTTCTAAGTCTGTGTTTGTGCGTCAGTGTTTTGTAGCTGAGTCAAAAAGACACCTTCAGCTCACAGTTTGGTTTCAGTTCTTGTTATGACTCCTTGTTTGGGACCATCAGAAGGAACCGAGTATCAGCTGTGGGATAATAAATTGTCACTGTACAAGTTTCACTCCTTCTTTCCTTTCTCACGGTGTTTCTCTTTCCATCTTACACACTCAAACAGACACACTCACATTCGCGCTCACACACAGCCACTCAAGGGTAACTGGGTTGTTCGCTGCTTTTAAACTACATCTTGGATCCAGTTGAAATTCCTTTCTCCTCATCTCATTTCCTGTTGTAGCTTTCTCCAGAGTGAGCCGCTCTCCAGTTTTCTATCTGACTGACTTCTCTCTTTCTTTCTCCCTCTCAGTCCCTCTCTCTCTCCCTCTCTCTCTCTCTCTCTCTCTCTCACTTGATTGAGTACACTGCTTGTGTTTTCTCTCCATAACCCCCCTCTTCTTTCCTTCCCTTAAACCCTATGTTTCCCAAGCCTGCTTGTGGAGCGAACAGTGGCTGAAAGCATTCACGCCTGTGTATCCTCGAATGTGTTCATGTCAGGGAAGATTAGAATAACGAGAGCAGCGGTTCCTCTGTAACTGTACGCAGGAGTTTGGCCGAGTGCAGCCAGTCGACAGGAGAGGAAGAGGAACACGTTCACTTCATCTATGGGGCTATTTCAAATGCTTGTGCTTCCTCATTTCTTCTTTCTTTCTTTCCTCCGCAGGGATGAGGAATGAACTGTTTTTGGTTTCTTAATTCGCCCCCTTTAACTCCTACTCTTTGGGGTGTTCCCATCATTATTATCCCCAGTAATTCTTCTGCTAAACACCCCCATGTTTTTGCGCGCACACCACCGCGGCAGTCACACACACACGTGCCAAGAGTGTGTGGCTTTTCGTTTCATGTTTTCCTCGGATACTAGGGCAAGATATTCTCCACGGGCAGCTGCAGTGGTGCTGGATTAAAAAGGGAGAGCTGCTGCTGTTGTTTTTGTTTTTTAGACGCTGTGTATATTAAATCTCAAAGAGGGTGAATGCACCCCCTTCAGAGAGAGAGTAGAAGAGGAAGAGATTTTTCTCAATTATAAAGAGGGAAGTAACGAGAAAAAGAGGAAAGTGAAATGAGGTTAAAGCTAATTTTAAAAAAAGAAATTGAAAGTGACTGTGTGACACAAGCCCCATATATAAAAGGAGGAAATAAAGGGGTTCAGAGGAAAAGAGGTAAAAGGAAAAGAGAAACCACATGGACCATAAAGCAAGAGAGAATGATAGGCAGGCTGAGACAGAGGATTACACACTCTGGTTTTTTAATACAGTCTTTAATCCTAATGTGTTGAATGGACGGTTACTGGAGAGGCTAAGCCTTTCTTTCTCTATGAGACTCACTCTTCATTCAACACACAAATATACATATGTAAATACACAATGTATGCATATCCCCTACTTAATATGCAGGTGAAATTCATATTGAGATGATTAGACGTGTGCAGGAGCGCAGCATAAACAACAATGAACTTCAACAAAGAAAACAGACAAACGGAAAACACAACATCCAATATAGCATTTATCCGAAACTGAAACTTGTGTACTCCACCCTCACTGTTGTGGTAAACTTCCCCTGACACTGGCAAACCATGCGTGCTTCTTATCAAGTCATCCACAGAGACAGCTGTCCAGCACTTCCTCCTCCTCTGAACACGAGGTTGTGGGGTGTCAACCTGCCTACCCAGCACTGATGGGGTTAGTGCTGCTGAAGGGGCTCTGCCCATTGTTTCAACACTTTTACACTGACTGAAAATCAATTTAAAGCTCCTGTAGAGAACTTTGGATTTGTGTCACTTTAGTGCCCACTGAGGACAAGGCAATTATTTATTTAAATACTGTCTTCTGACTAAAATCCCGCTAAGTTTTGATATTCAGAGGTATGATTTTTCATGAAAGTAAGAAGCAGGACTGTCTCTTCAGCTACTCATCTGACATCTAACCCCTTTGCACTGGTTTCAGGAACTGAAATGGCTTTTGTATGTCTTAAAAAAGCATGGATATGAATTTTGGTCTATTTCATAATATCAAAAAACTCCCCACTGGAGCTTTAAGTTGTATCCCAAACTTGATTAATTAAGATATTGAACTTGCTTGTTATTTATCCATTTCTAATGATGTTCAAATTTCTGATTTATCCACATCCCCAGCTCTGTGACCAACACATCACCTCATAAATTGGTTGTTTGCTGTAGTTTAATTATGAACACTATCCTCTTATTTTGAAGTATACTACTTCTAGTCTACTGTAACTTACAGGACTAAATGCAATTTGAGATTCAAATGCAGAATTACTTCCAAGCTCTTCTCTGTTAGTTTAACCTTGTGCTGACTTGTTTACTGTCTTACTCAGAGTAAGACGGAGTGTAAACATAAGTTCATTCTGTCTGCGTTCAGTGGATCGACAGGTCTGGGATTTGATAGCTTTGCTGCAGGGACTAGAGGTGGGGAGGGGAAACCTGCCACCAAAAGAAGAGAAACGGGACTCTTTGTTATTCCAGAGTTATCTCAGACATGTTATATGTATGTTCTCGGCTGGTTTAGGAGGATTCGCTGAAAACTTGGGGAATCCTGCAGTTGTCTTCAGAGTTTGTTGTAATCTGGACTGAAAGTTAAACAGTTTTTGTAATGTGGAGGGAGGTTGTTGTCAAAGGAAAGTTGAAGCAGTTTCAAAAGTAGTAAGAGTGGTGAGACATTATTTTCACTGCTGAGTGATGAATTAAGTCCATGCTTCAGATTTTATTGTAACTGTGAAGCTCCTTTAATTGCTAGTTACGGTTACACCCTAGTGTAGGTAATGTGCTCTTACACCTTCCAAATGAGGGATGTTATTTTGCCACTCTTAATTTCTTATCTCTGTGAGGATCCACCTATGAAGAGAACTTTTCACCTGCATTACCACATCAATTTAAAAAAAAACGTCAACAAAGAAATGAAGACAAGAAGTTCACTGTGATGGATTACCTATCTCATCCATGTTTCAAGTCTCTGCAAGTTGATTTTCATGCCATATTGGCATCAATTGAAACCTCCTGTTGCTGAAAAATGCACTCATCAGTCCAAGACGGTTTGAGAGAGGTTAATGGAAGTTTGCAAAAAACCAAATCAGATTGAGTCAGGTGTGTACAAAGTTAGGCAAAAGTGCCGTAGAAATCACAGCAATGCGATTATGATTTGTGTAAGTGCATGAGTTTTTAAAAGCTCTACAGTATAGCTTTAAGTTTTGGCACAGGGATTTGTTATTTACGTGCAGGTTGAGTCATTAAATAAACACACAAGCAGAGCTAAGAAAGCAGTGCTAATCCTGGGATGTTTTTTTTTATTACTAGGATGACCTGAATGGTGCCTGTGGGTGCAATCCTATCAAGAGATCGCACAGGGTCATAAACAAGAGGGGGATTGGGGTGAAGTCAAGAGCAAGGAGTGAGAGAGGACAAGTACAAGGAGTGAAATGAATGCAGGAGAGTAGATGAGAGAGAAGCTGAGGTGAAGAGGAGGAGGATCTAATAACAGAGGGAAGTAAAGGTGGATAAAGACAAAGATGAGAGATTCTTGCGTCATCGCTCTGCTTCACACACAGAGCTGGAGTCTGTACCAACAAATTGCAGCAGTGCTTCATGTGTCATCTTACAGCTCAGGTGATTCTTTAAACTCGTGAATGAACGTCGTTATTGTGGATTGTTTGTGTAATCGTCCGCTGGTTGTGTGATTCAACCCGCAGAGAAGCAGTCATAACAGTGTGTTGCATTACAAACCCCACAGAGGGCACTTAATCACCTCTGTTTGTCTCAGCGTGGTTTTATATTTAACCTCGAGGAAGATTTATGGACCAAAGGGGGAGACATTCGCCAAGCTAAGAGCATGTATTAAAAAAAAAATGAAGATACAGCACCACAAAGAGGAGCAGAGGGAGCTTCAAAATTAAGTCTGCCATTTTTATCCCTTTTTAACACCGAAACCCAAGTAGCTATTAAAAGATCACTGGGCTTTTCTTCTTGTAACAGACTGTGCTGTGGAGGGAAATGCTATTAATGCCTTCCAGGAGAATCTAAAAATGTGCATGTTCGCCCTGTATTTAAACATTAATCACTTCCTGCCTTTCACTCCAACAGTCCAGTGTATCCATTTGGAACAACTATAAATACTTTTGATTTCCAAACATGGGGCATATTTTAAGTATCCCAGAGGGGCAATTATTTTTACAGCCTGCAGTGCTCCATGAGCATGACATGAAACAATGGAAAGTGATAATAAGAATAATACATGGGACATCAGAAAACAAACTAAAATAGTTTAACAGCAGTGGCAATAAATAGATATTGAATCCAGCCTGGCTAAGAGGATGTATCTGTATCCAGAGAGGTGCAACAAGATGTCTGTTAAAAATGGATGGCTTGGTTCTCTAATGATTAGCTGAGAGTTTTAAAAAGTTCTCACAAGTCAGTGTGTTGTCCGCAGTAGTGCCAAGATACTTGTACCACTTCTTAGTCTAGTCTTTTACAGTTATGGCTTTTTTTCACAATTTTCTTTATGTTGACAGTGGGATTCTTCCTAAATCAACTTCCTAGTCCTCACTTTTAGACACATCCACTTCTCAAAAGAATGATGTGTCAAAGTGCGACATGTTTATCAATCATGTAGGAAAGTAACTGTACGCTTTCTACAATGGGCATGATACAAGAAAGATATTTCTTAATGACATGTTACTGCTTTTTGTGTGCCAAAAATAATCAACAGGACATCCAGTTTTAGCTAGTTTGAAGCTGTTTTGAAGATGTTAATAAATCATGTAGGAAAGTAACTGTACACTTACTCACTGAGCATTTTTGGTCTAAAAGAGGTCTGATAAACATCTAAATGTAGCCTAGACGACTGGTCTAAAATCAGGCTACCACAGGTCTAAAACAGAAAGATTTTTAGACATCTAAATTTAGACCAAGCTTAGACTAAGTCTAAATCTGGGCTATATCTATACTACACTGTATATTGCTCAACGGCTATCATGATTATTTTGGTTAAGTACTTGGAGATCAGTTATGCAACTCAAAGTACAACTCACAACACACGAATAATGGGTTAAAGTGCAACGTCTAAATACTGTCTAAAAATATACAGAATCTAGATGTTTGAAATTAGGTCTAAAAAAAAAGCTAGACATCTAGTAGCCGTCTATTGCTCAGTGGGTAGGTTCATAAAATTCATGAGAACAATGGACGTAATACAAAAAGATATTTCTTAATGACACGTTTTGTTTGTAAAAATAGTCAACATAACATCCAGTTCTAGTGAGTTTGAAGCTGTTTTTTTGTGACAGCTGAGCTTCAAGTGTGTCTGCTGCAGAAAAGGTAAAGCTGTGGATAAAAAAATGCACATTTTGAGCTCATACTGAGTATTTACAGTAACAGGGACAGAGAGTGTTTAATCGATTTAGTTAACCTAAAGTATCCAGATGCGTTGTCTTGAAGGGAGTATCAATTATTGAAAACATGTAGACCCGTTTATGTAGCTACTTATAACATCTTTTGCTTGAAATTGGAGCTAGAAGCTGTAAAAAAAAAGATGTTTCTGCCAGGATCAACTCATTGTTAACATGGAGCTTTTTGACAGTTTAAAAAAAACATTTCACAAGCAGTGTTCTCTCAATAGCGCTACACTTCCACTGAAGCTGCTGGTCCTGTGGCTACAGAGCAAACCTGCGTGTGTGTGTGTAAATAAATCACAGGTTTTATCCAAACAGTGTAATTGCATGTTAGTGAGTGCCTCATGACTAATGTGATTACTCACCTTCTTTCAGTTAGTGCGTTTTCTTCTTTTTTTCTTGCTGCAAATGTTGTATTTCTCCCTTAATATGGCCCTCTTGGACTGAGTTTTTGACATCCATGGGGTTGACCAGAGGCGGCAGGACAAATACATGTAGAGGTGATTATGAATGCAGAGTGATGGGAACTGCTACGTTCATATGTAGTGAAATACACCTACCCTAATGAAAGGGTAGATATCTGCTTTGCTAGTTCACAGTCTGTTCTCCAAATGTCAGCGTTCTCCTCTTCTTCTTCTTCTTTCCAGGGTTGTAAACACTGCATTGTGTTTTTGCTGCAGAGGAGCTCAAGATATCTTCTGCAGGGTGTATTTAAACTTCTTCCTTGTGCTGCAGTGGAAGCTTTTGTTCTTTTTAAGAGGCTGTGTGGAAATGATGATGGGCTGTTTTTGAGAGTTATTTTTAAGCATTGCCACTACTAACCCGAAGTGCAACAAAAATCTGCACCTCTTTGCAGAGAAGATGTTTACTGCATCTGGAGTTTTTACTGCAAATGTACCAAGATAAAAATGGAGGTTGTTTCTGTGGTAGATTAATAACTTAATAACAGTGAAAAGAGTATACAGCAATGTGGCATTTAGTCATAAGCTCAAATTCTTGTGAATCTCTCTTCCAGAGGAGAGGGAGTCACCTGGCCACAGAGAAGTCACTCCGTTAAAGCCAGACTTCACAGCATGAGATTTGCTTATCGTCTGGGCCGCAGCATCAGATTCCCGTGCAGATAATGAAACGTTGTTGGAGCAAACAATGACCGTGCTGGAGGAACACACGTGTAACCATAGACCAGAGAGGGTCCCCAGGGTGAGGAGAAAGAGACAATAAGAAGAACAGAGAGCTGACTAGCAAGGATGTGTTGCTTCATAAAGGAGGATGTATTGCTCCTGAGGGAGGACTGCAGCACCACCTGTGTCTGTTTGTGTGTGTGTGTGTGTGTGTGTGTGTGTGTGTGTGTGTGTGTGTGTGTGTGTGTGTGTGTGTGTGTGTGTGTGTGTGTGTGTGTGTGTGCACATCTCAGTGGGTGGTTTGACCACATTCCTGTGAAAGGGAGTGCTATCTGTCACACATGTTTGATGAACAGATTGAGCTTCAGCAGGGTTCAGGAAATGTCCCACGCAGATTCTTTCATTCACAGATCTGACAACACTGACACATGCAGACACTCACAGTCTCCGCACGCTGTTTTGAGTGTCCGACTGTAATTTGTTTGTGTGTGTCTGAAAATATGGCTTCAGATTTGTGTCACTCTCGCAGACACAGTGTATTTTTATCTTCAGGTTACTCAGGGCGAAGTATATGATGTTGTTTTCACTTAAAGTGTGTGTGCTTTCAGTGTTATTGAATAAATAATCACTTATCGCCATCTGGGTGAATAAACACATTGCTTTTGCTCGTAACAGCGGTCTCAAACACTCAACACTCACTTTCTCTCCTTTCTGCCCTCTTTTCTTTTTGCAGGAGAAGCAAAAAACATCCCTCCATACCCGGGGCCAAACAGGATGAGGGACTGTTACTGTACCGTCAACCTGGACCAAGAAGAAGTCTTCAGGACCAAGATCATTGAGAAGTCACTTTGGTAAGTTTAAGGCGCAACTTCAGAACTTCAGTGTTGTTCGTCATTTCCTCAGATGGCAAACCTCAAGGCTCAGATTATACGAAAATGTCATCAGATAACTGAAAGTTGTGTCTCGACTCCTAGATGAGAAGATATTAGATTGAGGTCACTGGGTTTGAGCTGATGTTGTGGCTCACTTATGGCCTCTTTATAAAACACTTTTGGATTTATTTATTCATTTTGAATCATAACATAGCCTACCCTCTCCTATCCTTTCAGTTCCTCTCCACTGACACTGTATCCTATCTGAGCATATCCTATCCTTCCATATCTTAACCTTTATTTCCTTGTGTGTCCTATCCTTTTCTATCATATCATAATGTAATGCATCGTATCTTATCATATTTAGGGTTGGGTATCATTTGATTTTGAACGATTCCGATTCCTCTTTTCGATTCCGGTTCCTATCGATTCTCTATTCCGATTCTTTTAAAAGACAGGATACTAAAAAAAAATGCATGGTTTAAATGAGGGTGCTAACCAGAGTTCTTCTTTTTAGACAAAATTTCTGAACTTCTCCATGAATTTTTTAATTATATCAACTTTTTAAGAACTTTACTATGAATTTCTCACAGGGCTATTTTCAACCATAACCATATAAATATAAATTTTTGTTTTAAGGTAGTTTGTCTATGAAAAAGTACAAGGGCTAACGTTAGTTGTATATTTAAGTTGACCCTCCTTACACAGTACAATTTATTTGCCACTTTAATGTTAGCAGCGGACAGAAGTAATTTACTGTTTCACTCATCTGATTCTGGCTGGTTTGCGGAAGACAGGCGAAGCGTGTCAAAGAAGGGCACTCAGGTATTTCTCCTCCATGAATCCTGAGGTGTTTAATCATGTTGGTCGTTCACCCGCCTTTGCATGATGTAACTGTATTGCTAACGTTGCACTGTGATAAGAGTTCATTCTTCCAGCTAAAGTTAGCCAAACTGTTGACCACAGCCGCTGTGGGTTGCAATGCACTTTCTCTCTCTCTGTCTCTCTTCTCTCTCTGTTTGGCTTTGTCTCAAAGGCTTTGTCCTTATTGGTGTTCGGCGGCGTCTTCCTCGTTGGTGTTCAGCGGCTATTTCTTCCGGTTGGCGGACTCCCGCATTGAAACTTGGAATCGAAATTTTAAGATTTGAACGGTTCCGGGAGAACCGGAACGTTAGTCCCGGTCCCCATCGATGCTCGAGACTCGATGCCCAACCCTAATCATTTTGTACCGTATCATATCGTATTGTATCGGGCCATATCTTATAACAGGCTAAATTCGAGTCAAATGACCATAATTTAAATACTCTGTGTCACGTGGAAAATATTGATTAAAATTCTAAATTCCTGTATAGATTGAGATCATCTCTACCCTGGTTCTTATTGTAAATTTGGCCGCTCTTACGAAGAAACAATTAAGGTAGAAAACAAAGAAATCTGACTCATATTTAATGAAAGATCTTGTATTTAGAGGAATTTTAATAAGCCTTAATAAAACTCCTTGTGTGTGTGTGCGTGTGTGTGTGTGTGTGTGTGTGTGTTGAGTAACATAAAAAGTCAGTAATTGTATGCAGCAGCCTTGAGGGCTCAGCTCATGAGATCCACATTTAGCTGATTTCTATGGCTCTCATTTAAGTAATGCAGAGTGGGGCTGTTGATGTACCTCCTGGAGTATAATCACAAGTATGCGTCGTTTTGCTGTGGAGTGGCACATGACTCTTGGCATCATGTAAATACATGTGGTCTGGAGTCAAGTGATTAATCAACAAGATCAATCACTTCAGAGCAAAAAATCTGAAGCATTTCAAAGCATTCATTTCCTGTGCATGTGATCGTGTAACATGAACAGTCCTCACTTTCTTCTGCTGGCCATCAGGGACAAAAAAACACACATACACACACACAGCACTCTATACAGGAGAATTATGTAAATTATTTAGGTTTGACTACCAGGGATACGTTGAATGGAGGCAGGTGATGTATGGCAACATTATGTAACACTGAAATGTTGTTTGAAGGCATTTTCATATGTAAATTTCATGTTTTGCATTGACGTTTCTTGGTGATCAGGGCTTGTAGCTAGAATTCCAAGATTTAAGGTTGCATATTGAAGTAAAAAAATTACTTTCATGTTTTTGGTAAACCGGCTACCTTTAGATGAAAGAAACCTCTAATCCCAGTTTTCCCTGTTGTCCTCTTCCTCCTTCAGTCCGTTCTACGGGGAGGATTTCTACTGTGAGATCCCACGTAGCTTCAGACACCTCTCCTTCTATATCTTTGACAGGGATGTCTTCAGGAGGGACTCCAGTATCGGTGAGTTAGCAGCTGCTTCATCTAAACCTGGGACTCGTTTATTAACTTAGCAGCTAAAATGTTTCCTGGCAGCCTCATTTTTCTGTCGTTTATTTAAAGTTTTAATAGAACATGTTAAATGTAAGAGTTGAGCCATAGATTATTTAATTCACAGTTTGCCCCTGAATACCAGGCTAATCTAACCAGCTGCTTCCTGTTGCCACACAAAAATAACACCTTCATCATTCAAAAGATGTGTGTTTGTGTGACAGGATGTTTTTAAAGTGTGACTGGGTGTGTCAGGTTGCAAACCGTCAGATTTGTGTTTGTGGGTCTGTGACCACTGAGAACCTCTCCCATGGTGTGATTTGTATCATCAACGCTATCACAGCTCGTGCATATCTGAGTGTGATTATGGGTGTGGGAACAAGAAGTCAACTTGTTAGTTTCGATAGAGAAATGACTGGTTCATTTCCAGGGTATTTCGCGGGCACAGGGGTTGTTTCTGCACCTGGTGCCTGTCTATGTGCTATAAAAAAGATTGACACACTTTTGCTTTTAATGCTATGTTGGGCACATCTGAGGGGGTAATGGATTTCTGTTTTCAACCTATCTGTCTTTTTGTGTTATAATGTGTGTGTGTTGTAAATGTGCAGGCAAGGTCGCAGTGAAGAAAGAAGACCTGCAAAAATATCACGGCAAAGACACCTGGTTCCAGCTTCACCCTGTCAGCGCTGATTCAGAGGTGCAGGTCAGTACAGAGAGAAAACACACGACTAAGCAGCGTCATTCAAAACAAAGCACTCTCTCGACTCTCTGTTCTTCTCTTGGATTTCCAGTTTTGTTACTCATCTACTTCACAAAAACATCTGAAAAAAAAGAAACCCTGTCTGTACCACAATGACCAAATGTAGCAGTTGCTCAGATTAGTGTTTTCTTTTACTCTTTAAAGACCCACTCCGATAAAAATCATGTTTTTCTTGTTTTTTATATGTTCATTTGGCATTTTTCTGATGCTACAGGACATATCATGAGAAAAATGAGTGTGAAATCGCATCTCTGAGTATTTCTCTGACAGTCACAGACCCAAACGGCAGGTTCAGAAACAGTGAGATTTCATACATAGCAAATCCAAGCTCCGCCCCCGGAGCCCTGCGATGCAGGACAGACTTGGAGAAATAGAGACGACAATCGTGGAACAAGCGTGTGTGGCAGCAGATTGCAATCCTCGTAAGAAAGCTAATTATGATATTAACTTTAACCATGTCACTAAAGACATTAGTGTCTGAGTGCTGAATAGCTCCTATGTTACCTGCTACTTCTGCTGCACAAGCAATGTTAGGCTGCTAGCTAGCGTGAAGACGAGTGTGCAGAGCAGCGCCGTCTCCGCCCACGACTCAGAGGCAAATTGCTAATAAGCTACTGGAGCTCTGCAGTGGAAAAGTCTTTAAAAATGACACAGGTAACGCGATTTTGGCTAAAAACTTAATAATCACAATTCAAAGACCACTGAGAACACTTTAAGTAGTAAAAAAAACGATTGGAGAGGGACTTTAAAACATTTTGTAAAGCTGGGTTTACAGTTATCAGACAGAGTCAAAGGTGATAAAGTTACCAAAGAGAGCTTTAAGATATCCACAGTAGCTACATACAGTAAATACACTATCAATAAAGGTGTTCTTGTTTTGCAAATGCACTCTGAAGCTTCCACTCTTCCATTCTCAGCCTTTATTTGCATAGATAGGAGATAGTGTGTCTGCATTAATGTTTCCAGCAGGGCAGGACCCAAATAAACACAGGTATGTATTCACCTGAAACATCTGAGCTGCAGGGTCAAAGTCACCTGCTGGTTCATCCTGTATATACAGAAGATCCTAATTATTTTAAACTCGTAAACACAACCTGTAAAAAGATCACTGGGTGAAAGTGCAAAGTCAAAATCAATACACTTTCTGTACGAGGAGGATTGCAGAATGAGGTGATCTTATACAGTAACAGAAACATGTTTTTAATTCTTATCTTAAACAGCTGTGATGTTTTTGGAAAAATAAGAGACTATCCTGATCAAATGAGCTTATTTATTCCCATTTATTCATTGTTAAATGATCTTTATTGGGGGAATTCACATGCAACTTTTGGCACAGTGTTTCTGATAAGCATGAGGTCAAACTCAAAAAGGAAAAAAAAAGCATGTTTGCGCAATTTACAGTATCATTTCAATTTGATATTTCCCTTTCTGACACATGGTTTGTCTGACATGGAGACTGCACCTCCCACTGAGCGATAGCAGCAGGTTAATAACACAGCGCACACTAAGACTGAAAAAAAAGCTTTATTTGTGTTTGTTTTTTACTGCGAGTGACTCACATCTGTGATTCATAAAAGTGTCAAGTAATCAGGTTTTAAGCTGTGCATGCTTATTTAATACATGTGCTCATTTTCTCCTATTCAGTATTCAACAGTCTCACTCACCCACAGATGCACGCACAGACAGGAACGCACACACACACAGAGTGACAGACAGTCAGATCCACAGCGAACAGTAACATCTGCAGACAGATGGGTGTGTGTAGCCCTGGAGCAGGGATCTGAAACAGAGACACATTCATCCGAGGAGCCGAGCAGAGGAAGGATGTGTGAGAGAATGAGTGTAAAGAGAGAAAGCGAGGGAGATGGATCAAATGAAGAAGGAAGATAGAGTGACTCTCTTCCCTTTTCAATAGAGGATGCATTGTTTGGCCTGTGCGCACATGTGTAAGTGTGTGTGTGTGCTTGTTCCCTCTGCTTGAATCGTCCAGAAAGAGAAACGCCTGTGAGTTTGCATACTGATGCTGTTAATTAATGGAGCTTTTCTAGACAGCTGCACCACCACACTGTCATTATGTCATTAATCCAATCACTTCCAGGGTAAATTATTTCGGCATGACTTCAGGCTCGCGGATATTTTCTTTCAGTGTCTCTGTCGACAGGGGATGACACTTCTCAAACATATGTTTAGTCCTGGAAAGAAATGTTGTTCATCCAAGTTGTTTGTTATTGTCCACAGATAAGGCCTCTTCTAAAATACTTTTCAACCATTTACAGTTAATTCAATTAAAGACTAAATTTTGGCACCATGGATAATAAACCAAAAACTTCAGGTTTTTTTGTCAGAAAAACTATCACGTTTAAAGGGATATTCCAGCGTAAAATTAATTTAGGCTCAAACACACTGTAACACTGAGTTAGACACCCCCTCAAGAGATGAATGTTGCAGGATGCTTGCTTCACTAGTTATACTACCTTTAGTAACAACCGCATGATAGCAATACACAGCAGTCTGAGGAGCCATAAACAAACCTCAACCAAAACGCCACTCTATAGCCACAAATAATACTCAGAACAGCACCTAACTTCATCAACAGTACATGTAGGGTCCCAGCCACCAAACATCTTTTTAACTTTGCCTAATTTCTTTAGCAAAGAGACTAAACACAACTCACCTACTCTCTTCCAGCAGCCTCTTGTTTGTAGCGAGACCTCAGGCCAGTCCACTATGGACTGCAGTGGGCTGACGCAGCTCAAGGAAGAACATTTACGATCATTTCTTTATTATTTCCTTGAAGTAATAATCATCATATTAAACATGTTGCATTGCAGACACGGTAGTTTTTCTGCCTTAGCGCCTCAGTCTGATTGCATTTCCATGAAGAAATGATCATAAATGTTCTTCCTTGAGCTGCGTCGCCCCGCTGTAGTCCGTAATGGACTGGCCTGAGGTCTCGCTACAAACAAGCGGCTGCTGGAAGAGAGTAGGTGAATATTGTTTAGTCTCTTTGCTAAAGAAATTAGGAAAAATTAAAAAGATGTTTGATGGCTGGGACCCTATATGTACTGTTGATGAAGTTAGGTGCTGTTCTGAGCATTATTTGTGGCTATAGAGTGGCGTTTTGGTTGAGGTTTCTTTATGGCTCCTCAGACCGATGTGTATCAAGCGGTCGGCAACATTCCATCTCTCGAGGGGGTGTCTAACTTGGTGTTACGGTGTGTTTGACCCTAAATTAATTTTACGCTGGAATATCCCTTTAAGTTGTACTGAGGATTTTAAACATAACTGAGAGCCTTGCTGCATTGAGTGACTGACGGGTGCAGCTGTCTGCTTCTCTGTGGCTGATTTGATTAATTGACCCTGACCTACCATCATGGATTTCACTGGCTTGCGTGGTGAGCACATGTGATATGCAGATTCTAAGGTGTTCACGGATAGACAGCAGAACTCCAGACATGAACATTCACAAGCGTGTGTAACGAGGGTCCGTCTGTGTGCTTGTTTCCTGCAGGGGAAAGTGCACCTGGAGCTGCGTCTAAGTGAAGTCATCACAGACAGTGGAGCCATCAACCATAAACTGGCCACACGGTGAGGCTGCACGCACAGATACACACACAGATGTTGTTTGGCGTGTTTTGTTTTTTTATTCATGCACTGTGTTACGCATCTATCACCTTATCTTTGAGTTTTTTTGCAGCATTTTCACAAAATCTATATGAGATAATTCAAAACTAATAACCAGTGGATGAATCCTGACTAACTTGGTGATCTGCTGACACAAAACGTCACATCAGAGCTTCATTTGCTCAAACAAAAACCTGATTTTTCCAAGTTTAAGACACTCAGATGAAAGAAAAATGTACTTTTCATCGCTATTATTGCTTTGTCACTGTGAACATGGATACCAGTGTTTTTGCTCAATTTAAGGGTTTTGTAAGAGCTCTCTATGATGGCTTAATTTATGCAACGAGCTTCACAATCCCTCCAAGGTGCATGGCTTGTTGCCCAGCAACAGCTTTTGACTGGTATAGAGCTGGTTGAAGGTTAGGGCTTTTTGACAAGCATGAATCTGTTCCTGAATGTTTGAATCAATATGTTGTGGTGTAAGAGTCATGAGCTCATAAATCTGCCCGGCTACAGCGCGGTGTCATTGTTTGGTTTGCGGTGTGTGAAACGTGGTCGTACGTCCGTGCGGTATGTGAACCTTAATGTCTGCAGGGGATCAATGATAATCAATGATTATTTGGTGTGTACATGTGTGTGTGCCTGTCTGCTCCCCCCGGCTCTTCTTCTGTAACATGTAGCAGTAAAGTCCGATGAGGAGCCAGCGTGGCTCCGTTCCCAGAGCACATTGTGGGTAAGGAGCTTAGAGCGAGGGGTCCTCTCGTTAGATCTCTCTAGAAAGACACGTGTACAGAGCCGCATCCATTCAGCTCCACAGATCAGCTGGAAGAAATATTAGCCTTTGAATTTCTTTGTGTTCAGAAATGAGGAGGAGAAAGATATTTGTGACATGTACATTTGCTGACAAACTTACAAAGTTTGTAGGAGCATTTCTTTAATAGGAACCAGATCTACTTCATTTCCATTTGGTGCTACTTGATTCTCACACTGAACCGCAGTTCAGAGAAAAGAAACTTTTCACTCTTCTATATTTAGTAATGTGGCTTTTTTTAAAACTCCTTTTGATACAAACTTATATAGGAAACCAGACAATGACCATTTCTGTTACTTCCAAAGTCTGGAAATGCTGCTGAAGGGTAGGTGTGAAAAAGCCTTTTTGTTTTTACACTAGGAAGGATTCACAAAGAGATTAACTTAAAACAAAGCAGATTTTTTTTGTGACTGAACACTCCATTGCAATTCCAAGAAGTATTCAGCAAAGGCACAAGAAGGAGATTTTCTCCCCTGGTGGTGCCAAAGCTAACACAAACAAAAAGCTCCTCTCAAGAAGAGCTACTGGAGCTACTATGTTCAGTTTATCATGAACAAATACCAACATGACAGGCAAGTACTTTGACAATATTGACATGTTTGCGATAATGATGTAACCCCATGTTTTACAATTTACACGCTAAACTGTCAGATTTTTTGCATAAAAGGGGCTTTTGTGCTAAAAACCTTAAAATTGTGTCTACCAAATCTGCTCTTTTGCTAACTTTTTGTAAACTTTTATTTAAAGTTTTCGGTAACACTTTAATTCACGCCTATCTCTATAACGCATTAAAAATACATGTATAATGCGTTATAATCATGCTATAGTTGTCAACACTCATAAATGATCATAATGCTCCATAGCAATAATCATAACACATTATAAAGCATTTTATCATGACTTACAAGGTCAGGTATTATAATGTGTTTTAACTGTTAACAACTCACTGACAACGCCCACATAGATAACGCAATTCAACTGTTGTTAACATTTTTAATGCATTATAATACCTTAATAGGTCATGATAAAATGCTGTATAATGTGTTATGATTATTGCTATAAAGCATTATGCATAATAGCATAATATTTATAATGCGTTATAGAGATAGGCGTCAAGTAAACTGTCACCAAGTTTTCTTATGCAGCAATAATTGGTGTTGCATTTACAAATACTCACAAAATTAGTTCATAGTAAGTAAAAAATTATTTTCAATTTCTGCCACACTACCTTTTTTATAGTCAAAATTTCTCTCTTTCTGCACTAACCTCAGGTCTACTTGGCTACGAAGGAGCTGCAACTGCTTATGTTGAAAAATGAAACCAGTGTGAAGGTTCAGAAAACTGCAGCTTCTTGAGGGTCCCTTTGAGGGTCCCATCAAAGCCCATTTTAACACCTCCTTTCCACTAACATAAGTGTCCATAGGTACATAGAATAACTGATGATGCCTCTAGAGTTCAGCACAAGGGATGTACATATCTTTACTGAAAAAATGGAAAACCACAGACTCTACTTGTTTCCCTCCTCAAACTTCCAGTCTTCAGTCTCATGCATGCAGACCCAGCTGGCATCCCTTGACTTTATTAGACTTCCCACAGTTCACTCTTTACAGCCACCAAAGTTCAAAGTAACTTCTTTCAGATATACAGTGCCTCATCACTTCTAAACAGACTGGTGTGATGTATACCACAATCATTTTATACAGTATCAATACTTCCTTCTCCGCTGTAGTTGTCTGTCATTGAGTTTTGATTTTATAGCAAAAAGATGGGAAAGTTTCAATCTACTGTCACAATTGAATTCAACATTTAGGTCTTCTTGTTTTTAATTCTTCACCATTCAGCCGTCAACGACATCGACTTATTCTCACGCCTGTTTTTTTTTTGTGTGAGGTTTTGGTACAGTGATGTAATTCCCTTTTCCTTCTCATTTGAGTGAAACTGTTTTTGACAGGATGCGTGGGCGCAGAAAATAAAGCAACCCATTAACCTAATATGAGTAACGTCAACTAAAACAAATAAGTCTGCCTCATCACCGCTGTCTGACATGTCAGCGCCCACAGCGATGAGGAGAGAGAGCGAGGGAAAGAGAGAGAGAGGCAGAGCTGAATAGTAGGCCAAGCAGGGGTTATATAAACAAGCTTATTGGACAGGAAGCGCTCTGGCATTAGTGATGCTTAACCCAGGCCCCTCCTTATTCCTTGTTAGGAACCTGTGTGTGTGTGTGTACGTGTGTGTTTAGTACAGTTGTGGGCAGTGTGGTGATTTGCTGTGTAATTCACCATGAGCTGTGAGTAGTGGTGCATCACCATGACACACAGGAAGCGATTCGTCCTGTCGGGTGTCCTGTCCTGTTTGGGTGTTAATCCCCTTACAGAATGATGTCATTGTACCGAACTCTCACACACAGAAAGAGACACAGATAGATAGATAGATAGATAGATAGATAGATAGATAGATAGATAGATAGATAGATAGATAGATAGATAGATAGATAGATAGATAGATAGATAGATAGAGACATAGATAGAGACATTGAAAGATGGTATTATAATTGTTTCTAACTATACTAATTTTCTCTAATAGTTAACTTTTCAGAGGACTGTAGTTTTAGTTAGTTCTTTTATTTTACATAGATAAATAGATGAGTGACTGACGGCCCTGTTGACAAATCTGGGCCACTGCTGTGTACTGTACCGGGTCAGCTGAGTGGCCAAGTGCTGAGAGAGGACGCAAGAAACAAGTATAACATTGAACCATTTATTACGGCTCAGTTAAATGCATGTTTTGGTTTGTGGTGAGAGTGTGACTCCAGCTCACTGAGGCAGTCTCTTACTTCATATCACACAGTGGGCTGAAATAAAGACACACTGTCAATTTTATATACAATATGCTTTTTTTAAAATGATATTTGGATAGTTTGCATTAAACTGGATTTTTAGGACTCTAAATGATAAGTTCAACAGAACTTAAGCTACGTATATAAACTTTATTAGCAGTTTGACCCCATTTAGATCTTTCCTCCTTTGTGGATCTTCCTCTAATGGCCGTGTACGAGTCTTTAAATTCAGGACCTGATGAGGTTGTCCTCAGAATAAATCACTGAATGTTTCCTCAGAATTTTGCATTTTTTCTTCCTCTGATGATCATTACGATGGAGTATTAGGGCCACATTAAGAAAAAAAAATTAAGACTTCGAGAAAAAAAGTTGTTGATTTACAAGAATAAAGTGATTACTAACGAGAATAAAGTCGTAATAAAATCATTACTTACGAGAATAATGTCGTAATAAAGTAAGTCCTTATAATCTAACCTGTTGTTTAAGAGGACAGTTGTTGACATGAGAGCCATGGAGCATTTCGTAAAAATGTACTTCAATATATGTAACTTAAACAAGGAGATACTTTATTTTTCGGCACACAGCACCACATAATCATAAGTATCATGATATTTTTTTACGACTTCATTCTCGTAAGTAATGATTTTGTTATGACTTTATTCTTGTAAGAAATTACTTTACTACGATTTTATTCTCGTCAGTAATGACTTTATTCTCGTAAATTAACAACTTTAATCTCAAAGTTTTATTTATTTATTTCTTAATGTGGTCCTAGTTCTTCGTCATAGATCAGAGATGCAAGAGTCCTTCTCCTGACCAACTTTTGATTGTTACAGATATCACGTCTCAAATACTCCTTGCATTCAGATCCTTGTTTTATCTACACCAGAGAAAGGATTCTGTCCATTTCCCTGGATTCAGGCTGTCCTCTGCTTCCTTATTTTATTTGGTCTCTACAGTGCTCTTTGTTCGACGTTTGTAGTTGCTGGATCACACAGGATTTAGAATTGGCACAGCTCTGCGCCAACAGCTCAAACAGAATTACTTCCCTCCATCTCTTTTCATCTCACCCGCTCTCTCCGTTTCTGCACTTCTTACATACAGACACACCTTACGTAGACTCGAGGGGCCATTTTCACACAGTGGAAAAATATCATTGAGCTGACTTGGACCAAAATTTACAAGCGAGGACTTCTAGCGTAGGAGTGAGCTCCACATGAATGGACCAGATGTTTAATGTCTGTGAAAAGAGGTGGGGGGTTGCTGCAACACATGACACATTTTTTTTTAAGTATGGTCTTAAGTCATCAATCTATAGAAAAAGTGAAGAGTCAACTTTTTGCATTAGAACTTTTTACTCTCCTCACATTCACTTGGCATTTGTCCTAAGTTGCACAACACTTGGATTTCTTCATGTTGTTTCATGACGGGCAGTTAAAATAAACCGATTTTGTGGTCGAGTTGATTGGAAGCAGCGTCCTTACGCTTGATCCAGCGTTTGAGGGCTGGTGAGAGCGGTGGGTCTCACGCTGTCTTTATGGGCTGATGAAGCTAAAAAGGACAAGCAGAGATTGGGTGAGCGTTCTCGTCGGTCTTTATTGAAAATCATTGTTGCTTCGACGACTTTAAAGGCAGATCAGCATCGTTTAAAAGCACCCTGAGGAAAGCTGTCGTCTGATTTGGGTTTATTGTAATGGTTTTAGTTTCATCATCAACTTTTAGTGCAACAAGCCCTGATTTTGTGCGCTAAGGGCAGGCAGTCAGAGTGAGATCTGACTGTGCTAATGATGCATTAAAATTAGCATCCTGTTAATGTGTTACAGGTGTGTACAAGTGAACGCAGTGTGCTTATTCATTAATGGTTTGTGTGTTTCTGCAGAGTATTGGAGTGCCAAGGCCTTCCTATCGTCAACGGCCAATGTGATCCCTACGCTGCTGTGTCTTTACTAGGGCCTTCAAGGTGAGATCTCTAAGGACAATTGGACCGGATTTTACCTGTCACCTGACACCTGGCCTTTGTTAACTGGATGTTCAACTTTGGATAAACGTGGATTTAACTCTATCTGCCTTTCTGCTTCTCTCAGGTCAGAAGCAAAGAAGACCAAAGTGAAGAGGAAAACCAACAATCCTCAGTTTGAGGAGGTTTTCTATTTTGAGGTAAACATATTTTTATATAAGTTAAAGTTCAACCTGATCTTGACCAGATATCTAAGTAGTCTAACCAGTTAAATATGTTTGTTTTCAATCAGAAGCGGCTGCTAGAGGGTGTTATTTGTACCACACCAAACTGTGTAACTATTTATGTCAAAAGTTTTGGCCAGCAGAGAAACTGGAAGCTATGTCTTATTTCAAAATGACCTTTCAAACAAGTTAAAGTTTAATTTATTAATTCAATCTCTACAAAACCACACTGACAAACCTCCTTGCATACCATTTCTACTGTTGCAACCAAATCTGCAAGTGCCAAAAAACAAAGTGTCTGCCTTATTCTTAGTCTTTGAGAATGATTTTAATCATTGCCAGAGTTTTACTTACTTTAATTCATATTTACGAGTTTATATTTAGATCTGTTTTTCACACATGCATACACACTATCTCTCTCTCTCACACACAAACTCTCTCACACACTGCCCCCGTTAACCCTCACTCCGCAGCAGCTTTGACATTTTTGTGTCGCCCCTCCCTCTGGCTGTAGCACTACAAGACAGCAGGACAAGAGTATGATTGATTCGGACAAACCACCAAACAATCTGGCCCATTGATTTCTATCTGACAAGACTGTCTCATTTATTCCCCACCACCACCACCACATGAGCAGGACTCTGCCTGAAGCCCCCCTCTGATTCACACACAAAGGTCCACATCCACACGCAAACTCAGCCATCCATCATGTATACCCGTCATGTGATTGTTCCTTTTTATTCTTCAGATTTGATGTCCTCTTTCTTTTGAATTTACACGGACCCTGTGATATCCAAATCTTACTTCCTTTCTCTATGATTTGGGCCGAGGCTCATTTTGGCCGAAATATAAACAGATGTTTTTGAGTTTTTACCGATGAAGATGGATTTTGTTGTATTTCTTTTGGATACAACACATCAAATTAAATAGATCTGATTGAATTGGCTGCTGATTTTAACAACAGTTATTGAATATTGAATATTTTTGCAGCATTATGGATCAGTATTGTACTTCTTTGAGTTGCCCGTGCACACTTGAGTCAAGGCTGGAAGTACAAGGGGTGTTTTATTACAAGACAAAAAGTAAGGAGTTTACTTGATTGTAATGAGTAAAATGGCTGCAAGCAGAACTTTCTTAATAAACTGAAACAAATGTAATACCTATTTTAAGGAACTTAAAGAAAATTTTGGCCTAAAATATGGAGCAAAGAAAAATTCTTTCCAACAAAATACTTGAGGTTAAAGTAAAGTTCTGGTTTTAAAATGTACTCAAAGTACAAGTGGACAATCTTTAATTTCTTTTCCTTGTTATTATTATGTAAATATTTACACAAGTATGTATGTATATATTCATGTATATCCATATGGGAACATGTAGGATCGTGTGCATATTTGCATGTATTTTATTTTGAATTAAGTTGTTGTTTGTTTGTTTGTTTGTTTTTTTCCTTTACTGAGTGGAGTACATAGGGAAAAGGGCTTTGGGGTGGAGAGGGGGTGTTTCTCTGTTCAAAAATGAGACATTATTGATGTTTATATGTTTGTTGTTGTATAATTGTTTAAAAAAAAAAGAGAGAAAAAACATAAAAAGACCGTGACTAAAAAAGTACAGAAGGACAAAAATTATACTAAAATATACCCCTGGGTGCAACCAATAATTACTTAGATTTTTAAGTAACGTCATCAATAACAACACTTAAATAGGATATTTTGTAAACTATCAATCAAAAACAGATACATGACAGTGCTACAGGTATCAAACTATGAAATCTTTACATTTGACAAGTTGAAATCATGAATAAAACAGTTAATTTCTGCTTCTGTGCTCGATTCCTCTCTTTATAAAGATGGCTCTGCTGCTAACAGACTTTCTCATGTTCATTTAAAACTTCTACTGTGTCTCTACTTCTAGGTAACGCGGCCGCTAAGCTACACAAAGCGCCAGTTTGATGTTGAAGAGGAGGATGTTGACAAGCTGGCTCTGAGGTGAGACGGCTGATATCTTCATCCTCTGTCTCTGTGTTACATAAAGAATTCCCATGTGATGAACTGCTCTGTGTTCGTGCTCAGGGTGGATCTGTGGAACGCCAGCAACCTCAAGTTTGGGGACGAGTTTTTGGGCGGTGTGCGTGTTCCTCTGCGGGTCCTGGGTCAGGCTGGGGTCCACGATGCATGGTTAGTCACACACACTTACACACTTCTGAACACAAACACACCGCTGTCTCCATTTACTCTCTCCTGCCCTGTTTATGGTTTTTCTCACTGTCTCCCTGCTGGGGTTGGGTGGGCTTGATTTCATTACCATTGGCACTCTGAGTATGTGTTGCCATAGCAACAGCCGAGCAGTCGCAACAATAATAATCGTTAACGAGTGACCTGCTTCAAACTTTGTAATCTAATCAATGTAGATTATTTCCTGAAGATGAACAACAAAGCCTCTTGTATTTTTACATTTAGCATTTATTTCAGCCGTGTTTTGTCCACTCAAGGATTTGTAGTCCAGGATTTACTCGGTCGCTTTAGATGTTTGAAGCACTACTAAGTTCCCAAACAAACTGCTAACTGTGTCTTTTTGCCGTTTGTGTAAGGTGTATTGTTTCTGGATTTATCTATGAAAAGAGAAACTCATAATGAGGTTGTCGAACGGTGAGGAAGTGAACCAAAAATAATCGCTTTAAAAACAGCAGCTATATTGGATTGTATTCTTTCTTCTTCAGGTACTTTCTTCAGCCGAGGGAAAACGGAGGGAAGTCAGTCAAAGTAGAAGAGCTCGGCTCTCTGCGTCTTAATATCGTTTACACTGAGGACCACGTCTTCCCCTCTGAACACTACACCCCCCTCAGAGATCTACTGCTGCATTCTGCTAACGTTGGGGTATGTATGCATGAGCACATCTTACACACAGTGTGGTGCCCCGCAGCATCCTCAAGTGTTAGCTGTATTACACTTCACTGTTTGAAGACTGTTCTTTCATTCTTCTGTGTTTAGCCCGTGTCGGCATCCACGGCTCATATTCTTGGGGAGGTCTGCCGGGAGAAACAAGAAGCAGCCATCCCACTTGTGCGACTGTTTCTTCACTATGGCAAGATTGTGCCTTTTATCAGCGCCATAGCTCACGCTGAAGTCAACCGCACACAGTGAGTGTCTCATCACAGCTTCTGCATGTTGAAGAAGGATGTAGTTTTCCTCTTTTTGTGTGTAAAATCAAACACTTTAACCAATACAAGCCTGCTGAAAGACGATTATTTGTAACAAATTTTACCACTTCATTAAGCATCAATGTATTAAAAAAGCATTGTAGTGAGTTGAAGAAATGAGGTCGTCAGATTGTGTGTCATATTTGCAAGCTTCACATTTTGATTTAAAGGGATATTCCGGCATAAAATCAATTTAGGGTCAAACACACCATAACACGATTTAGACACCCTCTTGAGAGATGAATGTTGTCGACCGCTTGCTTGTCTAGTTATACCAACTTTAGTAACGACCGCACGATAGCAAAACACAGTGGTCTGAGATGCCATCAACAAACCTCAACCAAAACGCCACTCTATAGCCACAAATAATGCTCAGAACAGCACCTAACTTCATCAACAGTACATATAGAGTCCCAGTCACAGCACTAGCCACCAAACATATTTTTAACTTTGCCTAATTTCTTTAGCAAAGAGACTAAACACAACTCACCTACTCTCTTCCAGCAGCCGCTTGTTTGTAGCAAGACCTCTGGGCGAATACATTGACTGCAGCGGGGTGACGCAGCTCAAGGAAGAACATTTATGATAATTTCTTCATGGAAATGCAATCAGACCGAGACGCCAAGGCAGAAGAACTACCACGTCTGCAGTGCAAAATGATTAATATGGTGATTATTACTTCAAGGAAATGATAAAGTAATGATCATAAATGTTCTTCCTTGAGCTGCATCACCCCGCTGTAGTCAGTAATGGACTGGCCCGAGGTCTTGCTACAAACATGCGGCCGCTGGAAGACCACTGTGTATTGCTTTCATGCGGCCGTTTCTAAAGTTGGTATAACTAGCGAAGCAAGCGGTCAGCAACATTCATCTCTCGAGGGGGTGTCAAACTCGGTGTTACGGTGTGTTTGACCCTTAATTAATTTTACGCCTGAATATCCCTTTAAAGGCACATTGAAGCAGCCACAGTAATACAGTTCATTAAACTCATAAATAGTTACAGCATTTTTAAAGCTGACTTTTAACAGAACTTAAAACACAAGCCCCTCCTCTCTCTATCTCTGTAGGGATCCTAACACCATTTTCAGGGGAAACTCGCTGACATCCAAGTGCATTGACGAGACCATGAAGCTGGCAGGGATGCACTATCTCCAAGTCACACTCAAACCCATCATCGATGAGGTATGCTGTTTCCTCGTTTACTCATCGAGTATTTGCTCCTTCTGTTTCCAGATGTCAGCCTCTCTTTGTTTCTTAGATCAATTCATATCACATTTCTAAGAATTTCTCTAAATAATTTATGAGACGATATTTCTTTGATAACTCCTCGCAGATTTGCGCAGAACACAAACCTTGTGAAATCGATCCGGTGAAGCTGAAAGAGTCAGAGAACCTGGAGACAAACAGGGTAAGAAGAATACTTTATTGTGTGTTTCTGCCTTTGTGTGTTTGTCTGTTGTATCATCGGACTTATCCGCCCACCACCCAATCTCTCTCCTCCTCAGGAAAACCTTCGTCAGTATGTGGATCGGATCTTCAACGTCATCACCACCTCTGGCGTTCGCTGCCCAACCGTCATGTGCGATATCTTCTTCTCTTTGAGAGAGTCGGCTGCCACCCGTTTCCAAGGTAACTCACCTCCTGAATGACTTCAAGAGAGGAAGGAGAGAAAGCACACGTTTAATAAGAAGCAGGAAATGGATAATAAAGAACAGGATGTGTGAGACGTCCAAGGACACTTTCTTCTTTTTGTGCTCTGCTATTTGTGTCAAGCCTGAGAACAATTAAGACTCCTACACAGTTATTATGAATATGACGGATGACCAGTGCTGTATACTTTGCTGCCCCCTGTTGGCTGAAAAAGGCCACAGGAGGAATACCTATTTCACATGATGGATTATATACAGTTGAATACTGTGTCTGTGCAATTGATTTGTAATTTATGTATTGGTATGATCTGAAAACAGTCTTCCAAAGTTAACATCATAGAGTTTAAAACAGATGCTAATATTCAAATATCCAAGAGGAGCTTCTACAAGATTTAAAGATTAAAACTATTAGTTGAAAAGGAAAAGGAGATGTAGAATAGTTCCAGTATGAAACATAATAAACCCAGAAAATCAAACCCGAGGTCCGAGATTGTACTCCTTTTGAAGAAAAGCTTTCTGAGTTTTGACAGAATGAAACTTTACATTCATTTGAAGCTGCTGTGATGACTCATCGGCAGCTCTGTCGCCTCTTTGTATCTGCAGGAAGGCTGAGGAGCAGGTCTATTCAAGCGTATGAACACAAGCTTTTCATAATGGAAATCATACATACTAAGACTCAAAATCTTGTATTTACTTCAAACAATTATTCAATCATAATCCAATCAGTTTTGGTACCAAGTTAGCCTGAGACCAGGCAGTGAAACCAAAGCACTGGTCATATCAAACATCAGCTGAGTTTGAGTTTGCTAAACAGCATCTGCATTTATTGTATAAATTAATTATCATTTGTAACAGAAATACTAATCACAGGATTAATTACTACAGACCTACAATTTAATCTTAAAATCATTATATCCTGTGGTCCTGGTTCTGCTCAATAAGTAGAGCAGCCATCCCATGTACATAGGAGTTAGTTCTGTTTGGTCCCAGCACGATTTGGTGTATGAAGTCCCTCACTCTTAAATGAGGTCAAATTACCATTAAAAACCTTATAATTCCACATTGAAAAGGAAGTTCTGTTCTTGTGCGTCATACATTCACAAAAATTCCCACTTACCAGTAAAAGTGATAGAAAACAACATTTACTGCCTCAGGAATTATATTAAATATTCAACAATGTTGAACAGACTTGTAATATATGTTGTGATTTTAATGCTGTTTGTTGTGTTTGAATAAATTCCTTTACTTTTCTTATTATTTTCTCTGCTCTCCAGTTGATCAAGATGTGCGATACACGGCAGTGAGCAGTTTCATCTTCCTGCGTTTTTTTGCGCCAGCCATCCTCTCCCCTAACTTGTTCCATCTACGGCCACACCATCCAGTGAGTCTCCAATCTTAAACAAACATGTAGTAAAATCATTAACACAGTACCATTGGGGATACTTTATAATGGTGATTGTTCTCTTTAGGATCCCGCCACCTCTCGAACCCTCACCCTCATCTCCAAGACAATCCAGACCCTGGGAAGTCTTGCCAAGTCTAAATCTGTGAGCATCCTTGGAATGAATGCGTGGATTTCAGTTCTTAGACATGTGACTAAACTAGACTTCTGTGTATTTGCTTTCAACACATCTTACTGATGTTTCTCTGTCTTTTATTCTTTCCCAGGCCAATTTCAAAGAGTCTTACATGGCTGCATTTTATGACTACTTCAACGAGCAGAAATATGCAGACGCTGTGAAGAATGTGAGTGTTCGGTTTCTTTCCTTCTTGCGCTCAAAAAACTCGGCCAGTGTGTCGACATGCCATCAGATACTCTTGTTGTTTTGTATGTTGGATAAAAATAACCTGAGATGACTGGATAGGAAAACCTGTTTGTTTCTGCACAACAGTTGAGACAAACTGAGACAAATTGTTTTTTAAGTCGGTTAAAGTTACCACTGTGACGGATTTTGATACATGGCATCTTTTGATTCTCTCTACAGTTCCTGGATCTGATCTCCACCTCTGGGAAGTGGGATCAGAAGAGCATCGAAACACCAATCATGCTCAAAGAAGGGTAAGGACATAACTATTTTGTTTCTATCCCTAACTTGAAAATCATTCTCTTAATACTGGAAGTTATTTGAAATTTCATGATTAGGTCGACTCCTCCTCTAGTGTTGCAATACGGTCTGTCTTCCTTTTCACTCTTATCGAGCAGCTTCTGTTTTTGTTGTGCCTCATTGTGGTTGTCTACTTGTTACTGGTTTAACTTTAAAAATGTGGGTTGAAAAGAGGATGAGTTTTTGAGAAGTGCTTATGTCACTCTCTCACATTACAGAGGTGGCTGTGACACTTTTGTGAAAAGCGAGAAAGACAAGCAAAAATAACTGACTGACTCAGCGGTATAATCCATTAACCAGCAGGTCTAAATCTAAAACGTCAACTGTTATAAGTCATAATTTTCAGTCTTTTCAAAATAACAGAGCATGTAGAAGTTAATTTCTGGTTTATATTGGGATATTTTATTGCTTGGCAGAGAAAGCACTAGTTTCCTGGAGTCACTGGAGTGCTAAGTAAGGCTATATGAAACCTAATAAATCAATGATGGTTCGTTTTCTCTCCAAACTGAAAAACGAGAATGCAACCTGTGAATATGAGAGCCAAGTTAGTTCTTACCTTATTGCTGTTTTTATGTGACTCATTCCTTAAATTTGAGGCTATGATTCTGGCACTTTCTGCAGGCTGTTGTTTTGATGATGTTTCTAATGAGGCTGAAAAAGACCAGGAGAGTTTCCAGTTGACAGTAGTTATGTCAGTGCTTTGTTCAACATCCCCACCTTCTTTTGTTTCTGCTACCATGGCGTAGGAGTGTAAAACTCACTATAAAGAGGGTTGATGGGAAGGGGTCAAAAGGCACAAAGGGCAGGTAAGAGCTTCTCTGTGTAAAGGCTTTGCCCTCGTGAATCCCCTCCCCGTGTTTGCACTGTAACCTCCTCAAACCTAGCCGGCTATTTTCTCTCCCAACATGCGCAACTGTAGATGCTGCTGCGCTTGACTTTATACCCAGCCCTGTGTTAAAATCAGTGGATTGTCACACCCTCTGACCCTGTGCAGTGGTGGTTTTAGCCCCTCTGTGTTCACAAATTAGAAGTATGATGCCTACAGGGACTGAAGTGGTATAAAGTGAAGCATTTGCCTAAAACCTGCTTATGTAGGAGGCGTTACTGGTGCTAGTAGCTCATCTCGCCATGCAAGACATGCTTGGTGTGACTGTGAGCAGGGGTTGGTTAGTGTACCGACTATCAGGGATCTCATATTTGCCCTTGTCTTGACCCTTTAAAACCTTTTTCCACACTGTGACAAACGTAAGTGTCCAAGTAGTCCAAGTTTACTCGCCACAGAGTTGTAACTTTGGTGTTTGTGCTTCATATTCAGTGTTTCCTCTGCCCCTCAAACTCTCAAACAGACACATCCCGGTGTTTACCCTCCCTGGATAATCCATACCAGTGATTTCACATGTTTTATCCCTTTACTATTACCCCAGATCACTGTTCAGTATTTCCAGTCAATCATATTTCCAGTTTAGATTGATTTCACATGGCAGACATCCACTGCTTTCATGTATTTATTTACACTGTCAAAGTTAAACTGGTTTGGAAATGTCAATGGAAACAGAAATAAATAGATCTATACTAGGAGAAATTAAAGAAAAAGCAAATATGTAAAATATTAAGCAGATAAAAAGATTATAAATATGAACAAAGATTATAATATGACATCTATATTTTTTTATATTAAAACATTTAAAAAAAGAGACAAATTCCATCCAAATTTTTTGTCCGAGGACAATATAGCGTCTTCTCTTCTCTTCTCTTTTCTTCTCTTCTCTTCTCTCCTCTTCTCTTTTCTTCTCCTCTCTCCTCTCCTCTTCTCTTCTTTTCTCTTCTCTTCTATTCTCTCCTCTTCTCTTCTCCTCTCTCCTCTCCTCCCCTCTTCTCTCCTCTTCTCTTTTCTTTTCTTCTCTTCTCTTTTCTTCTCTTCTCTTCTATTTTTTCTCTTTTCCTCTCTTCTCTTCTCCTCTCTTCGCTTCTCTTCTCTTTTCTCCTCTTCTCTCCTCCCCTCTTCTCTCCTCTTTTCTTTTCTTTTCTTCTCTTCTCTTTTCTTCTCCTCTCCTCTCCTCTTCTCTTCTTTTCTCTACTCTTTAGCAAATAATAAACAGGTAAGAGGCGTCCCAAACTGCAAAGTATAAAACGGAACATCCCTTTTGCAATTTTTAGCATTTGTCAACAACACAAAATCACTGAAACTATTGAAAGACTTCCTGCTAATCTTTGAGTTTAAAATAATGCCACCAGTGGCTGGAGTCTGTTTGAAAACTTGTTATGATTTGGAAAATCTGAAGATATCATTTATAGATTTTAAGGGTTAAACATGCAAAATCGTGGTTACTTTTGATCCGCTGACCGTTCTCCCTTCAGACTCATAGACTTACGAATCTATGAGCGCAGTATTGAGCATGTACAGCCAAGATGAGCGAGAGATAACTGCAAGCATGTGAATGCAACGATAAATCTGGGCAGTTCACGAGACCCAAATTAAATTAGAGATAATGAGTTTGTACAATTTGGTTAATTTCTGCTCTGAAATGTTCAGGTAATGCACTTATTTTTGGAGTGTACTCATATTTGAAGGATGCATTCAGAGACTGTTTGGTGTATTTGAAGATGTATGTGAAATATGAGCCTCTCTATCAGGCTTTTCAGTGGAATTTCTCTCACTGCTTTTTCTTAGATTCATGATCAAGAGAGCTCAAGGGAGAAACCGCTTTGGTATGAAGAACTTTAAAAAGAGATGGTTTCGCCTCACCAACCACGAGTTCACTTACCACAAAACAAAAGGTGAGGTCAAAGATTTCTCAGGGTTTTTCCGAACAATGCGTTGTTTTCCTCTTTGTTTATGTCCTCTTGTGAGCTCGTGAGAGAATCAGCAGAAGGAAAGGGGGAGGCAAACTGCTTAATGTACTTTCTGAACACAATGTGCATTCAACACATGTGGTGGTGATTATGATACTGCGCATGCAAAACATTAGTGCTGCATCCAAACAAGCTCAGGCAAAAAAAACAACAACAACAGTACACATAAACAGTTTGCATTTCCAGAGTGCGTATGAGACGTTTACTCAGATTACTTAACTTCAAACTAAAAAAGTTTAAACTTTTCAATTTAAACTATGTTTTTGACAAACACTGTTTACCCACAATCCAATGCATAAGAAATAAGTTGTCTACAGCTGCCAAAATCTTGAGTAAAAAGCATACAAAAGTGGACAAAAACCGTAAGTCTCTGATTTCTGTCCCCTTGAAAATCTATTAGCCACACTCCTCAGTGAAAACCTTTAAATATGACATTGAACAACTTCAGTGAAAATGCATATCTCTTAAAAATGCCCTAAATGTAAGAGGACCGATGGAACATTTATGCTTATGTTTTGGAAATATGATCTTCTATAAAAGTTTCTGGAAATCAGTTCATTCCTTCACATAATCAGTTTTGGAAATTGAATTTGATCTCAAACCAAGCTTGTATCTTTTAAATGATACATTGGATCTTCAGTTGGACCGGAAAAAAAGCAGGATATTAATATTAATCACATATTTCACTAAGAAATGTAAACTTTCACTTTAGAAAGATGACTTCCCACCAACTTTAATGTTCTTCATAGATCACATGTCAGCGTTTTTACCACTGGAAAAATTAAGCTTGGAAAACTACAATTGTGGTCATGTCTTTTAAGATTTTTGATCTCCATTATTATCAAAATTGGAGAATTTCTTTAAGAGGGACCAATGATTATTTGTAATTTAGTAGGTATGCATTTGTAGGTATGCATGTGTATGAATATGTTCATATATATAGCCCATATGTATACACATGTGGATAGAGTTTATTGATATCATTGTTGCTGCCTTTATCTTTTTTTTATTATATATATATTTATTTATATTTCTTATGTTGTTCCTCCTTAATGTACTTGTCTGATTCTGTACTCTTTATTTTAGTCATACATACATACATATATATATATATATATATATATATATATATATATATATATATATATATATATATATTCTGGTCCATATCCATAGGGAATAACAGGGAGGGTGGGAAATTATGTGATTAAAAAAAGCAGACATTTTACTTTTGGTTGTTATATTAATGTGAAATAAAAAAGATGTTTAAAAAATATGACATTGAACAAATTTCACCATTTAGATAACTAGATTTGGCTGAAAAAAACACACATTTCACATTTTACTTCACCACTAACCCAACAACTGGTCCCATGTAATGCCCTCTTTTCATCCTCCAAATTCATAAACTGATGGGAGGTGTAGTCTTTAAAACAATGGGTTTAAAAAATATGATTACTGCGTCATGTCAAGCAGGAATACACCGTGGACTATAATTGTATTGCCATGGCAGATATTTTTATGAGCTCAAATCAGTAGTGTTTCTTTTTCCTTCCCTCCCTCTGTTGCTTTTTTCTCATTTCTAATGTCTCCTGTGTTTCCTCTTACTTCCAGGTGAGGGTGCTCTGTGCAGCATCCCCATAGAAAACATCCTGGCAGTGGAGAGGTTAGAGGAGGAGTCTTTCAAAATGAAAAATGTGAGAACCTGACACAGCAACCTCAGTGAAATCTTTGGCACTTGTCCTCAAGTTTTTTATCAAGCTTTCAGACTTCCTCATAACTTTCTGTCCTCTTTTCTTTCCTCAAGATGTTTCAGGTTATTCAGCCAGAGCGAGCTCTCTACATTCAGGCCAACAACTGCGTGGAGGCCCGTGACTGGATCGACATACTGACCAAAGTCAGCCAGTGCAACCGGAAACGTCTGAGCACCTACCACCCCTCAGCCTACCTCAATGGCCACTGGCTTTGCTGCAAGCTGTCCGCAGACACAGCTCCAGGGTGCTCGCCCTGCACTGGGTATGTCAAGCTGTGAAAACCTGTTCATCGTCAGGTTACTCTCTTTTTATACACGTATCTGTTTTCTCATGCTGCTGTGTGTATGTGTGTGTGTTTTCAGAGGCCTTCCGGCAAACATCCAGCTGGACGTGGATGGAGACAGGGAGACCGAGAGGATCTACTCCCTGTTCAGCACATATATGACCAAACTGATCAAGATGCAAGGTCAGACAGAAGGATTTTTACATTTATGTAGTATCCAGGCATACATTTGATGTTAATTTTCATGTTTTCCTTTCATGTTTTTGCCATTCACTCCGATGTCGGTCTTCTCTTGCAGAGGCCTGTGGCAGTAAATCTGTCTACGACGGACCTGAACAGGAGGAGTACTCCACCTTTGTCATTGATGACCCCCAGGAGACCTACAAAACCCTGAAACTGATCATATCAGCCGTGCAGACGCTTGAGCAGCAGCACACCAAGTACAAACGGGACAAGTTCAAAAAGACAAAGATTGGCAGCCAGTATGTACTTGTTTGATGTTGATTCATGCTCATAGCTCAAACTATTTTTAGGTGTTATGCAGAAAAAATGCTTGATCTCGACATTTGGATGAAATTCCTATGTGGGCCAGCAGGTGGTGCAGTAACACAGTCCACAGTTGCCTTCGAAGAGTCTTACTATCATTTTATTTTTATGGTTCTCTTTTACATCCAGTAACATCTAACCAGCAACCTTTCTCTGTGTTTCTTCAGGGAGCATCCAATAGGAGACAAGAGTTTCCAGTGCTACATCCGCCAGCAGTCTGAGAGCTCCACCTACTCCATCTAACCCTGGCCCTGTGTACTGTTTCTACGATGCCCAGAACCAGCATATCTTACTGTTACTGCAAAAAAAACCACCACGTCAATGCTCAGTATCTGGTATTGAGTTTTAGATCTCTATACGTCCTTGAAACAGAACATTTGGAAGCAGGTGGGAGTTGTTGGGAAATACGTCGCTCTGTTGTTAAGTTTCATGGATAAAAAAAAAAGAGTCAAAAGTTACGATACCAGACCGAATGAGCCGGTGGACTCTCCTTTTGCAGTCTCATGGTGCATCGCTCCAAATTTTGGAGAACCGACCTCAGATCAATGAGAGAAAAAGAGGAACAGATGTGGATGAAGGAGGGATGAAAAGAGATAATCATACCATACATCTGTTTCTGTGATGTGACAAGAGAACAAACAAGCAAACGTTTTCACTGGACAGTTTTTGACAGTGACCGAGACGCACTTTAATCGCCTCCAAATCTCTGGATGAACAAGCCTCGCAGCACACTTTCAGAAAGCTTATTTTATCTGTTTGATTTTGTGTATTTTAATGGTCGTTGAAGCGTTCCGTTTTATTTCACTCTAGGAGAAGTAAGGAAGGACAATATATATTTTTAGGTGGAATTTTACCCATGAACCTGTTTTATTTGGTTTCATTATTCGTCCCTTACCTCCCTGGAAAGGCTGAGAAGGTGTAGGGCACACAAAAAAAGGGATTATTGGGACCAAGAGCAGCTCAATCTTAGCCATCAAAAATATCACCTCTTAAAAACTGTTATTCCTCACTCTGAATTCTCATTTTCACCGTGCTAAGGCATGGTTAATGTCAGGACTTTTATGTTTCAGATCAATATGAGTCGACTGGATATTGAACCTCTGTGCAACAAAAACAAGAGTTGAGAGTTTTTCCTACTTACACTGAGCCTGACAAACACAGATGCCTTTTGGTATCTTTATTAAATAGTACTGTGTGTTGAAAGATGTCTTAGTTTGACTAAATTTATGGACATGAAGTTACAACCTATCTTTTAAGTAATTAAAGTACATCAAATTAGACAAACTTCAAATTATTCTCCGTTTATTATCAAAGAAGTCAGATTACAAAAAGCTTCATTGAGCAAATTTTGGTTGAATTTAGGTCCAGATGAGCTCATCCAAGCTTGGACAAGACAGGGTGCAAATCCTGATTGGCTGTATGAAGTGTAAAGTTTCATAAATACTCATTTATTTTGTAAAGTTCACTGTTAAACTCCAGTTTAAGAGCAACTGATAGCTCTTTACCTGGTGTCCACTAATTGATCTCAGCCAGGCCTGAGCTGCATGCAGACATGTTTGGTGCATCTTTTGTAAGTGCAGAAAGTACTGAAATCCAAACTATCTATTGAACAGTCACAAATTGAAGACCATTTGTTTGCAAATGTGATTTACAAAGATGTCGGACTTAATTCTGAATTTATATTCTCACATTCTAACAGTCTCGACTCCACCGATTCACCAATTGTGAAATTGATAGCGTGTCGCCGCTGGTTGTGTCGCCCTGTTGGCACCCTCATGGTATGATTCCTCTGTTTTGTGAGTTTTGCCCTGTCATATTTTGGAAAGGCTGCCCCCTGTAGTTTGAAACCTTTCTCATATGCATTCCTCTGAGAAACTGCCTGCTGTGAATCTTACCGGTCAGCCGCCCGAGAGTCTGTTGAAGGTACAGGATTTATTGTGTTCAAACATTTGTGTTGTCCCACACATTAGCATTGATATCCATTAGCATTCAGTTTCGCCAAACCAGTGCATGTGAAGTTTAGCTGTAGTCATAACAATGGTAGCATCCACGGTCACTTCAGTGCAACCAAGTGACTACAAACCTCCACAATTTTTATTTGTATTATTCAAAAACTTACTGGTTATGTAGCCTAAATAGTTGTTCACGGGATCCCAAACAGTGCCAGTCATCACTTTTATAAAATTCTCTTTTTAAGAAAAAAAACAAACAAAAAAATCATGTTTTAGATGTGCTTTTTTTTTTTTTACATCTCAGAACTGTTTTAAAAAGCGAATAAGCAATTATACCAATGGCACCTTTTTCTTTGTCGAATGTGTTGATCTATGAGGATGTTTCTCAACAGATTTGACTCTGTTTTCTATCTTTGTCTTGTCATACGGAGATCTTGCTGTGTATCTGAACTGAATGACTGAGTTTTGTGCGTGTTTGTGAGTGTGCATTTGTCGGTATGCGCAGGAGAGATCGAAATGATGGGTTGTATTGCCAATGAGTTGAGTAAACCCGGTGTTACAGGTCAGGAAAGATAGATTCCCACTTATAATAAAGAGAAAAATCACTGCCTGTAATTACACTACAGACTAGAAGGACTGTGGAAACAGTTACTCTGCTCTGTCTTGATCCAGTATCTCACTTTTTCCCTCTTGTATAGAACCACTGCTCCTTTTTCAAGGAAACTTTGAAAATATAATCCTCCCCCAAACAATTTTTGTATGTAACACGGTAATAATATTGATGAAACATGATGAAACAGCGTTGCTTTAACCTCTGAACTTTGGTGAGTGTTTGTTTCCACCTGTTACTAACTCTCCTCAGGTTTATGAAACTCAGCAGCTTTTATTTTGCCAAAACCAAACACCAAACGGTTCTGTCTCTCCTTTTATTGAACTTCGTAATCATATTTATTGTCATTTCAGCAAAACCTTCCCAGAAACATCAGCTGAGCTGGTGGGGGTAACAGCATTTACAGTAATGGTTACTCCTCTGCCCAGAAGCCCACAAAGGAATGACTTATGCAATGATGGTGTTTCAGCATGCAATAATATGAACAAGCCCTCCATAAGACCATCAGATGATCACAAATTAACGCACATCTGCAGCAAAATGCCTCTTTGGATGAACGCATATTATAAAGGGAGAACAGTGTATTTTGTACAAATATTTTAAAAGTATTAAATAAGCCTGTTATATGTGTACATAAAAAATGTTGGATGAATGGTGAAAATGTGATGTGTTCTTTCCCTGGATAACTAAATGAATATTAATGCAAATTCAAGTGTGGGCATCATTTGTGGAACAGATTTGTCCAAGCGTTTGTTGAAAGAGCTTCATGAGACAATTTGTGAAAATCAAACAGAGATAAACTTTAAAGGATGTCATCAAATATATGGTACTGCACACACTGACAAAACAGACAGCAAATGAATGTCTCTTTTTGTACATTACAAGCCTCAGAAAATCAAATCAATTTGTACCCCCTCGATAAGCCATGTTTGTGAGTAAAGATGAGAGCTATAATTAGTAATATCACATCAGAATTTCACAAATTAATTGTAGAGAAATGCCTTTTTAACAAAGTCAAATTATCCCTGAGTGTTGTTTTCATTTCTCTTCTGTCAGCTCAGTGATTCATCTAATTTTCCCGAACAGCAGACTCAATATTTTGTTGTTCAGCTATCAGGAATGGTTTTCAAGTATTCGTTTTAATCAGCGCAGTATTCGTTGCTTTCTTGATTATAATGAATCATGTTGAATGTTGCAGAGAAAATTATATTTCAGAATTTCTTTCATATTACGATAGCATGTTGCCTCCAGGAGCTCATTTGATCTTATTGTTATAATAAACTATTTGGCTGACTAAACGATCTCTACTAGATGTCAGCTAACTGAATTCATACATGCTCTGAGACAACTAAGAGAGGATACTGTTCTGCAGCCTTTGTTAGCCAACAGACAAACCAATATTTTGCTCATAGCACTCTTGCTTTCAGGTTAGCTTTCATTGGGTTAGTGTCAAATAAAGGCATTTTAAAAGGACTGCGGACACACCTTCTCATTCAATGTCTTTTCTTTGTTTTTTATATGACTATTTACATTTTAGATTATCACTGAAGACATCAAAACTATGACTGAACATGTAGAATTTTGTACTTATATATATATATATATATATGTATATATATACAGTTTCCACCCATCCCTGGTGACCTTATTCACCTACATGCAGCTATCAAATCCACACAAACATACTTTACCCTCTGTCACTATTGTTGGGTGAAAATCACCCGAACAGGTGCCTGTAGGAAAAAACAGGTTTTGGATCAGGGAAACAAATATGGCCTCAAAGATGTCAAAGGCAATGCTTAAGCTACCCAGGACCCATGATACTCAGACAAACGCAACATAATGAAAATCATGTAAACATGTTTGGTCAGGTGAAAATCACCTGCCGATAGTGATGGTGTTCTAGGGTTAAAAAGTACTTTCATTCCATGGTTTTCTCTGAAGAAAGGAGACTGAGTGATTGGACTGTGACGATCAGAAGACAGTGTTATCCCCTGTTGGTGGAAATGGTGTAAATATTCTGCCCATGTTACAACACTCCCCGGTCTCCCCTATCACGTTAAAACATTTTGCTGCAGGAAAGGCCTTTAGTCCTCTTTCTCTGTTTTAGTTCATTAGATTATTAAAACATATAAAAATGTTGCTCAAGGTTAATTCAGTCAGTACATCAGCATGTAGTTGTCGTGTAAGTTTCCTATGGCAGCAGTGAGGCTGAGCGTGTCAGCAGCGCTCCCTAGCTGCCTCCCCTCTTCTCTCTGTGGATCTGCTCTCCTGGCGGCCCCCGCCACTCCTCCTCCCCCTCCGAAAACACTTTCGGGAAGAATAAAGTTTTTCCCCCCTCTCACGGACCTGCACGCAGCCAGCCAGCCGTAACTCAGAGCCAAACCGTGGCCTAGCAGGAAGAACGGCTCGACTATGTGGAGAAAGAAGCGGGCACTTGGGGAATCCGTGGCTTGTCTCGTGTTTCTCGTGACGCTCGTCGATGCTTATCGATGTAAGTGGGGTTTTTGCGCTTTACACTTTGAGCTCTACGCATTGAAGTAATTAACGGAACAGCCCGCTGCAAACTATTTGTTCAGTGTCCCAGATTGAAAGCAGCTTTCAGCCTTGGTGTGAACGGATTTCAGCATTTTTAAAACAACATTTTAACGTGAGGAGGGGGGCAGCAGACAGAGAACAGAGAGTGTCCGTGGGGGTCAGGACTTCTTTATTCACCGTGAAACTGTGTTGGGTTAATATGAGCTGCTTGTTGCGACCACAAAGGGTCATTTCTGGGAAATAACTGTTTCGCAATGACCTTTTTTCAGGCCAATTCATAGGAGAGTAATTGTCCACTTTGTCCATGCAGGCAGCAGCTACAGCAGCCATCTGTCATGAGGAGGACTGAATTCCTGCTGGGATCAGTCATGTGTTATTATAATGTTGCTGCATGTGCCTGTTTATATTAAATACATATGTGCAACCCACACGCACATATAGTAAATGTGCTTATTGAGCTGCAAACATGCAAACAATGGGAATCATTTACAGAGGAAAGTAGCTTTACACAAATGCATTTGGATGAGTGTCTTAATTTTTCTGACTATTTCTGTCTAGTTCTGAGCCAGAGCAAAGCCTCCCAGTTCCTGAGCAGGCACAAGAGAGCCAACTCTCTGTTTGAGGAGAGCAAGAAGGGCAACCTGGAGAGGGAGTGCATCGAGGAGCTGTGCAACAAGGAGGAGGCCAGGGAGATCTTTGAGAACCAACCTGAGACGGTAAGTGAAGCAGAGACCCCCCCTCATCTCAAAGGTCAGCACAGGTGGCCATCTGGTACCTATGGAGGGCAGGATGAGGAGTTGGAAGTTACAATTTAGAGATGGCGAAGGCAACAGAAGCTGCCAGCTAATGATAGTTTGATTTATGATCAATTCAGCTGACTATTTCAGCAATTTTTTTTCTTTACATGTCAGCAAATAGCTTAACCGGCCTTTATTTTTCCCAAGGGTCAAGTTGATCTCAGCAAAGATCCAGTATTATTCTCTCTTATATATTCTATTTCTTTTTTTTTCAACTTCTATGAGGACTAAATGAAAATATCAGTTTTTGTTAAATTTAAGCATTCATACAAAAACCTAAATTTAAAAGGTGGACTTTTAAGCTCAAAATTGTCATGAAAGTCAAAAATTATATGAAACATTTTTCCATGTGGTGATAAAATCAAACTTGTGATGTGGATTTATGAAGATGTTGCAGTGAAGTTTCTGTTTTTAGCTCAGTTATTTTTAGATCAGCTGTCTGCAGTCCTTTGTTTCATGCTTTCTCTTTGTTTTTGTCAATCAACAATTTATTACCTGTTTATTTTTTTCCAGGAGTACTTCTACCCCAAATATGTCGGTAAGTTTGCAATTTTCTTCTTTGTTTTTAATATTTGCCACCGGATCTATTTCACTTACTCTCTTTTTTTTATCTTGCAGTCAAAATTATTTAAACTTACAGACATTGTGAAATTCCAAACAGCATAGATTATGCATAACGCTAAAAATAACCTTCTACCACAAAATATACAGAATTTGTTTGGGGATCAAGAGGGGGGTTATCAATTCAGAGGGCAGTATAACCTCAAATTTAATAAAATCCGCGCAAGCAGAAAACTATTTTGCATTTCATTCTTTGGGGTGAGACTGTGGAATAATATGGGTGAGAAGTTAAACCAATGTCTAAACATAAAACAATTTAAAACACAATATAAAGAATATGTTTCCACGGGACACAGGGATGTACAATCATAGTAACTGTTATCATTATCATCATTGTTTTGTTGTTTTGTTATTTTCACTGTGGTGATTATTTTTATTGCTATTATTATTATTTTGATGATTATTATTATATAATATTATGATATTTAAACCATTAGTGCAGGGGAAGGGGTGGGACTAGATAAGTCTCGACTTCTTCCCACTCCTTTTTGGAACATGAATAACTTTTTATAATTTGTTGTTGTATTCTTTACCTTTTTATTATTATTATTTTTTTATATGTCCAAAATAGACTTCAATCAATCAATCAATCAATTAAAAAAAAAAAAAACAACACTTTGCATTGCAGCATGTTTAGGTTCGCACCGTGTCGGCATACCCAGCCAGAACTCAGATTCTGCAATCCCATCAGATCTTCGCACCTGTGTGACAGGTGAGCAGCTCCTCAGTGAAAAACAATCTGCAGATTCATGTCATTTACTAACAATAAATAGAGGTTAGCATCACCTGTACTAAGTGATGTGCTAAGTGAAAAGTGTGTGTGTTTGTATGTGTTTGTGCAGAGATCAGTAATCAGTGCACGCCATTCCCATGCTACAAGGAGGGCTCAGAGCGCTGCGTGGACGGTCATGCCACTTTTACATGTGTATGCAAGCCTGGCTGGAAGGGGGACCGTTGTGAGGATGGTGAGATCTGACACATCAATTAGGATTTATGTGTAATTTGATAAGGCTAAACTGCTTCAATTTTTGTCTTGTCTGATCCATTCTTTGGCAGATATTGACGAGTGTTCAGACCCTGAATATCCAGCCGGATGCAACCAAAAATGTAAAAACTACCCTGGCACTTTCCTCTGCATGTGTGAGGAGGGATACTTCATCACTGACAAGACCAACTGCGTGGGTAAGACTCAGATGATGACATTGTTACGGTCTTCAGAGTTTTTTAATATCATCTGAATTTGATTCATTTCAATAACATTAAGGACACACAAGTACAGATATGAATATGTACTGTTGGGGTGTGTGTATGTGAACAATGGCTTACTTAAGGGCACAGGTGTAGACAGTGTGTCCCCAGAAGAGGAACATATAGAGCTTCTACGCAGCTGGGAAAACAAAAGTTTCTATTCAGTGTATTATTCTTTTGTTATAACTTCCTTTAAATCATCCATATGGACGCAGGAACCCTACGCACTTCAAAACAAAATCTCTGCCGACCAGCTGTTGTCCTCAGGGGCTGAACCATTTGTGTTTTCTAAAGCTGACCTGAGGTGACCTTTTGTGAAACAGACTGTGAAAAGCTTACAGCACAGAAAAGCGGTCCATCTTTTTTAATGCTGCGTACAGACCACCAGTCACTGTTATATCACAGAGCGGATCTGAGACCTGTAGTATCTTGTGGGCAGTTTCCTCACTGTTTATCTATGCGTATGTTGAATACCCACGGAGTACAAAGTCTTGACAAACATCAGAATGAGCAAGTTAGTACATTTGCTTGTGTTTTTTTGATGTGTGCTTTGGTAGTGACAGGGCATACATCTTTTGAAAGAGAGCTATGACTTCATTTTTCCAATAATAGTTCAGGGATTGACACATATCATTTTTCATCTCACAGGACAGTTAACCCATTACCTCTTTTGACTGTTTTTCAGATATCAATGAATGCCTCTTGCACCCCAGTACCTGTAGAGAACCTGCCAAGTGTGTCAACACACCTGGCATGTATGAGTGCCGTTGCCCTTCGGGTTTCAAATATAACTTCACTTCCAAGACCTGCATTGGTGAGACTTTTGAACAGTTTTACTGACAAAATAACATTACACACCTGTACACACCAAACTTCCATTTTGTGCCAATTTTTGGCATTCTGTGTGGACAAAAGAGAACCTCTTATCTCTTTGCTGATCTTTTAGCTAAACATGAGTTTGAAGTGTTTTTTTAACAGATAATGATCCTGCTTTCTTTAAACAGTTAAATGAAATACAGGAGAAGGCAATAAAGCTTACTGTAAAAAAAAATATCAATGTAGTACCTGATGGTTTTGTCATTTCCTTCCCCTTTGCTGCAGATGTAGACGAGTGCGAGTTTGATGTGTGTGACGGGACATGCCTCAACACAGTGGGCAGCTACGCGTGTCACTGCGATGGTCGCGATGGTCTTCGCTTAGGGGAGGATCAACGATATTGCGAAAGAATCCCCGTCTGTGTGGAGCTGTATGACTACAAACACCCTGAGATGCTTTACCTGGGCGATCAGTTTGCTGGCCTTCCTGTCATCTTCCTGCGCTTCCGTCTGCCAGAGAACACCAAGTGAGGATTAAACACACACACACACACACACACACACACACACACACACACACACACACACACACACACACACACACACACACACACACACACACAATTTGGTAAACATACTGTATTACTAATATTCAGTTGAGTGTTTTGAGGTAAACCCACCATTTCGGGGTCATTTTTGTCCTTATTAGATGGGATAGCTGAGAGAGACAGGAAATGTGGGGACAAGAAAGAAGGGTGAGACATGTAGGGAGTGGTGGTGACCTGCACCCAAGGCATCAACTGTTGTGAGGACATGGGGATGTTGGTCAATAGCATCTAAAATTTCACTTTCTTCATATGATCTGATTTAATAATTATCATTGTGTCATGCATATAAAATGCCGAAAGCCTCAAAGACACCAAAACAAGAGATCAAAGTACGCACTATTTTGACATATCAAAAACATTTGTACTGCAGTAAGCCAAAAGTGGCCTGAAAGTAAATACTCATTCTTGACCTTGGAAACATTAGTTAGATCAAAACAAACAAAGAAAATACTCAACTGACGTTTTACTGAAGCTTCTTGATAAACATAAGTATATTTTTCAATTCTTATCTCTGACAAGTTTCAAACTGATCAAAATTTGTCTTCATACCGAAGTAAAATAAACAAAATCCTTCTAATGCTTGAAAGAAACCCTTCACAGTTTGAAAAACAGTCAAGTGATTGTGAGTGAATAGGAATGGATGAGAGATTTATCTGATGTTTTTGGGTAAAACATTGGAATTTTTTCCAAAACCAAGATAAAAGTGAGCAGTATTGCTCTGACTGTTCCCTCATTTGAAACTCAATGGCTCTTTTGAAATAAGTTCTTTATTATTAGATTCTGAGAATAAAAAAGATCCCCAAACGTTGATCCTATTGACCACTCTGAGGTCTAGTGGTGCGGATTTCTGTTTTATCTAACTGAAACATTTTATAAATGTAGCACCTTAACATTAGACACTATTTTAACATCTCTCTCTGTTTCTGGCTCTTAGGTTTGCAGCAGAGTTCGACTTTCGTACATTTGATCCAGAGGGAGTTGTACTGTATGCCGAGTCGTCCCAGGACTCCTGGTTCATGCTGGGGCTGAGAGAAGGTCGCATTGAAGTGCAGTTCAAAAACCAGCATACCTTTAAAGTAACAAGTGGAGGAAAAGTCATCAATGACGGACAGTGGCACGTGGTAAGAAAGAAGTAGAGTCTTCTTATTCCCAACTTTATACCTAGCTTATCAGAATGAATAGAAATGCTTTATGATGCAGTTATGTATACCATGCAGATCTCTGTGGATGAGCTGGAGAACAGCATCAGTGTGAAGATTAGTAAGGAAGCTGTGATGAGCATCAACAGCCCAGAGAGTCTTTTTACTTCCGTGAATGGCAAACTGGAAACCAAGGTGTACATCGCTGGTCTGCCAAACCGCACCGACATCGTCATCAAACCTGTAAGCACGCACACACGACTACTTTCAAAAAGCATGAAACTCTGTTCTCGATGGCCACCAATGAAATTACTTCAATGATAGTAGAACCAATCAATAGAGGTTAACATTGGACCAGCTCCAATCCTGTGATTTGACTCCATTCGTCCAATAGATCAACCCCCGCCTGGATGGTTGCATTCGCGGCTGGAACTTAATGAACCAGGGGGCGTCCGGGGTAAAAGAGGTCATCCAGGAGAAGAAGAGTAAACATTGCTTTGTGTACGTGGAGCGAGGCTCTTACTTTTCTGGGGCAGGATTGGCACGCTTCAACGTTGACTACAGTGAGTAAGTTATACTTGATGGATTGTGTGGGAAAACATGAGCTCTGCGTTTTAACCCCTCTTAGCTACACTGCAAAGCGCAGTTTTAAGCATGGGTTAAAGACAGGGCTGTAAGCAGATATGCATGTGTTTTAGGGTGGGAGGAAAGTGGTGCATCTGGAGGAAACACATGGACAAAAGGAACATGAAATTCCAAAAAGTAAGGCCCCATTTGGCCATGGTTGATTTCAAACCAGACCAGACTAAATAAAGAGCAGCACACGTGCAAAATAAAGGGAATACAGTTTCTAAAGATGGGATTTTGAAGAGAAAAAGATATTTGCAGATGAGCTACAGGGAAGGTCACCTCATGTTCAAACTTTGGGACTGCCACCCTGACAGACAAAATGTGTTTGTGCTTTGTGTGTGGACTTTGTGTAACCAGGTGATTCTGGGAGCTGGAATGTGGATGTAAAGATGAACATACGCCCGTCCAGTAGCACAGGCGTTCTCTTTGCTCTGGTCCAAAACAACACAGTGCCGCTGTCAGTAGCTGTCATAACACAGGGAGAAGAAGATGCTGTAAGTTCCTTCAACCTTATGTAGGAAATAAGCTCATCTCTATAACCTTCCCCATGCTAAATCACAAACATACATGATTCATATATGTGATATTTCTGCTGCAGAACCTTCAAGTGTTTCTGGATGGCGTCTCTGTGGCCACGTTGGACTCGCTCATGCTATGTTACCCTGACCGGCTCATGGTGCAGCTCAATGTGACGCCCACAGAAATCCAGATCTCAGCCAACTCGTCTACAGTCACCTACATTAAATCTGAGGCCCTGCAGAAGGCACTGGAGCGCCTCAACAACACCATGCAGAACCCTGTCAGAACATATATAGGAGGGATACCAGGTTAGTCACAGCAGCTAACTGCAAGCACGGTTTATCTCGTGTTGCACTCTGTCTATATTCCTTAAAAAGAGAAGAGTTAAAGCCAACTTAAACAGAATATCATCACTACTGTTGTGTCATAGAAAACAGGGCCCAGACTGGAGTCCAATTGGGGCTGTTACGTCAAGGTTTAACCTTTTGTTCATGGCGCACAGGTTCTATCAACTTAGCTAAGCCTGTAACTGTACAATTCAAATTTTTGACCAGATGATGGTGCTATACGAAAAGTTAAGGAAACAAAAGCAAGATGCCACCTCATTGTATCTCAAAACTTGAGGGCGATTCATTCAAAAATCGCAGTTTTCTTCACTCAGATTGCTGTTGGAAATGTCTTGCTGGAGCTCAAGAAAAGTCAGGGGCTTGCTTGAGTCAAAAGAAGACGTATTTGGAAAACCATGGCTGTTCGCACTGACATTATGCCAAGACTTCTAAAAGATGTCTGTAATTTTTAATCTGAACCAAAGCAGCTTAGTAACCAACCAACGTTGACGTCATGCACTTTTGTCAGGTAGAAACCTTGAGCAGAACCAAAAATATGTCAGACAGCAAACATCCAACAATGTTTAAACTAGAAACAGGATAGAAGGGCATGCGGAAAGAGACGGATGGATGGAGAAAAACAACATCAGCATCTCATACAGAGTTATGGTTACAGTGCCAATAATAATAAGAGAGATATGAGTACTTTTTACAGGAACAGAGTTTTAATGATAATGACTGATCTTCATTTAATTCCATTTATGGGAGTTAAATCTAACAGGTCTACAAGCAGCATATGTAGGGATGAGATTGAAGTCGATAATGGAGGTAGGAATGATATTAGTTCAAGCAGTTGGAGCCATGTTAGCTAAAAATAAATATTGCTGTAACCCTGATAATAATAGTGAGGCTGATTGTAATAGTTTTGCAGCTTGATTCTGATGGGCGTCTGCAGCCATGATCCAGAACCGCCAAACTTTGCTTTTGTATTTCACATTTTATTTCGCCCCACTCTTCCGCAGAAAATGCAGATCAAGTAACCATTATCTCTCACTTTTGCTCTCTTTTTAGATAATGTCCCATTACCTTCCACTCCCGTGTCAGCTTTTTACCACGGCTGCATGGACATCACTATCAGCGGACAGCAGCTGGACTTTGACGAGGCTCTCAGCAAACATAACAGCATCAAGTCCCATTCCTGCCCTCCTGTCTCTGCTCCTGAAAGTCAGCCTGATGCGTCACACTAGCACAGAAAGTGACCTTAATTAACAAGCCATCACATTAAAAAGACGTCACAGGAGGTGGTGTCCCGCTGCGGCCACTTCTTGGGATATTTTGGAGAGATTTAGAAGACGGGGAGGAGGAGGAGAGAAAAGTGACAAGAAGAAAAGTTAGAAGTAGATTGTCATTTTTGTCAACTTTCTGTGATGGGTTCATTTTAAAGTTTGTTACATGCTTTTAACCACACAGTATTATCCCTGTCCTGGAAGCATGTTTTTTTTTTATTAATGAAAGCTGACCTGCCAGTGAGCTAGTCAAAAGCTGGATGGTTTGATGACGTAGTTGTAGCACTTTGTTGCAATGAACTAAATGTAGGAAGTGTTTTAAAAGGAGCTGAGCTCTGCAGCACACATTCCTTATTATTTGCAAGAAATGGTTTATATTTGAGTAGGAGAAATGAACAAATGGTCTATGTTGACCAGGCTTTGGGAACACCTGAATCTTAATCACAGTTGCTGAATCATACTATCTTTAAATTCTGTTTGTTGGGGTTGTGGATTGACTGGTGGCAAGAAAAAGTTGAGGCTAAAGATACAGGTGTTTTGTATTTTTCTTTATGATTCACCTACTTGAGCTCGGCTTCTTTTAGGTGCGTCATTAGTTACATCTCAATAATACACTGCGTATCTTTTACAGGTTTTTGAGATCCTACTTGGGTTGTATGAAATGTCCACACCTTACATAAATGCTGGAGACTTTCGTATGTTGCTCTTCTTATGTCCTTGCCTGCAGGGTCATCCTTTCCATCCCAAGTTCAGAGTTCATCTTGTGCATAAAATGAGCCATCTTTAATATATAACTTAAATGTAGTTGTTCAGAATTGTCTTGGATGTGTTTCTTTTAATAAAATTGGTTGAAGCAGCCTTTGAAGACCTGTTTTGATTTTATCATTGCATTTATCTGCCAACATTTCTTCTCAAAGGTATTGGACAATGGGGTTCCTGGTATCAAAACAGATTTTCTGATTCTTCTCTATAATCTCTTGAGTGTTTCTTGTAAACTGAGTAACTGGTGACACAACAAACTTGCAAAGCAGTTATTTCCAAAACATGGAGTGTGTTTGCCAGTAAAATCATGCTATTTCTCCTATATTTGAAGGGTTTTTTTTGCTTTAGCATGGTGGTCAAAATCAGGTTTTTGTCGAATTTTAGCACGTCCTACAAAGATTATAACCTCAGAATGCTAGTCAGTAAGACCACAACTACAAATTAAACAGTGAAACTAAACTGAAAACCTGTCAGACACATTACACCATCTCTTATAAGTACATTTAACTAATCTAAGATTAACAAAATTACCAGTTGTGGTTATTTGATAACTGTTTATAATGAAAGTGGTGTTTTTCAACATCTGAAACACAAGTCTACAGGCCTAGATGCACGAATGGGAATACAAAGGAAAAGCAAGTGAAACAAAACAAGGATATATATAAAAAAAAAAAGCAAATTCTTACGACAGATGCAGGGTCAAGCAGTCAGGGGGAGAATTGAAAGCTAAACTCCTTGGAAAGTTTTTTTTTTTTTTTCTTGTAATGAATATCCAGGAAACAACCGATCTGAAATCACCATCAACATAGAGAGAGAAGCTCTCAAAATACTCTGAATGTCACTCTACAGTAAAAATGAATAGGGGAGACCGGGGCTTGTTGTCAGCTTTTTGCACTCATATACTTCTTGGAATCAACACATCATGTGTAAACAAAATGTGTACCACACGAAAGACCAAAGTCTCAGGTATATATTTCGTATTCGTGCCATTTTTATATCATGTGTCACTGTAGAGTTATAAGCAATTAAATAGAATGTGTGAATATGTGATATGTTGCCCCACCATCGGGTAAAGGTGTCTTTTTCCTCCTGGAAAGTCGCAAAATTGCATTGGGCTTGATGTGTATGGTAAGGCGCGTCAAAGTTTGCCTCTGAATATGTCGTAATTTCGTGTTCTATATTTGTGTCGGCCCCGGTGTGTAAGGACCTTAAGGAAGAAAACTAGTATTCCACTTTTTAGTTGCGCCATCTGGTGGCAAAGATAATTTCAATGTGAAAACTTACCCATGTGACAACAAGCCCTGGTCTCCCCTACTGTAAAACTCATTAAAATATAGAGTTTCGAGAAGTTGATTTTAATTTGACTTTGTTCAAATTAGCTGCCAATTTGAATTACATTTTTCCCATTTGCCTGAAACAGTAAAAGTATATTGTCAATGTGTATCTAAGTAAAGTTGGAAGGGTAGTCTCCAGTACTGCAGCCCTTTGCCAATATCTGCATAAACAGATGATTAATGCATACTATTGCGTACTGAGCTTTAATTTCAAGCTCTCCAATCGCTGCGCATACACAAACACACACGAATAAAGACACACGCACATTTAAGAAGGGGAGGGTGGGATGAGGGAGAGGTGTCTGCATCGGTACAAACTCCTGCCTGCACTTTTCTGAGCTACTCCCCCTCCTGAAGCAGCAGAGGCGTGCAGTCTTTCTCTCCGCAGAGTGGGGACTACAGTCCGGACAGGGACACAAACGACTGGGGTCAGAAAATAAAAGTCCCAGACCGCAATGGGGACAAGCTGAACTGCAGGAGAAAAACCTCAAGGATAGCGAACGCTTCATTTTGCGCGCATTGTTGGACATTATGCGGGGATAACGTAACGACATTTGGGCTCGCGACGCTCCGCGGCAGTGATTTGAACATAAAAAAAACGTTAACGGCCAACGGTCGGAAGTACCTGAGACATACCTGCGGTGTTTTCGGTGTAACGTTAGCCTCGACTCGGTGCAAACAGCAGTGACATTGAAGAGGAACTGGAGGGAGAGAGAGGGGTGCACGGGAGAAAGTTTGAGAAGCTTGGCGCAGACACAGCAGTCAAACAATGCGGTTGACCCCGACAAAGTCCCTTTCATCATCAGCAGCAGGAGCAGCAGCAGCCCTGCTAATCCTGCTGCTTGTCCGCTGGTCCGACAGCAGTAAGTAAACAGTTACATGCTAGGTGGCTAGCTAGCTCGCTAAGTCCCCTTTGACATTTGTATTGCTGGTGATGAGACATGCACCAGCGTCATAAACGGTCCTTCAACGGCTGATATTTCGCAATCGTTTCTCAGTGTTTTTGTTTATAAGTCACCCAAATATTGCTTTATATTGAGTTGTTTGATCTTTTACTGGTCGTGTTGTCTATAAATACATTTTGGGGTGATTTTCTCTGTCTTTATTCTTTAGTTTCGTTGTCTCCTCAAGAGGCAAACCAGTTTCTGAGCAGACACCGGAGGGCAAACCAAGTTTTCGAGGAGACGAAGCAAGGACACTTGGAGAGGGAGTGTGTTGAAGAGAAGTGCTCCAAAGAGGAGGCCAGGGAAGTGTTTGAAAACGACCCAGAGACGGTAAGTCTACTTTCCTTTCTTATAGGGCTGGACGATAAAATGATATTGATATCAAGAATTAATTTCCCTCAATATCAATTTAAAACATGGTCAATATGCTTATCAATAACAGCGTTCTGCCATGTTTTGGTAGACTATACGAATGGCCAATGACAAGGGGACCATTCAGTCCGCTTTCTCTAGCACAACGCCTTACAACAAAACGTCAAAGAGACACTCAGGCTGTGACCGAAATGAATCACTCAATCCCTTACCCCTAACCCCCATATGGGGTTTCACTATATAGTTGACTATGTAGTGAGCTCAATCACCGGAGGTTTCGGACACTACATGGCAAGAGGCAATGCATGGCGGGATGCCCACCACCGGTTAGTTACCATCGTATGGTCTCTACATTTTGCAATGCTCTATGGGGCACTGGAATTGATCACTCAGGTTTCGGACACCCCTAAAAATGGCGCTAACCCTCATATAGTCACCTATATAGGGGTTAGGGATCCATTTCGGACACAGCCCAAGACCTCACAGATGCAGTAACTTACTGTTTTGCTAAAGACATGCTACCAATATTCATTTTTTACATCTTGATATATATCGATATCGACTGATATGAAAGTAATATATCGTGATACACTTTTGCCCATATCACCCAGTCCTATGTGGCACCAAACCACAACAAAAAAGCTGTGTTTTTTATTCAATGTTTCAATCAATCAAATTTTATTTATATAGCACCAATTCACAACAGTCGTCATCCAAGACGCTTTCCAAAGAAAAAGAGCAGGTCTAGACCACGCTCATTGTTTGATGAATTATCAAGTCCCAACCTAAGTTGGGATTTGCCCCATCTCATGTAACATGAGTGACAGTGGCAAGGAAAAACCTCCTTTTAACAGGCAGAAACCTTGGGTAGGACCAGACTCATGCTAGACAGCCACCTGGCAGCTGCTGGGTTGGGAAGGAATATAGAGAGATAGGGGAGAGAAAGAGAACAAGACAGAAGGAAGGAGTGAGAGAATAGAGAACGAGGGGACAGCAGCAGCAACAACAACAACAGCTTATGCAAAGTTGTGTTTGCAGAGTAAGTGATGATGAAATAATATGAATTCAGTTTATAGTATTAGGATATAAGTAGTTATGGACTATGTTAAATTAATTTATTGTGATTACAGTCAGCAGGCCTAATAGTAGTTAACTCTAGTTTGATGTTATTAATGTCGGTGAGGTGTAATGTTTGATGCAGGTGTCCCATCTCCATTTCAAAACTCTACCACAGCACCACACCTTCCACCAGCATCCTCTCCATTAAGACCCTACAGCGCTGAAAAAACCCAGTTATAGATAGTCAAAACATTACAAATTGAATGACTTTGTTTGAGAGCCCAACACTTGTTTTTCTCATAAACCTACAACTGTTATGTCCATTGTTTACATCATGTTCATATTGACTGCAGATTGATGACTGTAATGTCACAGCAGACCAATGATTCATTGTCTGGGCTGCCTGAGTTCATGCTCCAATAAGTCCAAAGCACTGATGGCTGTCTCATCACATACAATGTAGCACTCTCATCATGTCACAGACTTGTCCTGTTTTGTTTGCTCCTTTCAGACTTTGAGTCACTGTGGCTAATCTTCAGATTATGAAACACAATTCTGGTAAAGACACCAGTGCTTTAGTTTCACATGCATGTAATCACTTCCGGGTTTTATTTTTGCTTTGATAGATTTCATAAGTAGAAATTTTGTTCTGTCAACTGAACCTTCATGGCTTAGATGCCTTCTAAAACATGTGAAGCACCTGGAAATGTTCTCACCATCTCTATGTTGGCCATCTGTATTTGCCAAACTGTCAAAAATGCATGTGGTTCTGATTGGACTCTTGGGGGGGGGGCTGATTAGCAGTTTCCCGGAAGAGGATGAACTTGTGGTAAGTTGTGTGTTTCATTAAACCCAACAGTGAACACAATGTCAGTAAACTCCATTCACCCTCCCACTGTTTCCTCTTGGTATTTACCAACAAATGAAACTTAAAAAATGTGTGTGTGTGTGCTTAGGAATATCCCACATGGATTAGTTTCTAATCAGCATTCATGATTGTGTAGGTTAACCTCTTCATCCATGATCAAACATAAGCTCGTTGCATATGCACCATGTGTGTAAAACGATCTAGAGGTATAAATAACATAATGTGGCAGAAAACGTGCAACAAGGGACCAAGTGTGTATTTATTCATTGGCTAAGAATGTAGACTTGTAAGCCTGTTCACAAACATCTTTGTGGAGAGAGTTGAATGTGTTGTGAGGGAATTTGGCCATGCTAGGCATATTTAAGTACTGAATGTTTTTGATCCAGGCTCTTGATTTGGACCCTCTTTGAATGCTAGTCTGCAACAATTCCAGCAACAAGTGCATCCTGACACTGCTTAATGTTTTTGCTCTTTCACGTTGAGAGTTTGGCTGCTTGATTTGATATGCAAGCAGTTCTTGTAAGCACTGCAACAGTGATACATTCTCCCGAAGGATGGTTCTTATTCATGATGTTTTTAATGTAGAAATTTGTGGTTTCAAGGGAACAAGTGAGGCAATCAATGACGCAGTGATTACTTGTAAGATTAGCCAAGAAGAGAGTCATCAAGACAGCTCTGGGAGGGGGGGATTAAAGTCAAGTTGAGCTTGGGTGTATATGTCTTTGGAAAAGGTGAAGTCAGGTGATGTCTCTTCCAGTTGGGTTGCGATCAGCTGGACACACACCACCAGAAGAACAGCATTTGCGAGGCTGAAGTTTTATTTCGTGCTTTGCCACAAAGCTGCAGTCTCACTCATGGCTGCATTATTCATCCTGCAAGTACTCGTCTCTGACACTGCATTTTCTTGTGCTGCAGCTTCCTGGCTCTGCAGAGAGAAGGAGAGTGGGGTGTCCCTTGATACTTGTGATTGTACTTGGCAACACACGCGATCACACCAACTTTTTTTTGTCTCTCACATGTTCAGCAGTCTTTCAAGAGACACAATAAAAATATTCAAAGGTGGATATTATGTTAGGGTTAAGTATTTTGATAGACTCAAACTTGCTCAGTTAGTAACCAACACTCTTCAAATTCTGACCTAAATGTTGAGGATGACTGCAACCAGCAGACAGGAGGGATTCTGCTCCTATCAGGAATGCAGAGAATTTTAAGGAAGCCTTTGGCAAAAGGGCGACACCCATTACAGGCAGCACTAACACTGGGATTACAGAGTAATCGTACTGTAATCTCTAACAGGATACTAACCACACACATAAAACACACGCATACAAATGTCCTGGGTGAAATTAATGATTGTTTACAAATTTCCTTTGACTCCCATGACCATAAATCGAAAGCGAACCCTAGATATTTACAGAACCACCAAAGCATTTATTTAGACTATCTTGCTCTGTTTGGATTTCTGTTTGTACCACTATGTAACTTTATCCCTCTCTGTTTTCATTCACTCTCCTTGATTCAGGACTACTTCTATCCCAAGTATTTAGGTAAGATATCATTTGTGTCTACGGCTCTTCATTTATGTTCATAATAGTCCGGCTGATTAATCACATTTTTGCTAACCCTTTGAATTTTGTCTTTATCTCTATCCAGCCTGTGTGGAGAAGTTTGGTAATGCTGAAAAAACTAAGCAGGATCTGATTACATGTGTCCACAGTGAGTTTTGTTTTACTTTATAATTTGCATGCTTACTAAATTTAGAGCTTGATGACAGAACTGCTTCCTTCTCACCCTCTCTCTTTCTTCTCTGTATGTGAAAATCTAACTCTTATTACATCCTGAGAGAGCCGTTTGATTGTAGTGTAGGGTTGTGCTGCACTGCACTGCAGTATCACTGCTCTGCATCACACAAGCAGAGAGAAAAGATAATGACTGGATGCAGAAGATCTGTAGCTTCTCCAGGTCAAATGTTGCAGCGTGACACACCTGATCAGTGACTTTGAATCGGCTCGAGTGTGAGGCGTGTGCCGGGATCCAGGTGCTCATGAGTAGCAATGCAGCACTCTGCTTTAGTGATGCTGCACATTGGTGAATGAGTGACACACCCCTTCAGTCGTCACTCGCACGCTCACTGGGTGACTGCACCATCTCCTTTCTGACGTGGACGGATAGTCTGACGTGAGTGGAGCACAGGATTTCTGCTGCATCAGGATACAAGAGTGACCCGGCTTTACTGCGATTGGCTGAGGAACCTCGAGGGGGGGGTTCCATGACTCAGCTGCAGCATCGTGGCACGGCAGCTCTTTTTTTCTCCCTCTTTATATCCGTCAGCACACCCTATCTCTCTCACCTCCTCTCTATCTTATCTCGCTCGCTCAAATCTCTGCCCATCTGTCTCCCTGCACCGCTTTTCAGTGAGATCATTACATACCACACATTCCACTTATGACAAGTTACTGATGTGATGTTATGAACATGCCAGTGTTTGAGAAAGATACTAGCTTCATATCTGCACAAACCAAAAGCTGAATTTGTTGTGAGCACAGCCAGCAGGATATGCCTGTTCTGCTTGATTTTATATCTCGGTCAGCATTTGCTTAAACAAAAAGACTCCTGAGAAAACATTCACCCACTCTCTAGCTCAAATTGCATGTGGCACGATTAGCTGCTGCTCTGTGAACTTTAAAGAGCATATATAAATCAGAGTTGCTTCGGCCTCTAAGGTGTGATTTATTAAATGATATAAAGATTTAATGCCTTGTTGATGAGGGACCTCTATGATTCCAGGTAGAGGAAACAAGAAAGGCTCTTTCTGTCAGCTCTGCTCGCCCATTAACCCTAGCCTATTACCAACAAACAGCGGCGATCAAATTCCAGTAGACTGCTTCTTTAATAGCTGCTTTTGGGAGTAGACTATAAAGAACCACTACTTAAGATACTGAAAAGGATATTTCAATTTGAGCGCTACATTTACATATGTTAAAATATTCATGTACAGTGGTCTCCAACACAGTTTTACACCTATCTGCAGAAGAACAAGAACAAGTTGCCAAAAGCTCCTGTGAGGAACTTCTGGTTTGTGCACTGTAGACAAATGTTACCGCTTATCTCTTTGCTAATTTTGACCTAAATATGCACAACTTGTGTATTTTTTACAAGCAAATATCATACTACTTTATTACAACAGTCAAATGTCAGACTCCCCCACCCTTCAACCCCTAGCACCACCCTTAGACATTAAGAATAACCTTATATGAGTAGTCAATGTTCATGCTAATGGTCTTGTTTGTTTGAGGTATCAGCAATAATGTAAGTTTGTTTCATAACCAGCTAGAAGTATAAACAAGAGCTCTGAATTCGACTGTTAGATGAATAGAAATATATTATTGCTATCATTATCTCCATTTGTTTATGTGCATCAACAGGCATACTTATAACAATTAGAAATCATTGCACTCATAAATTAAATGACAAAATATTTTAGGGAAAAATTGAACTTGGCAGTGTGTTTTAGGGGAGCTCAGTTGTCTTCAGATGAGTTTATTTTATATGATTTTGTTGTTTTCTTGATTCAAAATCTGTGTAAAGCTGTACTTTATACTCTTAAACAGTCTATGTGTTGTTACATGATGTCAAAATTTTCTTTATAAACTCTCTGAAGCTACTTGCAGCTAATGCCAGCAGTTACCATTACTCTGTAGCACTCTACATAGTTTGGAGTCACCAAAAGGATAAGCATGTTGTCAGTTTAAATACACCAAATCCTCTTTTGGTTGTAATGTTAATATCACTCCAAAAGCTGCGAGGTAATCTTTGTATTCGGCATACACAGACCAGATGGCCTTGGGTTTCACATGTTTGCGTATCTCTCTCCGACTCCCCAAATTTTCTCTGACACTGTCCTTTTCTCTCCCTCCTCCGGCTGACATGCCCAGACTTGTCGAGCAGTCAAAAACACAGCTTGAAAAAGGAAACCGTGTGGGGAGAGAAAAGATTTACACATGTGCTCACTAATACAAACCTGCAGTGGAGGAGAAAGCTCAAGTGTTTTTTTTTTAAAAAGTGAAAGATTGGCTGAAACAAAAAGAAAAGAGGGTTGATTCCCATCTGATGTTGTTTTTGAGAGGTAGAGGACAGGTTTGCTGGCAACGCTGAAATTAGGGCATCTCTGACAGAAAAGCTTAGCCAGCATTAGTCTATTTATATTGAACTCCTGATATGCGAAACATAAGAGATGCCCTTCCCTCTGTCTCGTATCCTTATACTGTTACACTCATCCTATCAGTCCGAATTACAGACTCAATATTAAAGCAATAACTTCTCTGCTTTGTCTGTCTCTGTCTGTCTTTTTTTTTCTCACACTACAAGATATTCCAGACCAGTGCTCTCCTTCTCCTTGTAATGCCAGAGGTACAGTGCGCTGCGAGGACAAACAGGGCGACTTCTTGTGCCACTGTTTCACAGGCTGGACCGGAGCGACTTGTGAGACAGGTATTGTGATTGAAATGGAAAAAAAAAGATTTGGATATGGACAGTGTGCTGGAGCTCACTGCATAGCCACTGGATGTCATTTCCAGTTAGTGGGTGGTTTCAATTGTGCCTTTGACCTTGATTCTGGCAGCCAAGTAGAAAGATCCTGCCTCCCATTACTTTCATCAGTCGTATATTTCCCTTTTTTTATTTTTGTCCTTTTCTAGTTCTTTTTTTTTCTTTCTATTTCTTGAGTTTCCGTTTCAATATTATCTGCAAGTGTTCTTCCTGGCAGGCCTCTTTAATATCCAGCTGCTGCTACTGTTGTTGATGATGTGTTAATGGATTGTCAGGTCAATATGAACTGCATGTACGGGAATCTGTGTCTCTTTTCGAGGTCAATGCCAGTTGCTTTTTATAGATATGAGAAAAGCTTACATCTCCTCAGAAAAAAGTAAAAGTTAGAGCAAGGAAATACTCTGTGTATATTCAGGAACTGAAAAGCCAACATGATATATTCACAAGCACTGTGAAGGTTAAAGAACATGTTTCTCTGATTTATGGCACGGCCACCATTCCACACATTTCCACTGTGACTCATCCTGCCACCTGACTGTGAGAGGAAACCAAAACAGATTCAGTTTGACTCGGACTAAGCCTTTTCCACTTGAAGACCACACTCCTCCAAACCCTCAGCTGCAGCAGTCAGCTGCAGTGACATAGCGTGTCAGTTATTTGTGAGGGCTTTCACAAAGTAATCATTCACAGAACGTTTAAGTGAACTTCTTGAACTGTCCCCCCCTTTCGACTGCAGCAATTAAGATTTCAGACTTTCAAAAAGTGATCCTGAAGTTCTGGTGGAAATCTCCACACCAGCCAAACTACATAATGCTCCACACAGCCCATGATGGTAATTTTCCTTGTACTCACGTTGACCACACCACCCTCCTATTTGCAGATGTCGACGAGTGCAGCAAGAAAAACGGAGGGTGTGACCACGAATGCAACAACACCATGGGCAGTTACCGCTGTTCCTGTCACCAGGGCTACATGTTGGTGGGACGCCACATGTGTAATGGTAAGCCACAATTAAAGATGGCCATCATTAATAGCTGCAGTGATTACAGTTTGACCAAGCCTGGATTTGATCAACTTGGAAATCTCACCAACTCTAAGAACTAGAAACATTTCTGCAGTTATTGTTAAATATATGGAGGAATTTTGAAATGGAGAGTTTTCATGTTTGTTAAATCAGTTTTCATATTAGCTGTTTTACAAACCCACAGCAAAATGTTCACAAAATCAGAGAAAAGTTTCATTTATTTGGGTAAAATATATTAATGTTAATGCATAATTGTAGTAAATTGCTTCATAAAAGCAGATACTGCACTTTGTCACAGGTGTGCTACTCAGTGGAACAGTCAGTCAATCGGTAGACTTAACTAGAAGTCACTCTGGAAGAAAGTTATCATTTTATTTAAACAGATAAATGATTTTGACTTGTTGTTTTCCGGGTTAAAGTGTCTACTCTCTTTTTCTGATACGAAAGAACAACCTCACAAATATCCCTCTCAGTTCTCATCCTTTCAGCCGAGGCGTTTATTCACTCTTCTTGACGCTATCAAATTTCTTCCAAATTTGACCCTCCTCGCTGACTAGATTTTGTCTCTTTCAGATGTGGACGAGTGCGAGGACCCAGGTGTGTGCGGGACAGCGCGATGCGAGAATAAAGAGGGCAGCTACGAGTGTTTGTGTGATGTAGGCTATGCCTACGACAACGAAACCAAAAGCTGCGTTGGTGAGTGTGTAAACACATACAAACACACACAACAGCTTTATGAGAGCGGGGAAGCAGCATCAGCCACAGCAGGACTTGATGCAGCTGTGTTGTGGGGTCAGGAAAGGAATGCAAAGACATTCGGAGCAATCTAGTTCACAAAGTAGGTAACAGGTCATCATCCCTGTGCCTTGGGACAAAGTTCAGGAGTCAAATTAGTCGTTATGAAATTAGTTCAGGACAGAGGAAGTGGACGAAGAGGACATTTAATAAAAATACAGTTGGCAGAATGTTTTTGAAAATCTAATATACATCATAAAATGTTTAGGATGACTTTTCCTGGTGGAATCACACTTTTAGACCAACCTCACCGGGCTAAACAATCAAGTTGTTGTGAACCTTTTAGTATTTATAAGCAAGATATCAATATACTTTTTTCCTCTTCATAGTATGAAGAATAAGTTTATATGTGCTCAGCAAACATTTTTAATCCTGTGGAGGCCAAAGATCTGCAGGATTGATATCCAGTGAGATAACATAAATCACTCATTTGGACTGTTTTTCTCAGCCGAGGAAACCAGACTTTTCATAACCTCAGTGTGCCTCCACTGAGAATTCAAGTTTATTATAGCTAATCTTCTCATGGCCATGTAAGGTCGTGCACAGAGCTCTGAGATACCACCCAGTCAAAGACCACTTGACTCAAGTGTTGTTTGCATTCCTTGATATGTTGACAAAAAAAGACGTCTGATGTTTTTTTACATGCTTGTGAAACTGAAGTTTTTTTAGACCCTGGAGGTTCATGTTGTGCTAATGTCTCTACTGATGTACCTTATCTCAAACTCTTGTTACTCTTTCTATGCAATTAATGACTTTCATCTCCCCTACTGTCGTGTCTCTCCTACCTGGTGTCCCCTGTCAGACGTGGATGAGTGTGAGTCAGGTGTGTGTGCAGAGGAGTGTCTGAACACTCCAGGGAGTTTCCGTTGCTTCTGCGATGGTCGACAGGGCATGAAGCTGGGCCAGGACCTCAGGAGCTGTAAGGTGAAATACATGAACTGTGGTAATCTTAGCTCAGCTTTCACTTTTGTTATTACTGAAAATACTTGATCTTCTTAACTCTACATTAATCATAATGGTTGTCATGAAACAGAAGCATGCATCACCTCCAGCTTATACTCTCTCTGTCTTTAACAGCCCCTTACTCCTTGTATGTCACTGTCACTGAAGAGGAACTCGCGTTCTCTCTATCTTGGACGCATGTTCAGCGGGGTGCCAGTGGTGAGACTGCGTTTCCGGCGCAAGATTCAAACTGGGTGAGACAGCTGTCATTTCTCCATCCTCAACACCAACAACTGCTGTACTTTTAAAACAAGCAGGCAAAGTCTCTTCATCAATACCTCAGTCAAAGATGGAAAAATAAAAGAATGCCCTGTTACCTGTGCCCTCTCAATGGCACTGGAGAGACTGATTTAGTGTTGACTACTTAAAATAGATATCATCTTAGCTGTCATTGGGCAAGAGGCAGGATACACGCTTGATAGGTATTTAGTCTATCAAAAACAGCTGGGATAGGCTCAAGTGCCCCCATATAGGGATCATAGGGACCTTTAGATAAAGGTTTTGGATGCTGAAGGTAAAAGAAAATATTAGTTTAAATTTTTTTAGTCAGAATAAATGTTTTATCTTTTCCCAAACTTGTCACATATCAGTCTTCCAACAAAAATAATTAATTAATTAATTTAATAATAATCATAACTTTATTTATATAGCACTTTTAAAAACAAGAGTTTACAAAGTGCTTTAACATAAAGGGAAACAAAGAAGATAAAAACAACAGAACAACAACAAGAGAACACTTGGGGGAAATGTCACATGAGCTGAGACGTCATTAAAACAAAGACATTATAAGAACCTGTGATACTCAGCCAACACAGGAACCCAATCACAAGAACCTGAGACCAAGGGTTCTATTATAAAACATGACTAAGATGAGTAAATGCTCTAAGAAGACAAAAAACTCAGTACTGCCTGAAAAAAATTCCTAAGACTCAAACTTTTTCTTGATTTCATAAAAAAGTTGATAACACAGTTAATTAGAAATACTTACAATGAGTTGTTCACTTTCGAAATTCAAGTCAATTAAAGGGTAGACCCCAAGTCGGGATGAATTGGCTCAGGGTCTTAAAGGCAAAGTGTCCAGTTATTTGTCAAGATAATTCTCATATCAGCTAGGACAATGTTGCTTTTCTGAAGAGCAGATGGAATAGTTTTGGTCACTGGAAGGAGTCTCTGCTCTTTTTCTGCTAATCTCTGCATCCATCTGTTTCCTTACAGCTTTTCAGCTGAGTTTGATTTCCGCACCTATGACCCTGAGGGAGTGATCTTCTTTGCCGGAGGTCACCTGAATAGCTCCTGGATTGTGTTGGCAATGCATCACGGGAGGTTAGAGCTGCAGCTGAAGTACGGTACAGTCAGCCGGGTCACCAGCAGCGGGCCTGCAGTCAATGATGGACAGTGGAGAAAGGTTGGACATTTCTGTCACCCACAGTACAACACTGCGTACATTTGCACCGTAAGCTAATAAGAAGGTCTTTGAATGTCTCGTTTGTGTCCCAGATCTCAGTTGAGGAGCAGGGGCGGAGCCTGGTGATTAAGATTGACAGAGAGGCAGTCATGAAGATTGCAGTAAACGGAGATTTGTTTACGCTGAAGAAGGGGATGCATGAACTCAATCTCACTGTTGGGGGTGTCCCTTTCAAGGAGGACGGTCTCGTCAATCAGGTATGTTTATTTCTATGTGCCTATATGTGTGTGCCAAACTGATTATGCTCTTTCCACACTTTGTAACTGTTATGTATATGATGTAGGTGAACCCACGTCTCGATGGCTGTATGAAGGAGTGGAAGTGGTTGACGGGTGAAGATACATCCATACAGGAAACTGTACGCTCCAATGACAACATGCAGTGTTTCAGCGCTGAGGATTCTGGGGCGTATTACCCCGGCACAGGCTTCGCTCTCTTCAACATCAGCTATGGTGCACTTTGTGTTTGTGTGTTTGTGTGCGTGTGTGTGTGTGTTACGCAAGGTGGGCTTAGGGTGATGCAACTTCCTCCGTTTGCATCTTCCTGAAGTCATTAGTCAATGTTTAATTTGTTTGCGTTTACACTTAGTTGGCCTCCGTCATCGCCTACTCTCTTGTCAACAGCTTGACTCATTTTTGTTTGTCACAGAAGTTCACGACCTGCTGTTCTCTCTTCAGACTCACAGAATCTCAGTGTCCGGTTCGTGCTGCGTCCAACCTCTGCAATGGGAGTACTGTTTGCACTCATCTACCAGGACAGAGTCCCTCTCTCCATCGCTCTGGCAGACTATAATCCCAACACGGACGAATGGAGAGACGTGAGTCGTAAAAGCATAGCCTAGTTCTCTCACTCTACATTTGATCTCAGGGCTAACCCTTCTGTGTGTCTTCAGTTCATCCTTGTATCTGTAGATGATGTTGTCGTCGCCAGCTCTCCTGCTCTTCTTTGTGACGGTGAGAGTCATGAAATCCAGGTGACAATCTCAAGCAACCAAACCCTGGTGCTGGTCGATGGTCATCCTGGACGTAGTGAAGATGCAGAAGTTCCTGTCGACCTCTTGTCACAGTCCAGCACCTTTATAGGAGGCATACCTGGTGAGGACGTGTAAATATCTATGGATATTTTACACACTTTTATTAGTGTGCAGGAGTATTTATCGGGTTTTTCAGCACCTAGATAGATGGCACCTGGTTAGATATTCATGAGTGACCCATTAGCTGATAAATTTTTAAGTCTTTGTATTTAACACTTACAGACATGCATTAGTTTGGGCTTTTCAATCATTTTACTTTAGCCTAGACACATTTTCGGTCGAAAACAGGTACAGAGATAGAAAATAAAGGGATTTAAGCATTGATGTTAATTCCCTTAATCACAAAATACTTTTCACCAGATATTTTGTCAATCAGTTACATGACCTAAAAAACTCTGAACCCTCTCAGCCAAAACTTTTTTCTCCTCTAAGACCATGTTAACACGTTATTATCCCAGCTAATGTCTGATGATTACTCTTGATTCCTCACATTTATGAGTGTCTCTCACAGTGTTTATCCCAAAACAAAACAATGAACCCATAACTGTCACATCTGCAGGGTAAAGCTGCAATAATCCAAAAACTAGAAACTAAAAACAACTAGGATTTATCTCTTTTACTTGAATCAACACCTAAAAAAAAGTTTCCATGTTTTAAAACATAGTTCTCCGACCAAAGATTTTACACCAAGCTCCTACACTGTTTGTTTCGGCTAACTGCTATGTTATATTTTCTTTGTCTCAGATGTTCCTCTAGTGTCCACGCTGGTGTCGGCCCCCTACAGCGGCTGTATGCAGGTCACCGTCAACGGACGGTCTCTGGACTTGGACCAGGCCATCCACAAACACAACGACATCCGCTCACATTCCTGCCCCCTGCTGGACTCTCTCCAGTGACAGCAAGCAGTCTGCCAAAACTGATCCATTAGCAGTTCATTGAGGCAATGAGGATGATTTTCCAACATATTTATGAAAGCTTGACCAGTGAAGAGATGTTATAGATTTGGAATTTGAAAAAAACAAAAACAAAAGATGGCTGAACCACATGGTGCAGCTGGAGCCTTAGCCCAGGACCCTGTCTTTTAACTGAGATGACACTGCTGCCTAGAGGCGTTCGCAGGGATTTTCACTGTACTGTAAATCAGCTGATGACCAACACCTCTTCTAGGCAGACGAGATGGGTATGCTGCTCAACATTGCCTCAAAACTGCCCATGTATCACAGCCTTGTTAGCCCATAAGAACACACAGGGCCTTATTAAGATCAGTGTCAAATAGTTGGTCTTTAGTCAGCCTATTAAACACCCGGTATCCTGTGCTTCAATGCAGATCTGACTGGAGTTGTGTAGGCAAAGCTGCATTCATGCTGCAAACATCCAGTCCACCCACTTTAGGGCCCATGCTTGCAAAGCTTGAAATAATCGAGTGCTTATTTCAAATCCAATAAGATGACTAAAAAAGGGACCAGAGAGGTAGCCTGAAATCAGCTACCCTACTCAGAGAATCCATGAGAATATGAGATCAGATCTTCTTGGGTAATGTTCTAGGGGTTGGCTTAAGATTTAAGCAATATTATTTTTCCCTAATAAGCTGGATCCCCTCCTTATCTGTAGCGGGGGAGGGGGTTGGTGTCAGGCACAGCTTTGTGCTCTGTAAAAAAAAAAAGAAAAAACTTGCACATTGTTGCAGGTTGAAATGGACTGCGTGTGAAGTCATTTTCCAACTCTTTGATTTTCTTTCGACTTAAGCAGCACTCCATGTCCGCCTGCAACTGTAAAAAATCAACCATGTGCCTCCAAAGAACAACCAACCCAAACTAAGTACAGCTTCCCTTCAAACAGGTGAATCCTTTTCACAACGGTGCAGTACTGACACACACAAACTCAGCTGCCGCTTAAAACCTTGTACTTTCTGCAGCAAGCACACTATGCATTCATCTGTGGAGTGTTGCAATCTTGTAAACAGTCACCCTGATTCAAAATGATCTGTCATCACTAAACTCGTCACAGAGGCCCCTTCTTTCCCTCAGAATCACTGACTCACAGTTAAAACCTGCCATAAACCAATATAGGGATGATAAACAAGTCACAGAAGCACAGGGACAAAAGAAGGGGCCCTCTCCGCGGTGGAGAGACAGTGAGCACTGCATCAAACGCACCTAACAAGCTACTGAAAGTAAAAGAGTGCGCTGTAATATACTGAATATGTAAATAACGTGACTGTACAATGCTTTGTAGAAGACAGAAAACAAACACTACCTTATGCTCATCAAGGTTTCTGCACATTTAAGTTGATCCAAAGTCAAACAGTATCCAGAGTCTCTCGACTTCATCTGCTTTGTTAAAAGAAAAGAGTGAGCGCGGAATCGTGATTGTTCTTATTGATAATGGCAATGATGATGAAACTGTGAGAGCTATGCCAGGTATCAAAGTTATCATCAACTTTTAAAGACTCAGTTTTTTTAATTTGATTTTATAGGTGCTAAGCAAATGAAAACACAATAAAAACAAAGAATGTCAGAGGAGCATCGTGACTGAGAATGCCAAAGGGCTCCAGTGTTGTTTTACTTCCCTCTCTTATGTATCATTTCTAATTTTCTGATGAATGAATGCCAGAATTTAGTGCTTGACGAGTTCTCGTTTGTTGTTCTGATTTGTTGTATATTGAACTGTAGTTTTTATTTTTCACTTTTAACTGCCAGTACATGTACGCTGCTGAGAGAGGTCCGCCTTTGAGTTTCAACTTCTTTCAGCAGTGAAAATCCTATTTAAAACAAAATAAAAGCAGTTGTAAGAACATCATAGAGTAAAACTGTATTTTCAAAAAATAAAAATGCCTTTGTATGCTATGTTTATGTTCAAGATAAACTTTATGGGTGTTGCTCAACGTGTGGCATCTCATCAATTTCTTCCCTTACCAGTACATTTACTCACTTTTTCTTAATGGGAACTTCATCAACAGGACAGACAGGGGTCCCAGGCACAGCACTAGCCACCAAACATCTTTTAACTTTGCCTAATTTCTTTAGCAAAGAGACTAAACACAACTCACCTACTCTCTTCCAGCAGCCACTTGTTTGTAGCGAGACCTCAGGCCAGTCTATAACAGACTGCAGCGGGGTTACGCAGCTCAAGGAAGAACATTTATGATCATTTCTTCATAGAAATGCAATCAGACCGAGACGCTAATGCAGAAGAACTACTGCGTCTGCAGTGCAAAATGATTACTATGGTGATTATAACTTCAAGGAAATGATAAAGAGATGATCATAAATGTTCTTCCTTGAGCTGCGTCACCCCGCTGTCGTCTGTAATGGACTGACCTGATGTCTCGCTACAAACAAGCGGCTGCTGGAAGAGAGTAGGTGAGTTGTGTTTAGTCTATTTGCTGAAGAAATCAGGCAAAGTTAAAAAGATGATTGGTGGCTAGTTCTATGGCTGGGACCCTATATGTACTGTTGATGAAGTTAGGTGCTGTTCTGAGCATTATTTGTGGCTTTTTGGTTGAGGTTTGTTTATGGCTCCTCAGACCGCTGTGTATTGCTTGCGTGCGGTCGTTACTAAAGTTGGTATGACTAGAGAAGCAAACGGTCTGCAACATTCATCTCTCAAATGGGTGTCTAACTAGGTGTTACAGTGTGTTTGACCCTAAATTAATTTTACGCCGGAATATCCCTTTAAATACAGCTTAGTGTTTTATTATACTTTGGCGAGATTTGTTGATAATAGCTGAGAATTGAGCCAGAGAGTTTAATGCTGATGAATTCAACTTTTATTTGCAAAGGAAGACTTTTTATGACATATAAGTGAAAACACATAACAGGTCAAGTAGTGAAGGAAAGGAAATACACAACCTTTAAGAAAGGTTGGACATTTTTTGTGAGAGGTTGCAGTTAGTGCATTAATTATGTGAGAGAAGGTGTCGATTGAATAGCTCATACCTAAGCTAATGACGTGTGATTAAACTCTGAAAATAAGCATATAGATATCCTCTAAAATATCAAACTTTCCCTTTAAATCTGACACTCTGGTGAAGCCCTTACTAACACTTGTATACATCAGTGAATGAATGCTTTTGTTACAGGTGCCTTGAATACATCATGTATTTAATGGCAGCAGCTACAGAACTGCATCCCACAGCAGTAAACATGCGTCATCAATAATATATACAGTTTTATCGACTTTAAAGTGCACATTAAATGATTCACGGGAACATAAAATTAACAGCAACATCAGCGTCCTTTATGCTCCAGCCCTTTTAATTACTCCAACATTAGTTTGTATTGTGAGAAAATACTCAGGTAGACCTTTAAATCCAATCTACACAAGTTAAACAGACGACAATCAGATCACGTTTACGACTACATACATGTGTGATATGTATCTTTAGAACAGCTTGAAGGAAACAAGTCTATTTTCTTTTTTGCTCAAGTCAAAGTCAACAGCTACTTCAGGATGACCTGGTTACAGCCATCAAGAGTTCTCCTGCATATAAGCCACAATCTGTAATATTTGTAATTGTAGTTTTTAGCTGAACAGATTAACGGAAAATATTGATTTGAGAGGTTTAGAGACGCTTTTTGGTGTCATTTGTTTCCAAGCCAAGTCAGACAAAAAAGTCCCTAACTTCCCAATCTGTTCTTTTTAACACTTTATGACTTTGCCACGTCCAAACACACCACACATTCGTAAATTTTCTCTCCTTAGTGTAACCAAATGAAACATCAGTACAGAGCAGTCGTGAAGCTCAAACAGGGTTTTCTGTCTACATGGTCACCGCTGAAATGTCTTGTGCTACGTCCGGTCTAACCAAACAGGATGAATTTTTTCTCCAACATTTCCTCTCAGAGTTTGTCTTAGAGTTCAGCAGGCGTACGGTGGAGGTTTCTCAAAGGGGCTGAAGGATGAACCATAGAGAACAGGGGCGTTGGGTGTCAGCATGTAACCTCCTGGTTCCTGGGTGGCTCCCTGAGGCTGCGGCTGGGTAGAGGCGTTAGAGGGCTGATGGCTTTGGTTCTCGTCAGACAGGCCCGAGTTAGAAGCCTGGCCTCCGTTAGAGATCATCTGGGGAGTGGTGGGTTGCTGATAGCTGCCGTTGTGCTGGAGATGAAGAAATAGGGAGTTGTAGATTTCAGAGGTAAGTGAAAGTACAGACAGATATCTAGAGTCATCATTTAAATGCGAGGGTGCAGCCACAGAAATATCAACGAATATCTGAGAAACCCATGATAAACAAAACATTTTTAAAAAGCCTTATACTCAAGAGATATGCAAGTGTTGTGTTTAACTTTTTGGCAGGAATTTAAGGAGTAAGATGATTCATAAGAGACAGTTTGGGTCAACTTCTGCAGGCGTCAGCAGCAAATTTGATGAAGCAGCAGGGCAGATAACTTTTCGCATGTTCAGGTGCTTTGAAGTGAGAGTGAAACAGCTGTGCAGCTGCTGTAAAGATATTTCATCTCTGCTGCTCATCTGGTTGCCATCCTGATACAATGAGGGTAAGAATGAAACTTTTTCATGTCAGGCCTTTTGGAGAGGTACAGGTGTTACTAATAGGACCCTCTAAATCATGACAACCAGCATGAACAGTACTCCAAAGTGCAAAAGACTTTGTCCTCTCATTAGTTTTAGGGCTTTTCACCTGCATGGGCATCGGATAGTTGGGGTAGGCGGGCAGAGCTTGTCCTGAAGGACAGTAGCCATTGTAGGTGAACATGTGCTGGGTCGGGTTGTACAGGATGTGTGGTGACGGTGTGGGACTTGGAGCCATAGGAGGAGTTGGCTTCTGCTGAGAGAAGAAGACAAAACATGCTGCTGATATAGACGGCAGAACATGGAGAGAAGCTGAAAGGAAAATGTGAGAGAGTGCAACAGTTTCACACGAAACACACTCTTCATTATATCAGAGGTAATGGTGTGTGATCGCCGCCTAATGTGCTGTAGAGACAAAAGTCGTAGAATTTGGATCATTAAGAGTAACAGAGTTAGATCAGAGATTTTTATGTCTTTGAGTAGATAACTTATATTCAAAGTACGCCAATAACTCCAGAAGTATTGCATTTAAGTGAAACTTCCATACTTTCTCCTTTAAACAGACGGTTTGTAGCAGTTAACTGGATTAAAATCAATCTGTTTTACCCTGTTAAAGGTTTGTTTTCAAGTTTAGCACATCACAAAGTCTTGGGGCTTCCTTTCTTAAAATTTGTTTTAAAACACATTTTTAATACTCGTCTTAAAACCCATTTTTATTCATTGGCTTTCAACCCTGCATGAGACTCGGCTCCTGTTTTAGTGTTTTATGGTTTGTTTTTAGTTATTTGTTTCTATGTTTTTAAATTAGTTTTTAAAAACATTGAAACTATATTTTACTTTTTAATAACTGCTTTTATTTTGTCCATTGTTTTAATTGTTTTTTTGATTGTTTTTTTTAATGTCTGTGTTGTTTTGTCTATTTATGTACAGCACTTTGTTCAGCTTTGGTTGTTTTAAAGTGCTGTACGAATAAAGTTGAGTTGATATGAGTCTTAACAATTACTCATAACATCCTAGTTTTTTTTATTTATTTAACCTTTATTTAACCAGGTAGGAACCTGTTGAAATTGAGATCTCATTTACAAGGGTGACCTGGCCAAGAGGTCGGCAGCACACACCACAATAATAAATAAGAAGTAAATGACCTTTAGAAACGTAACTAAAAAACACAGGCACTGTCCCATGGTCTCCGAAAGTCTGTCATGTAAGATTGAACGAAATGCTTCCAGAGAAATTAATCCCGACAATTTCAGGTCAGTCTGGAGAGTATTCAGTGCTGAAGTGGCAGCAAAACTGAACGCTTTTTTGCCCAGTTCAGTTCTGATTCATGGAACAATCAAATGGACAGTGTTGTTTGAACATTTCTTCCAAAAACTAACCCTAACTCCAAATATTCTCCTTCTAAGAGTCTCACCATGTCTTTGTACGCTCCGAGTATGGCTGCAGTGATGATGCCCAGGAACAAGCCGACCACATTGAGCACCACTGAGGCCCAGAGCAGGCGGTGCAGGTGGATCACATCCCAGCAGCCATTGACCCCGGTGAACTCGTAGTACTTTGTGTGGTGCTCGGTGCTGGAGAAGAGTAGGGACAGAGCAGCTGGTCAGGACTCATAAAGGCTGACACAAATATGCTCTCGGTTAATTTTTGATTAGACCTCACCTTTGGCAGTTGAACAGGTAACAGCAGTAGCAGGTGTTGCTTCTCAGTTTCAGCTTGCAGGCTTTCTCAGATGCACGGCACGTCACCTGTTATATCAGAGATTTTCAGACCTTCCATCCATCAATTACTGTTTTTTCAGATTGCTCCTAATCATGCCAACATTATCAGACATATAAAACAGGTATAGACTATATTTTATCTTTAATTTAATTATCATTTAAATCTCCTCATGATATATGGGAGCTTAACAAACAGCGTAGACAAAGATACAAGTCTGCATTTCCACAAAACAGCTTCAGAACTTCAATTTGATTATATTTTGATTTTTTTTAACAAATGAGTACCTTTGAGCTTCAAATGCAGTGTCATTATTTGACCACTAGATGTCACTATGCTCTTCATAATTGAGCAGCAACAACATACTACAACCTGTTAAAAATGCACTTAACACATCAAAAGACAACTACAGAGGCACAAATGTGAAGCAGGAGGTAGGGAAGAGATATTATAAGAAAAGGTGAGATGTGTTCAAATGGAAACCGCTCTTTGATAAGTCTACAAACTGTGTAAGAAAACTTCTTGGGAGGTTCAACTTCCTGACAACAGCAGGATTTGAGTTAAAGGCAGTGAATTTCCCTGAAACTCAAACTCTCTCTCAATCAAAACAATCAAAAAAGATTCAGTTTGTAAGTCGTAAAATCACACGCCATGGCAGGGGTTGTTATCTGCATAAAAACACTCCTTTGCAACACACAAATAGTACAAATCATAATGAGTGATAGAGGTTGAAGTTTAGTGATCTATAGCACTTGTATGAATGCTTCACCTCAGTGTAGTAGCTGTCAAAGGCGTATCCTGATCCACTGGTGTAGAAGTCACACATGTCCTCCAGCAGGAGCCTTGTGTCCTTTCAGTGTCAGAAACAGAAGACAAACAGACAGGAGGCTGTGATCGCTAATGTAGATTTTAATCCTCTTGTTATACACAACAACTGTAATCTCACTGTTTTTATTTAATTGAGTATAATATTTATTCCTAGCTTGTGTGGTTCTCTTCACCCACTATTTTATGCTCTGGCTTGATCTTAACCCTCCACTGCACTGCACAATAAAACCTGCCCCAGTGAACCACACTGGACTTAATGTAATGTAATTGTGCAAAGCATGAAGGTGCAATAAATATGACTTTTACTGTCCTGTGTGCACAAAATGAAAATATCCGCAGAGGCTCTGACGGCACCAATGATCAATATCAGTGAGTCCGTGCCAGGTGCTGAGAGGTCCAGCTTTTTAAACACTCTCTGGCCCGCACTCATTAAGACGCCATTTAAAATTCATGAGGCTGATGTGACAGAGCGAAGTGTTCGTGTATCCAAGCAGAGAAACAACACCACCCTGTGTGATCGGACTTTTCTGTCTGTTCCTGTGCAAACAAAGCAGCTGGTGTGGGCTAGAGATGCACCGATCCAATACCGATACCTGGGCTGAGCGTACCTGTCGATATCCGATACCGATCCAATACTACTGTATGAATGAATGAACTGACTCGAAATTTTTCTTGATAGTCGCAAATTAGATACGCATCAAAGCAAGGAATAATTAAATTTAATGTTTTTTTTTATCGTGACGAACATTGTTCAAAATTCTAGAGAAATAATGTTGCCTACTGTAGCTTTAAGACAGCCGGATCATCTTGTCACTCTCATTAATGTAAGAAATGTAACAGAAACCATGAGATAGAGCTTGACATCGTGATCTTCCAGCTGATCATTCGACACTGCTGTTTGATTATTCCAAAACATGAGCTGAAGAAGGTTTAGGTGAAAGTGAAGCTTCGGTTGCATCTCCCCTTTTTGTTTCTTCGTAACACCATCCCGCAAGTGATTGGATTGGTATCTTGGATGTGTAGTGAATGAAACCATGCCTGTCTAAATCCGAGTCATGGAGAGCTTCACCGGTACCTTGTGGTTTCAAATCTGACGGGTTTAGGCTCTACTCTGCCAGATTCACACCATAGAATGATGATTAGTTTTCATTTCAAATAGACTATTAAATATCATTATTTTAAAGTCTATTCCATCACGATATGTTCTGTTTATTGAGCTTTTTCCTGTGATTTGAGAGTATTTTTCCTAGTGTTTCTGTGCCCTGTTGTTCCCGTTCCCCTGTAGTCCTGTCTTGTGAGTTTTCAGTTCGTGTCTGACCCCGGTTCCCTCATGTTCTCAGTGTTTTATTCTATCACTAGTTTCTAGTGTTTCCTGTTTTATTTTATAGTAGTTATTCCCTGTGTTTCTAGTCTTGTTTTACTTCCTCAGTTTTCCCTCCTCTGTAATTGTCTGCACCTGTGTCTCAGTGTCTCACCTGCCTCTCGTTGATCGTTTCCTTGTGTGTATGTAGTCCTTGTCTTCCCTTGTTTCTCTGTTGGTTCACTGTGAATGTGTGTAAATGTATATGTGATATGTATGTTGATGCCGCTGTGTGTCTTCTTGTGGTTTTTTTCCCCCAGTGCCTTTGTCTTTTCTCGGATTTTGGATTTTTGGTTCATTGGGATTTTGCCTCCCGTGTTTCTTGGGATTTTTGAGTTGGACATTATAACAAAGTTTTTGTTGTTTTAGTTCCTTTTAAATAAATCTGTTTTCGCTCAACCATGTAATTATGATTATTTTTCATTTCATATAGACTATTAAATGTTATTTTTTCAAAAGTCTACTCATCCTGATCTTTCGGATGCGTTCAATCAGCCCTGTTGTGTTGCAAGTTTCTTCTGATCCTGCAGGTCAGGTTATGAGACAGATCAGTCTGGACCTGGGCAGTTCTGTCTGATTACATTCCTGATCAGAGTAGAGTGTCTGTTCTGGTCCTGACCTGTATTTCAGTCATGTAGACATGTAATACTTACAATGAATTCTGAGGCGATGATCCCGTCCACTATGGCGCAGAAGAACGAAGCAATCACGCCAATGCTAATGAATATGATCGCCGCCGTGAGCTGAGGACAAAAAAGAAAAACAGGGTTAGTCAACAACTCTCAGATCCTAATTGTCTTTGTGATATTTAAATGTAAAACTTAATTGATTTGAAGATGTGATAAAATCCCCGACAGTCAAATCATATCCAGTATGTTGTGACTCTGATCTGGAAGTGTTGAATTTGGTTTAATTTGATAAATCAAAGTTTAGACGTCCTCACACACTTACACACTGGTTCATGTGAACTCAGCGTTCTGCATGTGTGTCCTGATTGGTCACCTCGTCTCCGGGCTGCAGGACTATAAAGAAAATGGACGGCTTCTCACTCTGCCAACACAGAGGTGCTTTGTAGGTAATTTATAGGCAAAGAGGCAAAGTACGGGAGACAGGGGATGGCCTTTTGTGCCAGCAAGGTCAATCTCATTCTCCCAATCTCACACACACACTGTTGCCTATCTCATACTCAATCACACACTCTTGTAATTCGTGTCCAAGAACCTGATCACTAATCAAACAATTCTTAATTTCTTTCTGAAAAAATGAGGCACACGCACTCTCATGTTCCTCCATGTAACTTTAATTGTTAATCGCAGTAATTTCCCAATACCACACACACACACACACACACACACACACACACACACACACACACACACACACACACACACACACACACACACACACACACACACACACACACACTCATACACACACATACACACACACACACACTGAGCAGACCCAGCTGGCTGATCACAGATGTCTGATCGTGAACTTTATCACTGAGCATCGTTTACTGTCTGTTTAATCGCTCCACCAGGACCAAACCTGCTGTACTGAGGCAGCAAATTAAGCACACTCTTTTTTCTTTTTTTTTTCAATCTACTGTATCTATCTGTCCTGAGGGGAGCGGGGTAAAAAACATCAGCCAAATAATCAAAGGAAAACAGTTAAAGAGAGGTAGAGGAAGCAGTAGAGGAGGAACATAACGTCATTAATGATTTTTTACTTAAAAAAATTTACTGCAGGTGATTTTTTAAATATTTTATTTGGATGTTTTTTTTTTCTTTTGTGTTTGAAAATAAAGAGATTTGATATAATCCTGGAATATCTCTTTTCTATTAAACAGATTTTTTAACATTTTTTTGTATAAAAAAATTATAGGTGTGAGTAATAAAAATCAATCTGGATAGATTCCTTATAGCGACAGAGTTAAACTGTGTATCAACTAAAACAGCAGCACAGACAGTGTACCAAGTTCTTGAAGTAATTTTTGATGGCAACCTCAATCTGGAGAAGCATGTCATTTCAGCAGTTCAGTCATGTTTTTACCACCTCAGGAGACTTTCATTTGTTTCCCAATAAAACACTCTGACACAGTCATACATACCGTCATCTTCTTCTACTACTCTAATTCCTGTCTGTCACAGAAAACCTGAATAAATCACAGTTAGCCAAGAATGCATCAGCCAGACTAATCACCAAAAGGAAAACTTCAGCCCCCCTCAAGTGGCTCCCAATTAGGGATGGGCGATAAGTTATCATTCATGAGATATGGTCAGAAAAATCCTCTATGATAAATATTTGCCATCTCATGCAAGTTGATGATGTAAGCACGAGCAGTGGACTCGCAGCCATAGCCCAGAATAATAGACAAGCATGGCCGAAGGTGGAAAAGGAGACATTTCTGAGCAGCTGGTTACTGAACAAGGCTCAACATGAGGGATTTCATCAAGATTGGGGTTTAGAACTGCTGCTGTTCACTCTGTGCAATAAGAGTTTTTGACAAATGTTGAAAATGTTTTCACATTTGAGACTTGTTTGATGTCTTTCATTTTGTCCATAACCTACCACTTAAACTTGTGGTTAAGTATCTGATTTACCTTTTCCAACTGGTTTTCTCAAGACAAAATGAGTTAAAGTGTAGAATTACACACTTCATGCTGGCAAAGTTCTTTTAGTTTCTCAAACAAGACGTTTTAAGTACTCATTCAGAAAATTTGGAGCTGGAAATCTGGATTGGAAACAAAGACCATGGAGGGAAAAGGTAGTTATCGGAGCCCTAAGCGGTGATCCGAACCTTGGCTTTGCAGACCCAGACTTGGCTTGCAGGGTTTAGTCATATTCATTTATCATTTCATGTGTCTTGGTTTTTATTTTAAGTTTATTCAAAGTAATGTGAATTGGTTTTAGGGGAATAACACACAACGGCACAGATTTTAAAATGAATTTGCCTCGAAAAGTGAAATAAGAGCAGGGCTGTGAAAGATGATTTTTTTCCTCTATGAGGGTTTTATCTGCCACCGGCCCAGACTCTCCACTTCATTAGCCGTTTAAATGACTCTGCTTTTATGGGCTGTAAGTGGGAGATGAGGCCAGCAGCAGAGACAATAGAGCCTGACAACTGCATTACTTCACATTACCTTAGCACCAGCTGCCAGCACATAAAACACCTCAGCACACACTCAATATCCCAAAGTCCCCAATCTCCCCCCAATGCAACTGAAGCAGAGAGGAAAACCAAACACTGTAAAAGATTAAAAACACAGAGACAACCTTTAGACAGTTTTCTGCTCTTGGGACACGAGTCAAAGAGGAAATATCAAAGAGAAAGACGCCCTGAAACTGAGCTAAGTACACTTACTCAAATTAAATAATGAGGAACCTCCATAACTGTGCGTATCTGTTTTAAAACGACTCGAGAAACTATAATGCTGTGGACTCCACTGACCTGAGGGACCCTGATTGTTTTATTGGTGAGTTAATGTTGTGACTCAACCAGCCAGATCGCAAACGCACAAACCTCTGCTTCAGATTATGTCGCCAGTTCCAGGTGTCACCCATCTTAACAATACTGGGGCATCACCTTTACACAACAGTAAAAGAACCTGAACAGTTAAGGTGCGTGTGGAGTTTCTACACCAGGGTGGCACATGCACACACTAAAATAACAAATAAAAATCTTTGAAAATGAGTGTATTAATTATGAGCAAAACAAAATGTGCAACTAAAAACACAAGAGTATTTACAATGGATGACCTGAAGCTTAAAATTGGTTGTTTTTGCCAACATATCAATGGTTGACAGAGACGTTGAACTGCATGTCACGATGGAATGTGGGATTTAAATAATAAATAATTCAGGTTTCCTGGTGCTTGTAAACTGGGGCAAAGACAGTAGTCTGGTAGAATAGTATTACTGAGCTTGACTTAACTGTGAATGTAAACTTACTGACTGTCACTGCCAATTTAAAGGGATATTCCGGCGTGAAATTAATGTAGGGTCAAACACACCATAACACAGAGTTAGACACCCCCTTGAGAGATGAATGTTCCCAACCGCTTGCTTCTCTAGTTATACCAACTTTAGTAACCACCGTAGGATAGCAATACACAGTGGTCTGAGGAGCCATAAACAAACATGAAACAAAACGCCACTCTATAGCCACAAATAATGCTCAGAACAGCACCTAACTTCATCAACAGTACATATAAGGTTCTCGCCACAGCACTAGCCACCTAACCTCTTTTTAGCTTTGCCTGATTTCTTAAGCAAAGAGACTAAACACAACTCACCTACTCTCTTCCAGCAGCCGCTTGTTTGTAATGAGACCTCAGGCTAGTCCATTACAGACTGCAGCGGGGTGACGCATAAATGTTCTCCCTTGAGCTGCGTCACCCCACAGCAGTCCGTAATGGACTGGCCCGAGGTCTCGCTACAAACAAGTGACTGAGGTTTGTTTATGGCTCCTCAGATCGCTGTGTATTGCTATCGTGTGGTCGTTACTAAAGTTGGTATAACTGGAGAAGCAAGCGGTCTGCAACATTCATCTCTCAGGGGGGGGGGGGGGGGTGGGGGGGGGTCTAACTCGGTGTCACGGTGTGTTTGACCCTAAATTAATTTTACATCGGAATATCCCTTTAAGTTCAAGGAGACATGAAGGCATCTGGTACTGCAAGTCAGATTTTACCACCTGGATGGAAAATGCAACCCCAGATCATCCCAGCACACATCCCTAAACTCCCTGAAAGAGAGGCATCACTGTCAACAACCTGTTCCACACTGTTTTTTTATCTGATCTGACAGTTTTAACAGATATTCTAATTAAAAAAAGAGACAAAAAGAAAGTTTTAGCTAAGATTCTAGAAAAAGAGATAAAGACACAAAGAAGAGTTTTATAGGAGTCAATAAAGATGCCTATCAGCTTATGTTAGTAAAGCCGCTGACCGCTGTGAGGTCTTTTTCTCCTGCTCAGCGGTCCAGTGACCAATCATGACCACAGTTGGACAAACTGCTAATGGGAATTTGTTGGGTAAAATATGACCCTTTAAAGGTTCACTGTTCTGCTCTCTTGAGCTTCAAGGTGACCAAAAGGATGACAGTCTGTAAGTTACAGACAGTGACTGCAGGAGAGGAGGCTGGGAGAAAGAGGACAAACCACATGAAGCGTTTGGTCATAAAGACGACTTACTAAGTCTCGGCGCAGTGAGGAGAGACAAGGAGTTTCTCTTTTCTCCGTCTTTTAGATAATTTCATGCTCCATGGTACCTTTAAACAATTTGGAGGCGAAGATAAGGCTAAATGAAAAATGTTATATGAGTCATTAAGATTTCTAAAGCTTTTAATCGAAGAAAAATCATCAGAGCCACCCATTCATAAAAAGGGCAGGTCCTTTTATGAACGAGCAAGAAAAATTCACTCTAACAATGAAATCTGTCCCACCTGAAACCTTGGCAGTGTTCAACACAGATCTGCAAGGTGGAAAATGATGGAGGGTTGATTTAGTATCTCTCTTCCTTTAGGTAGAAATTGAACAAAATAAACCCTCACAGTCACAAAGTTAAGCTCCATTTAAAGGTTATCGAGTTGTATCAAAAAATTTACTGAAAGACTAAAATCAGGCATTACCATCCTTTACTAGTGCATGTGTTCTAAGAGACTATGAAAGACATGGAATAGGCTTTAGGGTTTGAAGTGATTATTACCTGCATTGTCTACCATGGCCAGCAGGGGGCGATTCCACCAGTCGTGATAAGAAATGTGATAGCTAAATGTAAATGAGTAAATAACTACATGTCGTGTGTTATTGATTGGCTCACCGCTTATGCTCATCTCGAGTTTTAACATATTCCAACACAGTATGATAATAGTATGATGTGTTTCAGAGTGTGGCTACTACTGATTGATGATTCAGTACCATGGCACACTAGGGAAGCAGCCCCTCATTCAAGTATATCTGCTTTCAGATAAACAAATAAACAGGACAAAGACATCCAAAACCAACAGCCTGACAAATAAACAACGGCAACATCCTTTTTCATGTTCTGTGTGTTTCGACTTGTGCGTCCCAGTTTGTTAATGGCAGCATCTCAGGTGTCCACACATGCGTCACTACCCACTTTGGTTCAGTGTTAATCAAGAAGAATAAAAGGTCAGAGCAGTGAAAGCTAAAAGCATCTATTCACACTGTAAGAAAATACGATATAAAAGTTTTAGTACTTAAGTGCTGCTTTAGAAACCCTCATCATTTATGGTAGATAAAGGTCTATCATTGGGTGGTGTTCAGACCCACTCTTGATACTTCAACATAGCTTACTTCTTTAACATTCTGCGCTTTGTAGATAGCTGCCTTTCTAATTTTCAGCACTTTTACACATCAATTTCTTATTTATTCTCATTAATTTGTGTTTCTATTTTTCTATTCTCCTTCTATTAATGATGTATTTTAATCAACAATAATTGTAAGAATAAATTAAATTGAAAAGACTTGGTATTTAAAAAAGTCCAAACAAAATGAAAATACACTTCCATTTCAAAGAGGAGTTTTTATTTTACTTTTGTCTGAATAATTTTCTATTTTGAGGGTTATAAACTCATTTTATGTGTCCTGTTTTGGTTTCCACTGGTTTAGATCATACCTTGTTAATGCATATTCTATATATGATAATGTAATGATAATGTGATATTGTCACTATTTGCTTTGCTTTATGTCATTTTACTACTTGTTAATCTTGGTGCCAAAAAAGTTATTTTTTGCAAGGATCGCACCATGTTTAGTTTTTTTTGTAAACAGCTCACTCTCGAGTCCCTTGCAACTTTTAATTAAAACCTGAACAGCTTTTGTAGAATATGCAAATAACCTCGACCTAAAACCTGAAGATGACAGTACTGCTACTTGAGATATTCCCTTTTCATTTATTTATTCATTTATTTTTAATTGATTATCTATTTTATTTCATTTATTTATTTTTATTTATGTGAATGTGTGTGTATATGTTTATGTGTATATTATATATACACATTTTATTATCGCTCATCTATTAATTTGCTTTATTTGTATGTGTATGCTAATTTCTTGTGTTTGTGATATTGTGGCCAATGTGGGGTGGGGTGGGGTGGGTAGGGGATGAGGGGGAAGAGGGGTTATTATAGGAACTTTACACCTCATTTCACACTTGCTCTTTTTTACAATGTACAACTGTTTGTTTACATCTATTGTCGCTCAAAAAAATCATTAAAAAAGATTCAAAACAGCTCACTCTCGACCTTTGTTTCATTTTTCCTTTATCTGTTACTTCATTTAAAGGTTGGTAAAAGGTTGTTTGATTTTTCCAAACTGAATTCAAGTAAGAAACAACAGGTGTGAAACTTCTCTGACTCCTAATAGTATAAATTAGACATCACACAGCCCTAAGTTACATCTTGAAGAGAATCAAACACTTTGTTTGATTTTCAGGAAGTCCAACTGTACATGAAGTGTCTGGGCGCTCAGGTGTCGTTGGTGTTGTGGCACAGTTAGTTGTTCTTTAATGAGCAGCCCCCCTCAACCAGCTGCAGGCTCTCTGGTTACAGTACAAGCCTCAAACACAGGGGGAAAGAAGACACCTGCGTGAGGGGAACATCGAGCCACACGGGCCTCATAGGAGACACCGTAGACCGGCGTCCTAACCATTAAAGTTTAAAGCACCGAACTGGGAGCAATGTTGGCGAGGCAGACGCAGCAGGATTCTCAAAACGAGGGTAGATATCTGTGTAGAGCGTGCTGTAGGGCCACGTAACACAATGACACTGTGAAAGGCACATGAAAAATTCATGAGACACACTGATACAGAGGGAGCATGTTATACGTTTTTGTCTACAGCATATCACGTCATTATTTCTTTAGTTTTCATTTATCTGTAATTTCCGGTGAGTGCGCCACATGGCAGTTTGTGATTTGGGACAGCACTGCACCCTCAAAACTCGCACATTGCGCAGTTGAGTACATACTATGTTTAGTATACTCAATTTAGTATTTAGTATGGAAGTATGCGATTTGGGAGTTGGCCAGTGACCCAGTGGTTAGCGACATAATGCTGTTTTGAAGAGGGCTACATACCACACATCTCAGTCTTTTCAGAGCCCTGATACTTATGACAGTGTGGCGCCAAGGTGACAAAACATTAGGGACAATTTTATCAGACGTTCCACTTTCCTCATTTTGGCCCAGGCAGCTGCTGCTCAAACAAAAACTACGACCTTATCACCACATTATGACTTTATTCTGGTAATATTATGACTCGATGATGACTTTATCATTTTGTCATAATATGACTTTTATCTCATAACATTAAGAGAAAGTACTTTCACTCAGTCCGTGGGAGCACTTTTGGAGGATTGGATATTCTCACTTAAGTTTTATTCTTGTTACTATAAAGACAAGAATTTACACAGATGTGTCCTTTAGTTTCAAAAATCTAAAACATCTTTTTGACAGTAAACCTTAAACATTATAAGAAGTTGATATAAACAGGGTAAATAACTCTTGCTGATTCAGAGGTGAGGAGATCTTGTAATTTGCTTGATGGTTTTGTGTCACAGGAGTCCTCTTCAGTGCTCCCTGGAAAGGTGAGTTTCATGTATTGTGATTGTGTTAGTCTCCATTACTTAACGGACTCACAGGGACAGTTTTAGCGTTTTGTTGCCTCTTGCCCTTCAGAGGGACCTGCAGCAGTTTTCAACAAGCATTTGTCTATTGTTGTAAAAAAATAACAGCTCCTTTAGGTGGAGGTTACCTCAAGCGTATTTTATTTCACTCTGTTATATTTCATTTCTGTAACTCTGACTCTGAAGCTCTCAGAGGAGACTTTCTAATTGTGTTGCCATTATTTTTACTCACTGTGAGTCATGATATGTTCCTGGTTTTATTTGAGTGCATTTTGTGTATTTTTCCCCAGTGTTTCTGTTCCCCTGTTGTCTAGTCTAGAGTTTTCAGTTTGTGTTTGACCCTGTTTCCTGCCTGTTCTCTGTGTTTTATTCTTTAGATCAGTTTTCTGTTTCCTATTTTATTTTGTAGTAGTTGATTCCTCGTGTTTTAGTTCCCTAGTTTTCCCTCCTTTGTTAATCGCCCATGAGTTTCACCTGTGTCTCGTCTGCCTCACCTGTTGCTTCTTTTCTCATGTGTTTATTGTCCGTCTTCCCCTCTGTCCTCGTTGGTTTATTGTATGTCGATGTGTGCATACGCCGGTGTCCCCAGTTATTCCTTGGTTGGACATTTAAAGGAAAGTTTTTCTTGTTTTTTTTCATTTAGTTTTTTTTAATTAAATCCTTCGTTCTGCATTTTGGGTCCTTTCCCTTTTTGTTTAACTCTGGCTCGTGACACTGTGAGTCAAAAAAAGACGAATTTGTCAATTTGCACAGAGCAGCACTTCAGTGATATTCTACCTGTGTCCCTGTCAGTGTCCAACCAATACTAATCTAATTCCCCTCATGTTCCTGAAATCCACAGCCAATCACATTCACTCCTCCTGACCACGACTCCACTCATGTTCACTGATCTCAGTACATGGCCTAACAACACATTACACTGTCACTGGATAATCTGATTTGCGTCTCGCTCACAATAGAGAAATTTGGTATAAAACAGTTTGGTGTATTTGTAAAGTCTGTAAGGTGATACTCTCTATGGCGTACATGTACTGTTTCCAGGAACAATGGCTCCCTTTTAGAAGATAAATTCATTTAATATTTATCGACACAAGTCACCGTAGGAGGCTAAAATCTGACCGTGTTGCTACATATTTCACACTGTTACTGTTGGTAAAAAGGTGCATTTTTATACTATTCAATATTTAAATCCTTTTTAGATCCTTTCAATGAGACAGGGAAAGTGAAAAATACCTAAACCTACATACAGTGGTCTACAAAAAAAGTCATTTTGGGTAAATTTGTAAGTGAACAGTTAGTCGAGCTCTCTACAAATCCTGCAGATATACATTAGCCTTTCATATACACTCATATGCACTTTGTCTTTTTATCTTCTATTTGCGAGACTGTGAATCCAAATCCTGAATAAATAATCGTTTTCAGCTGGTTACCTTTACCTGTTTGGTGTTGGGAAAGTTGTGTTTGGCTGGATTGGTAAAGTTGCATTTTAGACTTTATCGTCAAAAATTGGAGCCGAAAAGAAGAAAAGGGAGTAAGCTGGCACAAAATATCAGCTAATTTGATGACTTTGCTCACCAGTCAGTTCAGCATGTCCTTCCCTACTCTCTCATCCCTTTTTGTCTGGTTCTATTTTACGACCTTCTTTCTAAAATTCTGTGACAATCCCTCAGGATAATAAAAACAAAACCAATAAAAGGGAAAATGTCCAGCCAAACTTAACTGAGACCAGCAAAATAATTGCAGAATTCTTATCAAGTTAGGCGGATAGCCTATAAGTCTAGCCGTGCCCCACATATGCAGGTGGCTCAGGTTTGATTCTACCCTGGGGTCTCTTTCCTGCACATTACTCCCTTCACTCTCCTCTGTTTCCTGCTATATCCACTGTCCTCTATCTGTCAATAAAAGCCAAATTAAAAGCCCAGAAATAAAACTAAAAAAAGAAGACCTTTGCACAATAACAATTATTATTTTTATGTGTTTTTTGACCTGGTTGAGTCACCTCTCTCTGACCATTATACAGCAGGTTTAAGGCACTGCCAAACTGGCTGTGCTCCTCAGACATTGAGCCTCCTCTACTCTCTATGCAAAGGTTACTTTTTGTTTTGTGTTACGATTTATTACGACCTCCATCTGTTGTCGTATAAAATGTTTTAAGCCAAGGGACGTCAAACAGTGACAGACATCTGCTGTGTTTATCAGCACATGGGGCTGCTGATGTGCAGCATAAAAGACTGAGAAGATGATGAGGTTAGAAATGAGAGAAATGAAGGAAATGTGAATTTCTGTGTTATCCTATGAATGCCACCATCTGTCTTTTTGCATGGATTTGAATGGACTCTGAAACAAAAGACTGTTGTCGGTAAATAACCCCTCTGATGGATATTATATAGAACTTTTATAGGGACAGACTCACCATAGGTCTCCGGTTTTCCACCAGATGGATGCCAACAATACCAAGAAACGCCCCAAAACTGAGCTGTAGATACAAAGAGACCAAAGGAGAATAGGGATGAGATATGAAGAATACAATCATGAGATTTATTCAAGAAGAAAAAAAAGCACACAGAGACCACTGCGACTCACGGTGATCCCGGGGTAATAACCAGCAACAGGCACATTATCTGTACGAGTGGCAGAGATCAGACCCACGGTCAGCACCACCAGAGACAGAGCCAGCAGAGACACGGTCACCCACAGAGCGGATTTCCTCCGACGCAGGTACTGAACTGTGGACAAGTGAGGGACACAAACAGGGTGACATGGGAACAACTTTTCCATATTCCTTAAATACTCCTCTTGTGTTTTGTCTTTTTTAACCTGACATGCAGACATATTTGAAAGTGTTAAAATGATTAAATAAAAAAAATATATATCATAATGGTGTCATTATGCACTATTAGAAGTAAATAAACTAAAGTGTGTCAATCTAAGGCAGTGAAATTACTTGTTGTGCGTGTTGTGTTCAATAAAACATAACTAATATTTACTGTTGGAAGAGCAGAGGTGTAAAACAGTAAGAAAAAACACAAGAAATGCAAACTAATCTAGTACAAGTATGACTCACTAAGTATAGTACTTGAGTAAATGAGATTAGATTAGATTAGATTTTCCTTTATTCATCCCTCAGTGGGGAAATTAAGTTGTTTACAGCAGCGGTACACACAACATACACATTAATCCAGGGTATAAAAAAACAAATAAATAAGATAAAGAACTACGGTAAAAAAACGAAAGAGCAGTGCAAGGGAAGAACAGTGTTTAAGACGAGTATAAGAAAAATCTAAAAAAGAAAAAAAGTGCCAATTAAATGTGCTTTCCAGTCCTGCAGACGAAGTATTGGACAAGCTTTTTCAATATCCCTAAAATGATTTTATTTCACTAAATTTCTCAAACACAGGCATTAAAAAAGAACTCTCTGTCCTTTCCTGAACCTGTTTGTCATTGCTCAACAAAGTCTTCCCATGTTACTTCATTTTCTCCTACCTTCTGGATCCAGGATTTCTGTCGCTGTTTGTTGGCTTGCCTGCTGGGTTTCTGGTTGCTGCATTTTTGCAAAGTCCAGATGATTTAAAAAATAAGATTAAAAAATGTGTAAAATGGAGAGAAGATGCAGTGGAGTTTGTTTCTGATGGAGTAGCTTTCCCTCCCCTGTTGATTCAAAGAGGAGTCCTCCTCATCCTCCACAGAGAGAGAGAGAGAGAGAGTCCACGATAGTTACGAGCGAGGAGTGAGATCTTCTTGTTTCAAACTCAGATATTTTTTTCTTGTGAAGGTGGATTAAAGTGAGATTCCATGAAAAGGCGTCTAGAGATGCTGACTGTGAACACAAACAGGTTCAACTTTCCTCCTCCAGAGAGAGAGAGAGAGAGAGAGAGAGAGAGAGAGAGAGAGAGAGAGAGAGAGAGAGAGAGAGACCCAATCAGCAGCCTGTATTCACCTCAGTGATATATTATTAATTATTTAACGTAACTCAAGTAATTTGTTGATAAGATCAGATTACACTTTATATAACAGGAAATACTCACTGTTAAAGGTTTCACTTTAATTCCTACCACAAACAAAAAAAGAGTAAATAGAGTTTTTAATTATTATCCCTCTGCTTACACTGCTGCAGCACTCATGTATCATGAGTTCACAGCGCCCTCTGGGGGCCATTATATGAAAATCTGTCATTTACCAATTTTCATACTAACCCCTTGTTGCCTTTTGTATCATATTTTATACATACTTTTATATACTTCTATTAAATCAATATGATCAACAAACTACAAAAAAAAAAAAAACCTGAATACAGTCCATTTTCATTTTTTTGTTTTTTCAGTAGTAAGTGAAATAAACATTTCAGCTCCAAAAAAGTTTGAATTTTCTGTCTATAATTTGTGGTGTCAGGCATTAAAGGGCTACAAGTGTTATTAAACATAAAAATGAAATTAATAAATATCATATACAAATGACAGTCAGATGTTTGGTTTTTGTGAAGAGAAAGTTTTCTTTTTGTTTAAAGGAAAAAGACTCTTTAGCATCTACCTGAGTTTTAAGTTGACAATCAAGATTTTAGGGCTCCAAGATTTTAAGGCAGAGGCTCTTTGCTTTAAGTCGATCTACAGTAAAGGCCTTCGATTCTAATCATGCTGAATCCTGAAACATTAAAGTCGGTGTGATCCTGATTTAAGACTTTGTTTTTGAAGCTCTCTGCTGAGAAAAACCATTTGACATGATTTTCTTTGTTTCCTATGATTAAAGCTCCTGTGGGGAGTTTTCGATAAATTATAAAACAGACTAAAATGAGCATTAATACATCTCTGTGGTGTACAAAAGCAATGACAATATTAACAATTTACATATATAATTTTTAATGCCTGTAACTGCTGTGAGGGAGAGGGTATGTCGAAGAAAAAGCCTGTGTCTTTTCCCACAGCAAATATTCACAGTGAGGAAGGCAAAACGCCACTCTATAGCCACAAATAATGCTGCCAAACATCTTCTTAGCTTTGTCTTATTTCTTTAGCAAAGAGACTAAACACAACTCACCTACTCTCCTCCAGCAGCCGCTTGTTTGTTGCGAGACCTCAGGCCAGTCCATTACGGACTGCTGAGGGGTGACGCAGCTCAAGGAAGAACATCTATGATCATTTCTTTATCATTTCTTTGAAGTAACAATAACCATATTAATCATTTTGCACTGAAGACGCTGTAGTTCTTCTGCCTCAGCGTCTCGGTCTGATTGCATTTCCATGATGAAATGATCGTAAATGTTCTTTCTTGAGACAAAACCAACAACATTATAAGGGAGTATCACGTTGTCCACAGGAGGCGCTAAAGTCAACACACACAGAAAATTCCTACAAGAAGCTTTGAACATAAAAACTGCTTTCTTTCAGAGAGCTGGTTTGACAAGAATGTGCATCAAAATTACAAAAGTAAGGTGTTTTTGGGGAAGTGGGATAGGTGTCTCCCCCTTTCGTGATATTTGTAGAATAAATTAATAATTCAAAATATAATCTCTGCCATTGCAAATAAAAAAGAACAGTTACACTTGATCTCTTTTTGTTTTTAATCTTAACACAAAGATAATACGGGCTGTTTTCAACTGATTTCTGGGAATTATTTCAACCCATCAGCATCTTTGTTGTGAAAATAAGCGTATTACATTTCTGACCTGGCAAAAGTTTTCTTTCATGTTTGCAAGTACTGCCTATGAGAGCCACGGGGAAGTTATTTTTCAAAAGTGCAAAATGATCTGTATCTGCACTGGAAGCTTGAACAATAGGAAGTTCTCACTGACTTCCAAACATTTTAACTTAATTCATCTAGTAAAAGCAGATGCTTTCAGTGGCGCACTGCACATTTAGGACAGCGTACAGGTGGAGGACTTTGCAGGCTGCTCCAGGATGGATTCATGGCACAGATCATGAGGCAAAGTCCCGCCAGGTCCCCAAACTGTGAGCTCACCGTAGACCCCTGTCTCTATCATCTCCTCCTGCCAGGGGATGGAGATGTTCCCTGATGCAAACTCATCAAAAAACTCCCTGTCCTTTTCTTCCAGATGTACACCTTTAATTGTGGAGAACGCCCCGACGTCGTCAATGTCCTTGGCATAAACTGTCTTTGAGTCTGGCACAAAAGGAGGAGTAAGGATCCCTGAGGGGAAACAACACAAATGAGAGGGTGAGAAACTGTAGAAACTGATAAGTGAACTGATGTGATAAAACTTAAATATCTCCCTGCAAAGACCTGCATCGAGTTTTCTCCAGTTGATCTGGCTGAAGAAGGGATGCTTTCTGAGCTCGTCACATGATCCGTTCTTGAAGCCGAGCCTCTTGTCGACCTCTTTCATCAGCAGACCCTCACAGATGGACCGGGCGTTCTCGCTGAACTTCTCTGGATAGATCACTGGGTCATTCAGGACCCGCTTCTTCACCACCTTGTTCTCCACCTTGAGAACAGCACAAAGATGAAAACAGATGAAAGTTCAACTCTGATTCAAAACCTGCACAGATGGATTTATAATACTTGTAAAATTTTATCCTCTTCTGTTCAAAAACACCTGAAATCAAACAATTAAAGAGCAATTCTGGCATTTATTCTAATGTCTTAAACTACATGAGCATATACCACCATAAATCCCATTTATATACATTCTCATCAGTGTAAATAAATGTTAAAAGCTAATACTACATGTGTTCATACAAATCTTATATAAACAAGCTCTATATGGGAATACTTTTTACACTTTGAGTAAATCATAAACAGTTTTCCTGAGTAAAATCCTATATGTGAGGTATTTTTACGTGTTTTAGTTGACAAGTATTGGAGGAAACATATCTGAGCATATAAAGACAAACTTAAGAATATTTGTAGTTTATTAGATGGAATTATTTTTTTTAAGATGCAGGGCTTGTACATGGGTTTCACATTTTGCAGCAGTAACACCATCAGGCCACAAGAGGGCGATGTTAAGCCATACACTGTATGGCTTCACATCGCCCTCTTGTGGCCTGATAGTGTTATCAGGCATACTGTATGGCATACAGTCTAGAAAAAGTTCCTGTATCAAAATAAAAGTTAAGTTGGAGTTCAGGATTATTAATCAAGTGAAAACAGAGAAGACGGGAAAAGGGTCAGAGGTCACTGCATACCTTCTCTCCTCGAGTCCTGAAGGGTCCCTTTGCAGCCATAAACTCATACAGAGTGACCCCAAGAGTGAAATAATCCACAGAGAAGTCATACTCCTCTCCTCTCAGCAGCTCGGGGGCCATGAAACCTGAAGGAGGACAGGTGGAGCGCAGATGTAGGTGAAATGAACAATTCAAGATGACTTATACAGACTTCACAAATGAAATATCAGAATCTTTTCTCAAACACTTTTGTCTCTATCTACTAAGACTAAAACCAAAGATTTAAAAGTAAAGATTTCAGTGTCGTCTAATACACAATAAATGCATTTAAACAGCAATTGCATCTCATTCTGAACAAGTTAATTTGACTCGGGGTGTATTTATTTTTAGCCTGCTGTATGAATTAAACTCAGAGAATAAAAACAACTCGGTTAAAGAAGCCACTGAAGACAAAAAGGGAGACAAGAAAAAAACAACTTCACCAGATTGTATGTTTACTGTTTATTCATGGTGGTATAAACTTGTATCATATCTTGTTGTATCATTTTAGTGTGGTCTTTCAGCTAACACTGTTTAGACAACGAGTAGATTTCTGTACGAGGCTTCACATAGGACAAGGTAAATATCGAATAATCACAAGGTGACGAAGAAAAACACTGTGAAGGTATGGGTCTCACCAATCCTGCTAAAGGAAAAAAGGTAAATATTGTTTTCTTGAACTGTACCTGGAGTCCCTGCATAGCCCTTTATTTTCACCTGATCTTCAGCCAGCTCCACAGCCAGACCGAGGTCAGAGATTCTGACGTTACCTGAGAGAACAAACAGGAAGGTGTTGTCAAATGCTGACATGCAGATTTCCTCTCTGACCTGCAGCTGTAAGACAACCTTGTACTAAATGTAACATGATGTGTACTGTCGGTGTGGAGGATGTTTGTTTTAATGTGTGTTTGCACAGTGTACTTGTGTGTACTGTACTATGTTTTAACTTGATTAATAATCCTGAACTTCAACTAAACTTTATTTTGATACAGGAACTTTTTCTAGACTTTATGGCTTAACATCGCCCCCTTGTGGCCTGATAGTGTTATACTGCGAAATGTGAAACCCATGTAAAAGCCCTGCATCCCCCCCAAAAATAGTCTATCTCATAACTGCTGACACAGTCGTAATGTGGCGACTTAGAGACTAAATGCACCTACAACATAAATTGCAGAGTAGGAAATCTCTCAGACATAGAAGTATATTTTTTTGAAATTAAGAAAGTGCACCAGATGTCCCAGGTGTAGTAAAAAAAAAAGTACTTCCAGGGCTCTTGATCAAACTTCTTAAAGGGATATTCTGGCGTAAAATTAATTTAGGGTCATTTGTTCATGGAAATGCAATCAGACTGAGATGCTAAAGCAGAAGAAGAACTACCATGTCTGCAGTGCAAAATGATTGATATTGTGATTTTTACTTCAAGGAAATGATAAAAAAAATGATCATAAATGTTCTTCCTTGAGCTGTGTCACCCCGCAGCAGTCCGTAATGGACTGGCCTGAGGTCTCGCTAAAACAAGCAGCTGCTGGAAGAGAGTGGGTAAGTTGTGTTTAGTCTCTTTGCTAAAGAAATAAGGCAAAGCTAAAACGATATTTGGTGGCTAGGACCCTATATGTACTGTTGATGAAGTTAGGTGCTGTTCTGAGCATTCTTTGTGGCTATAAAGTGGCGTTTTGGTTGAGGTTTGTGTATGGCTCCTGAGACCGCTGCGTATTGCTATCGTGCGGTCGTTACTAAAGTTGGTATAACTAGAGAAGCAAGCGGTCGGCAGCATTCATCTCTCGAGGGGGTGTCTAACTTTGTGTTTCTGAACTAATATAATTCATCAAGTACCTGTAACTACATCTAGTCCAGAAGTACTTTGAAAATGAGAAACTATATATTTTCCAGACTCAGGTGTCTGACCTTGGTTATCAAGCAGCACGTTCTCTGGTTTGAGGTCTCTGTAGATGATCCTCTTCTGGTGGAGGTGCTCCAAGCCCTGGATGATCTGAGCAGCATAGTAGCACGACCGAGGCTCATCAAACCCAGGGTTGTCTTCATCCACATTATAAATGTGATACCTGGTAGTGGTAGAGTAGAACAGGTATTTTGATCTAGTTGCATTAGACATCATGAGACCCTTAGCTTGATGTTACTTGAGGATGTGATGAGAAAGAGATCTTACCTCAGGTCTCCTCCGTTCATGATGGTCATAACCAGGCACAGCTCTGTTTTTGACTGGAAGGCATAAGCCAGCGAGACAATGAACCTGCTGTGGACCCGAGCCAGGACCCTTTTCTCCACTATTGCCCCCTATGGGACAGAGGAACTTCAGCGATGAGTGTCTCACTAATCAAAGCATAATGTGTGTTGTTGTTTGGGAATCCTCACCTCATAGCTTCTCCTCTTCTTCAGCCTCTTCTTGTTGAGCTTTTTGCACGCGTACAGTTTCCCTGTAGCCTTCATCTGACAGGCAGACACTTCCCCAAAGCCCCCTTTCCCCAGGACACGAAAATCCAAAAACCAGTCCTCTCCTACGGGCTGCATCTCCAGCCACTTCCACTGCAGAAACCTTTTGAGGTACATACTCTCCAGAAAGAAAGTGTAGGGCACCTCCTGCAGGAAATCCATCACACGATCCAGGGTGTCGTTGAACAGGTCATCCCCAGCATCATGGTGTTTCTCTTTGACCTTTGTGATCCCATTTTCAGGCAGGAAGGAGCAGAGATACTTGGCCCCGGGCTCCATGTACCTGGATAAGATTTTACTGGCTTTCTTGACTCTGTCTTCATCCTCAGCCATGTTGTACTCCTCAATATCCTTCCACAGACAGCAGGGGCCTTTGTACTCACTGTTAGACTCCAGAAACTCCTGGAAGAGTCGTTTTCCAATAGGCTGCTCCACACAGACCATCCTGAAGCTGAGATCTAAAGTCTCCCTCAGGCCTTCACACACGGTTATGTGAGGAAGCTTCAGGCGAGAATGATACTTCTTGTCTCGGTTTGACCCCGGGTTAGCAGTGCCATCAAAGCTCCCACGGGCTGAGATGTAAGCCGAGTTGGCAACCACTGTCGCAAGACCACCGATATCCATATGTGATGTGGAGCAAAAGAAAAAGAGAGAGATTCGGGGAGGTGAAAGGCTGGGAAGGAGCGCAGAGGGGTCTACATAGTGGACCAAAAAGATGATAAAATACAAAAGCAAATGTAAAATGTAAGTAGAAATCTGTAGAGACCGGTCGTCTTGTTTCACAGCTATCACCTTAGAGTCCCCACTCTTCCTTTCACAGACACAGATAGAGATCTACCTGACTCATCAGCTTCTCTCAAAAGGGATTTATCCACTACGTAAGCCAACCCCGTAATGCTTTATCCTCTGCTAACCCATGTGCATGCTGCAGAAGTGGAGAGAAGAAACAAATAGCGAGACACCCTCGTAGAACTTGATGGAGAAGAGAGGCAGACGAAAAGAAATTCAAGGCGAGGAGGAATAAATGTGGTATGCATGCAGTGGGTTGGTAACTACAGGAATGTGAGGCAGCAGAGGGAGATACTGTCACAGGGAGAAATCAGAGATGACAATCGTGCACAGTGGAAAATAATAATGTTTGGTTTGATTCATTTCTGGTCTGGAAACACACTTTTAGTTTCCTGACATTATTTGACAACCAAGACGGCTATAGAAACTTGACTTCTCTCTCTCTGTCCTCTTTATTTAGTTGCAATCTATTAACTTCATGGAACAAATTCAGCCCCTTCATGAGGTCATGTCTAACTAAGGTTTACAGACATTGTGTCACAAAATTGAAGTCTCCATTTTTAAGTTAATTTGCAAGTGTTTTATGAGTTTGTAACTTGGTGGTGGAGTTGGATTTTTGAACAACACTGCAGGACTTTGACCATTACATAAACGTAAAAGTAGAGCTGTCAAAGTAAAGTGTCAGTCAGAGTAAAAAGACTACCTAGATTCTGATTGGTCAAAACCCTTTAACTATGGCCTTTTTTATGAATGGAAAACACTGGGAACAACTTGTTCGCACTTCATGCAGATAAAACTAATCCATTAGAAGGAATTACAGCACTTCTAGCGTAGTACTCATGATTATACCTCTACTTTGCCATAGCATAGGTAAACAGAGGTAAACAGCATGGAGGATATTTTTAATATAATTCCCAGTGTCTACTATAGAGCACAAAAAAATTACATTTTGGCAAGGAATGAAGACAAAAGCGCAAAAATTAGTAAGAGGTGTTGGAATTCATGAGCCAAGTCAAAGAGACATCAACCAAATGGAAGAAAACAGACACCAGGCAAAAACCAGCAGTAACACAGTTTGGTTCTCAGCAAAGTATGAGACTGAAGAGAATTAAATTGCAGACAGATTTTAAAGGTTACACAATGAAGGTGTTGTTTTCTGTATGTTTTTAAGAATACCTACAGAGAAATGCTCTTGTTTGGAGTAACCGAGAAAGATAAAGGCCTAATAATGTCTACTCTCACTGATGGGACGATTAGGCGTTGATGTTTCTTACAAATCTGCTGACTGTAGAGTTGGTGAGTTATCAGCTTACACAGTTCACGTGGGCTTACATGCAGCCCCCCCCTTCACACACACACACACACACACACACACACACACACACACACACACACACACACACACACACACACACACACACACACACACACTCACACTCTATCTATCTATCTATCTATCTTAAGTCTTTTAAAAGTTCACATAAATTTTAGCGTTTCCTCAAAAGTTACATTTCTAAAACAAGAGTTTAGAAACAATTTTCTTTCTCAGGTGTAGTTTTTAATAAATAACCAAAATAAGTCAACAACTTTAAAACATAAACATTTTGATGAAAATATTATTTCGTTGTGGCTGAAAGGCTCGGTCATCACCAGAGACAGGAAAATATGTAAACTCATCCATAAAGTACATCAAAAGAAGAAAATCCCTCAGGAAACAAAAGTATAAAATCTCTGCCTCTACATGTACACACATTTACAATGTTCACAATGGAAGATAAGACAAAGGTGTTTACACTGTGAGCTCACACCTGCCAGAGTCTTGCTTTTAGTGCAGAACAGGCACGCCAGTTTAACATTCAATAGTATCTAGTGCAGGAATTATAGTAAGAGTTTTGTGACTTAATAGTTTATCCTCAGTTCCTACTTTTTACTGGTGTTACACCAGAGTTTATACAGCAATCTAACAGAAAGACAGCTAAATAAGACATCTACAGTATAGTCTCCTTCAATGGAACTAGTAAAGCATTGGTGTGATCACAGCTAAATTCACAGTCAACTAATGTCAAACTAACTTCAGGCACCATCCTCTATATACAGCAAACCGCAGTTTTTTTTAATCTCAGTCATGATCAAATTCTGCTATTAGTTGAAGGCAAGTTTCAGATTTGTGATGAAATACAGAGAAATATGAGGCAATTATGCAAAATAAAACCCACGTCACCTCCAACAAACATCCCAAACATGAGAAGACAAAATATTTAGAAAGCCCTCAGATTTGGTTGCCCCTGTGATTTTTAGGAGGGCAAAAACTCGGGGTTAAAAGTGCAGACAGACCTTTAAAGGATGGAAAGAAGAACAAAGTCCAATATCAGAACGGGAATGATATTGTGCTTCTACTTTAAACAGTTGTGTCTGGTAACTCCACTGGTGTCACACTCAAACACGTCCGTGCGCAACTCCAAAACGGAACTAAAACAATGGTTCCTATTAACAATTCCCATTGATACAATACAATACAACTGGAAATGAAGGTGATTCAGAATGAGGCTGGAGGTGAATCTGGCAGAAAGAATTGTCCCCGTACAATTCCCAGATTTAAGCGTTTAGTGAATGAGAAAAAAAATGTTGCGGTTGTAAACATGACAAACATCAGGTGATCAGAAAGATCATTGAGGTTGAAATAAGACCTCAGATTAGCGTTAACACAGACGTGTTAAAATGTAATTGAGCCAATATTGACTCTGTCTTCTCCCTGGGATTTTAACCCTGTCCTCTGGGAGAAAGTCCTGCATCTGTGTGACCCGTTTATTGATCTTAGACCCTCCTGAAACAAACATTTCATCTACATCACCAGGCTGAGATATTCACCATCCAAAAATAAAGGTTATTCCGTGTTTTTTCTGGAAGTTTACCTGTAAATATTCTCCTGTTGACCTGAATCTTCAAACACAAAGAGTTTGACGCCTGCTGTGAGTGGGTTTGTGATTATGCATGTGTGTTTGTGTTGTTAGGACTTCTCTGCATCTCTGCTCTCTGACCAGCTTCTCTTTTTAGGCCTTCACTTTTTTTCTGTGTGCCCTAAATAATGTCCCACTTCACAACTAGGTCTGCCTGCTGGTGTGTGTGTGTGTACAGAGATCAGGACGCTGGATGTGTGTGTGTAGCACTCTATGTTTCAGTTTCACACATTCCGGCTGCTTTTTGTCGCCTCTGGAATTGAGTTTTCCTTGAAACGTGTCCAAACCAAAAACTGTCCCTTCCCCTCCTCCATGCTCGTCTTAGTCTTATCCCACACTGACTCTCCTCTTCCTCTCATCCTCTTCCTCTTCCTCATCACTGATCCTGTGATGAACACGCACAGAAACGCACCACCCAGGCATGTAAACATCCTTTCATTCATATTTCATTTCTCCATCCCTCTCCCGCCTGTATCCGGATGTGTTGTGGTATTTTCGCTCTGCCACAATCACTCAGAGAAATGACCCACATCAGCATCTTTTACTGGATCTCCAACGTGCATGACCCCCCTTTCAGCTCGGTTCATCAGTTGCCATAGAAACAAGGTCTTCCCTGGCGACCAGTGCGAGACCCCCAACTCCTTCGATTGTGCAGAACACCACAACACCGTACATCCAAATGACTTCAGCTTTCCATGTGTGAAGCCGAGGCTCTGAGATGTTGATACACCGAGGAGAGCAGATCTTAGAATCTGCTGACGGCAGTGAAAAGAGGGTTTAAGATGGAAAAAAAGAGGCACAAGAGTCTGAGTACAGTGTTTTCATGTACGCACTGAATATTCAGTTTCACTTCTTGTATTTGTACAACCCCAGAAATGGAGGTAATTAGAAAATACACACTTTCCCGATGTCAACAGGAGTCACGGTGATGTAAAAAAGGGAAGCCTGGGTCTCTGTCCTGATCTAACACCACTGGATGAGCAGCTGACTGCAGTTTTTGGTGTCAGAAATATGTTCACAAATCAAGGGTGAAAGCAATGACATTTATCAGAGTTTCTGCAGAAGAGATGTACAATGGCCAATGAGGGTAAATCGTCAGCAGAAGCCTGAACAATCTAAATGCAGAAAGGACACAACAGCTGCGTGTAAATGGGCACAAATAATCAGAATAAAGACCCGATCAGAATTAAAATGTGTCATGTAAACATGTCGATCGGAAGACTCTGATCCAATTCGGCTCAATTGGAAAGAAATTGTATTCAGATTCTGACTCCTACCTGACTCCAGGTGACCTGCATGGGAGGAGCCCCAGAGTCATTAAAAGCAGCCAGGTCACCTGCTTTCTGGGAACACTGGAGACAATGAAGCTAGCTGACTGAGAGAAACACCACCAGCATCATTCACTGCATGCTTACCCTGTGAGTTTGCTTTGTTTAAATTGTTATATAACTCATCTTTGATTTATTATCCTAAGTGATATATATAATTTTATAGTAAAGAAAAGATGTTCTGTAGTTTGTATATATTTAAATCATTTTAGTGAATTTGCTCTGATATTATTGATGGAAACTTTGATATTGATCATGCTTGTATTTAATTTAACTCATTTTTGTTTCTCCTTTCTCACCCTCTCCAGAGTAACCAGCTAAATGCATACTGAATAAAACCTTGCGACTGGAACTCCCTACCAGGTGCTTATTTGTCTTTGGAGACAAACCGTTAAGTTGAACCCCACCTTAAACCAGCATAACCCTGAACAGTACAGTATCCTTCACCAATCGTTATTCCGAAACTCGTCCATGTAAACACTTATTTTGATGGTGACTCTCTAACATGACTCGATATTCACTCTTTAGCCTTTGGCTTATTTATTGAGGTCAGTACAAGAGATTTCAGTATTAACATTAAAAAACACAACCACAGGTGCCGTGTCTGCTCCTCCAATAATATAAGACATAAAGTGTAATAATGTCACACCTGCACACACAGGACTGTAAAATTAGTTAGCAAAGGCGCCATCTAGTGACAATACTTGACAGGGGAAAAAATCCTGAAGTGGATGAAGTGAGACACTCTGAAAAAAGCTTGGTGCATGTATATCTGATCCAATTATTTGATTTTGTGCCCTTATAAACAGTAGATTCAGATTTTCCGATCCCTCAAATTTTTAAACGGATCAAGAAATTTTGCCCATGTAAATGTGCAAAAGTCCAAAACGGTGAAAACCGGCTCTAGAGGAAAGACCAACAGCAAAGTGTTGCAAATGTGAACAAAAGCAGCAAATTCATGTGGTTGTTTTTGCTGGAATAAAGAGACTGTTTGAAAAACAAAGAAGAAAGAAGTACAGACAGCTCTGTGAAAATGAGGGAATAAAGGGAGAATATTTTCAGACCTGTCTCTCTTGTTTTGTGATCGTGCTGCGGTGTTTAACAAAGTAATGTAATGTAAATGTAAATATAAGGAGAGCCGGTTTTCTGCAGTGCTGGATCATTACTGACACATCTGCAGATTTCTCCTGACAAATCCCCACAGATTTACGACCTCTCCTCCCTTTACCATCTGAGGAAACATGCAGACAGACGATGATGTATGAGCAGCTTTGTTCTCACATTATCCCCAGACGTTTTTCTTCTCATTTAGAGCCCCACTCAGAGGACCTCCGAGTCCAGGTTTTACACTCCTGCTGCTCTAAATGCAGCTGCAGAGCTTAAAGACCGGATCCGCTTTAATCTTTGTGGAATTAACAGACTTTCTGTTATTACAGTTTTTACACAGCTTGATGAAACTCAGCAGATTGGCTGTCGGTCACATCAACCTTGTCCTTAAAGTCACTCTAACTTGTAACAAGGAAGGCCTCAGTTTTCATTCAGTTTACATTTTAGACAGGGAACAATCTCCCACTCATTAAAATGTCTCTAACTTTGTCTCTGAAGCGCAACGAAATTTCTTGCAACAGTTGCAGCCTCAGTTTTTGGATTAAAGCAGCTAAAACTTCGTCTGGATCCTGCTGAAAAAAACTGCATCTGTTACAAGTTCCCAGCATGAGAATCTGCAAACATATTATCAAACATTTCACTTCCACACTAGCTTTTGCATGCCCTGAAATAAATCGACATAAGTCAGGAGCACGGTGGAGTGAACCTTCATCAACGGGGTTAAAAAATGAGCACGGCCCCAATTAACCTTCTGTTTTTTTCCCCTGGTCGTTAATAAAGAAGACCTTTGACTGGGGAGGCCTTTATCGAGACAGGACTTCCATAAATCTTCCATAAATGGTATGGTTATGGACAGGAGCGTGATGACCGTCCATATTTACCTCATTTGAGTTTTTACAAATTCATGTTTGGATTCAGGCTCATTTGAGGATATCCTAAATCAGGCAAACAGGAAGTACTTACAGAACAGCCATGTTAAGGAGGGAAATCATAGGAGCAATGAGAGCACAAGAGCAGTCTTCACAGTGACAGACACACCCCCAAATTGAATATTATTCTCTGATCGGACGCTGCAGCACACTGGACTTAAGTCGCTCTCTGATTGTTTTTTTTTTACTACTTTAAGTGTTCTCAGTAGTCTTAAATTGTGCTTATGAAGTTTCTCTCTATTTCTCAGAGTCTGGCCTGCATGGTGAGGCTCTGGGGGTGGAGCTAGGAGTTGTGACATAGGAAATCTTACAGTTTCTGAACCTGCTGTTTGGGTCTGCCAGAGATTCACAGCGATTTAGATGCAAAAATCCTCATAAATGCAATCTCACACTTATTTTTCCCATGATATGTCTTGTAGCATCAGAAAAATGAAGATATGAACATGTAGACAACAAGAAAAACACGATTTTCATCGGAGTGGGTCTTTAAAGTGTTTGCTAAGAAGAGCCCTGCAACCAGACTGAAGGGACACAAAGAAGGAAACACAACATATATAAATATATGTTAAAATATGCAATGTAAAAATATCAGGTAGTAAAAGTGATTTACAAAGATGCCGAGCTTTGCTGCAGAGGAAAATGTGAAATAAATACAGAGATGGAAATATCGAAATCACAAGCTGAAGGAATAAACATGCAAAAAAAAAACACGTGCATATGCCAAACATGCTGACAACGGTGTATTTTACTTTATTTGTGTAAAGAGAGAAACAGAGACCAACTAATGAAAGAGGAAAGTAATCCAGAGTGATAACAGAGGGAGGAGGGCAGGGTGTGAGGAACAGCATGAATAATACGGCGGCACACACACTCGTCTCCCTCATCTTACATTCCAGATCTTAATTGTTTGTTTACAGGCCGATGAAGGCAACAGAGAAACTCTGTTTATCAGCCGCTTCAAAGAGGAAAGCAGGGCAGAGCCTCGCTGGGTGGAGAGCTCCTCTTAATTGTCGTATTTCTCCTTCAGATTAAGTCAGCCCGGTCTGGCTTATTTACGGCCCCGCAGGAAATTCTCTGAAATAAAAGGATGATGTAGGCTCGG